ATAATAAATCTGTAGAGAGGTCAGTTCTGTACGTGAAATATATTTCCAAAATAACTATCAGGGAGCGAATAGTGATCGATACTGATGCCAAAAATGCAATCAATAAAATTTTTGTCAGTCTGTCTGTATGTTCATTATAGAAACAAAAATTACTCGACGGATTTTAACGAAACTTGATACAAATATTTTTCATAATCCTGGGCAGGTTATAGTATACTTTTCATCACGCTACGATCAATAGGAGCAGAGCAGTGAAGAGAAATGTTAAGAAAACATGAGAAGTTATTCCATTTTTAAGCTTCCGTCGCGTGTGTAGCCTTAATGGCCACTTTTTAAAATGTAAAAATGTTCACCCTTGCGACGCCGGGACGAGAACAACTATGTGATTGTATATGGCCAACTGTGTCTAGGGGAATTTATCACACTAGATCACAACAAGTGAGATGTACAAAAACAAATACCTTACAGCAACGTGGAATAAAGTGATTGGCATTATGCTGAAGCTGTTGGTCAGTTATGTACAAATTAAGGTAAAAGGTTTATTTTACGTTTCATTATTTAATTCCTCTGTGTTTAATCTACTTTCTTATTCTTTTATTTTTCCTTTATTTTAAAGTTATTCTGTATTTTAATAAGATCATATTATCTTCAACCAAGTGATACTGAAGTATATTGATTATTTTTACATGATTGGAACGTATGCACAATAATATAGCATCCAGGTTTTTTTGTTATTACAATCCCGTCAAATTTACGAGTATAAACGGAGGTTTTATAAAATATTATAGCAAGAACTAAGTTAAATATTAGGACTGTCATCCATTTTAATTACTATTGTTCGTTATTAATATGATTAACAGTAATCTGAATTCACCGCGCCATTATATTCCTTTTGTCTCGTTATCGTGTTAGAAATTGAATTTACAGAGATTAATCATAATTAATGGGCAGAAAGATACATTTGATAAAATTAGACTGAAACTACATGCTTATTGTTTAACAAACCATTCATCGTTGCATCATTGCATATTTTTATTTACGTATTAAATGACTGTAATTCTTCTCTGTAAAAAATTTTTCTGATATATAAAAAAAGCAATAGTGTTTTAGTTGTTGTTGCGTTCTTTCCCACCAAAATTACAAAAATTTGCTAAGACGTTTGAATATTTAAGTATTTGTTTATTTAATCGTACTTAAACGATACGCAAGCCTGGATTAACATCAAGATAATGTTTATCTTTATTTATACGAAATACAGGTGGTACTATTATAAAATTGGAAGTTTATAACGATGTTTGATATTTACATGTTGATAAACAATTTAATATAATCAAAAATAAAACCATTGAAAACGGCCATTAAGCGGTCATGGCAATAAAATCTATTATAATATAATATCACACTACTTACTTGTAGAACACAAGTATTGTAATTTGAATGATAAAAAAAAACCTCGTCCTTGGTTATTTATCGACGTTTTGAGTGAACTATTTGTGTTTGTATGGACTGTGTACTTCATGATAACAGATAATCCTATATCAATGCCATAATAAAAAGCAGTATTATTTTTATAAACCTGTACATGAGCTTGATATCGTATGTTATTCATTCTGTGTAAGTATGTACGCTTAAAAATTAATTTTGATTTCACCTCTAATCCAACTTATTTATCTGTATTAAATACTAATTATAATTTTACTTATTTGTACTAAATATTAGAAAGAAATATCATAACTTGAAAGCTTTTAGTAATTTTTCCTTGTCGGGGAATGTTCAAAATTCTTTCTTAGCGTATTTTTATACTCTACAAAAAATGATACTTATACCCAAAATAAAAGGTTTTTAGTTCCCAATGAATTTGAAAAATTAGTGATGTAGATACCCATCTATAATGTATTTTCTTTTTTATACCTACACTTAAAGTGATTTTCTTAAAAAAACAGTTTTAGACGAGAGAAGACAAAGCGAGAGAGTATTCATCTCGGTAACCTTCACATGGTCCTTTCGTCGAATTAATCCTTCTTAGTCCTAAAAGTCCCTTTTACGGCATTGACAATTTACAATATCGTCACCTTATATAAATAACTGTACAGTTTATATAGCATCTTTACGGTAATATGAGATCAGAAATTATTGACGGACAGTTATTACTTATCAAGGATACAGTGAATAGATTATAGATACAATTTAGTGAAATATGTTTACCTAAATTTCAAAATCGCACCATTGGCGATGGTAACAACAATGGTTATTATTATTATACTCGCTATGTATGAGCATAATAACAAAATTTTTGAGCGTCTTCAAAATGGCTAAGATTTATAATACGTCCTATTTTTATGTACGTATACATGATATTTTTTATATAATTTTCATAGTTAATTTTAATACTTCGTTATGCAAACAACTTATGCGTTGTTGAAGCACCAAAAGCACAGTATAATAAATGTATGTCATTATCATCTCCTACCTTTATGCCAATTATTATTTGGGGTCAGTGCAATCTATTTCTGTCTTCCATTCTCTATTCGCAGTCATTTCCACATTTATTTCCATTTCGGCCTGCTTTTTTTAGGTCTTTCTCTGTCCTTATAGCCATCAAAATTTATACTTAACACCTTTCTTAAAAGATGCTCTTCATCCCTGTGCATCACGTGACCGTACAAGAATAGACGATTACTCCTTAACGTTTCTATCACAGGTTCTACTTTCATACTTCTTCTGATATACTCATTCTTAATTTTGTCCATACTTATCATAAATGTAGTATTGAGAATCTATAAGTTTTTTTATTCTTTATTTATTATCAAGAAATATACTCATACTTAATATAGACTCCTTGGGGGGAGAAGGGATTGTTAGTAATGGGGATTAGTAGCCCCATTGCTAGCAATATACTCTGTCAGGTTGACCTCCTCGTGGTTACCCCTGGAAACCATCGTGATTGATTTATTGTTAGATTCGTCACGATGGGCTAACTGACCTGCTTTATCCTCACCTATCACCTCTCACTGGTGCCCCGCCAGTGTATACCGGTAGCACAGGCGGGGTTACCATTTCATTATCATCCATTGAAAAAAAAATATATATATATAGACTCTTATCACCGTATTCTACATATGAACACTAATTTCGAATTCTATAGTACATTTCTTTAGAAAATTAAGTTAATTAAATAAATAATAAATAAATAATAAACCCTAATAAAACGCAGGCTATTATTATCGGGAGCCCCAACTATATTTCAAGAATTTGCTGGGAAAATCTGCCTAATATAATGTTCGACGGGATATCTGTGGACTATAAAGATTTTGTAAAGGATCTCGGAATATATCTTGACAGAACGCTATCCTGGAGCACCCAAATAACAGAGATTAGTAGGAGGGTCTTTGCGATTGTGGGCTCACTCAGAAGATTACGTAATTTTTTACCTATGGCCACTAGAGTTGCGCTTGCTCACTCCCTTGTCCTTCCTGTCCTTGACTATGCTGATACCTGCTACATTGATCTCACCGAAGACCAACTTAATAAACTTGAGCGTCTCCAAAACCTGTGTATTAGATTTATATTTGGACTTCGTAAATACGACCACATCTCTAATTTTCGCACTCAGCTCAAGTGGCTCCCAATACGTCGACGCCGAGATTGGCATATATTATCTCTTCTTTATTCCATTCTATTCAATCCTCTTACACCTCACTATCTTAAAGAGCGATTTATATTTCTCGGTGAAGTTCAGAGTCACGCTTCGCGTACCTCAAATAGTCTCCGTTTAAAAACCCCAGCACATACCTCCGTGTACTACACCAAATCCTTTTCCGTTCAGGCAGTGCGCCTATGGAACTCGCTGCCACCGTCTATACAGAGTGCGCAATCCTTGGCTTCGTTTAAAGGACAAGTCAAATCACATTTTCTTTCACTGTAGTTACTCTTTTCCACTCCTTTGTAATTTTTGGACTAGATTTGTCATATTTCCTTGTGTGTGCTATGTATGTATTTATATGTGTATGTTTATGTATTTTGTATGTATGTTATATGTGTATATGTATGTATATATATATATGTATGTGTATGTGTATGTATGTATGTATATATATTGTTATAGTAAGTAGTTTAATAAATTATATGTATTTGATATTTTTGTGCATTACATGTTTTTGTATTTTGTGCACGAAAATTGTTGATTCACTCTTGCGCCACCTGCCCTTTTCTATCTGTTCTCCCTTAACTAAAGGTTGTCTGTAAGAGATTGCCCTAGCGATAAGACCGCCTTTTGTACCTTTATGTGTATATTTAAATCTGTATTTATGTTACTGTATTTCATTTGAATTATTCACTTGTCATTGTATATTTTTATTTATGGTGCAATAAACAGTTAAATAAATAAATAAATAAATAATACAACACTTCCCGTCTAGTAGATGTGTGTTATTTACATTGTGCTCAGATTATACAGCATGATACGCGTGCCCATAATAACCATTTAGGATCTACTTAATGTTGTGTATAATGAAACCAGTTTAATTTTGGGTCGAGTCAATTTACGAAACGAACTTTAAGTAACTTTAAACTTTGATTCCGGTCCAGCGTCCCAGATGTTCCTTGTCTAATTAAAAGAGCTATTTTAATGGAGTGATAGTCTGGTATCTACGTAATTAATTTTATCATCACTCTTCTTTAATTAGGTAACTACGTAGTACTAAGTAGTGATTTTTTAAAATAATTTTGTTGATTACTTTAAAAAATTACAAAACCAATATATTGCTTATTTACATTATCTAGCAACCTATCCTAGGTAGAAGCGAAAGTATTTGTTTGGTATAAGATATAAAAAAAATCTAAATCATTTGCATCATTTTATGGGAATGTTCAACGAATCCGTTTAGTTGTTAAGCGTCATTGAGCAACAAATGTTCAAACATCTACCTATGCCAAATATTCATCATTTCAAAAGTTCATCACTGTGATATTTTTTAAGATTATTTGATCTCTTCATTCAGGTTGCGTAAATATCCCGCTCCGTGAGATACCCTCAACCGGTGTAGAAGGATGGTATAAGTTGGAGGCCAGATCGCAGCGGTCCTCAGTACAGGGTCGCATCCGGCTACGTCTATGGCTTTCCGCCCGGGAAGCAGGTCGACACGACGACGACAACTGGCAACAGGTAACATTTAACAATTTTATGTTACAAGATAAACGTTACAAGATATTTCCCGTGGCGTTGCTCACACGAAACCTATTAGTCGTTAGTGAATACCTTCACACTTAAAGCCTTTCTAAAGATTTAGTAATTATCTCATTAACAAAGGCCTCTACGTCTTTGAAAACTTTATACAATGAACAGCTTAAATATATCTGATTTGACGGACGGCTTTTGATGAAATATTAATTTTTAAGTTAACTAATACCTATTTATAATAATTTTGAATTTGGCTATAACAGGCCTACTTCAAAACTCAACCGAGCATTAGCATATTTAGTCGTTTTTCAAGTAGGCCTTTGAGAATTTCGATCACATATTTTATTATTTTAAATACAAAAATTATATACAAAAATTCCGTATCTTAACGTTTGTTCACATTCATCTCCGAAACAGCCCAAATGATATTAATATAAATGATATATATCTGATATGATATATTGAGCTCTAATTTTAAAAAATAAAAAAGTTTTTATCGTTATAAAAATAATAAGCGGCAGGTGGCAATAGGGAGCAAAACAATATTTTGGCGTTGTCTTTGTATTTCAATTTAATTTTACTTATCACTTAAAATATTAAGATCATTTTATATGTACATTATGATAATATTTGATTGTCATAATTTTATATCTCTCATATGATATTTTGTTATCATATTTTGAACTCTGAAATATATCTGAGTTTATATCTGATAATATTGTTGTTGATGATAAATAAATTATACAATAAAATTTTTTATATCAATATAAACATGTATGGCCATCGTTATTGAATACGTTTATTATTCCTTACACTGAAAACAAAAATAGCTTATAGGCAAATCTTATTTACCTATGTTAGTTATTTTTGCACCTTTGACTGACAGTCAAGTTATTGAGTACGTGCAAGTGATGATTCAAGGATTTTATTCGACATCAAAGGATTTTTATGTAACCATATTTTTGGCGGTCGGAATTGTTTTATCTAAAAATAATTTTTCATATACATTTATATTTTTCATATTCAATTTTCTTGAATTATGTAGATTCCATATTTATTTTTCTCTTTCTAGCTGTGTATCTTGCTGTGTAAGGTTGTGGGGTCGGCTTTCTCATTTTTCTTCGCCATTTTGCTTTATTCTCATAAAAAATGCGTGTTCTCGTGTGGCATCATAGTTTAGATGTCTGAGCGCTAATTCCGATCAACTAAGCATGCTAGTAGTTTTAAGAGAGACGCTGTTACCATCCCTTAGTCGTCTCTTACGACACCCACGGGAAAGGAAAGTGTCAAAAATTTCAGGAACATATTTACCTACAATTCCTCTGATGTTGCGGACGATTATGTGAGCTGTATGCTTGTTTTCCTTCTGTATTATAAAAAATCTGAATTTCATTAAAGGTTTACGAAGATTTTTACAAAATTTTTTTACAAGTATAAATAAAATAACAATAATTATTTTGTAGCTCTTACCTACAGTAAGATTGGAACAAAGAAAAATATAAAGGAACCACAAGATCAGACAGACGTGTAATCGGAAACCAAAGTACTTTTCCGTCCGAATGGAATAGTAGGTTCGTGCTGGCTACGTGATTTTCCTCTTGCTCCATTACTCTAATTTTACACTTGAATCCCTACGATATTAATAACATAAAATGGTTTCTCAATAACGTATAACGTCTTTTCATAATGAGCTATTACGGCCATATACGCCGTATTATGTATGTGTAATAATATACGTTTTCATAATGTAGATTATGGCATATCATACCAATATTGCTAATCTGCTAAGCTGCTTGCACTGTACATAAAACATTTTATTGGCTTTTTGCGATGAACCATTAGTATAGACTGTAGGTGCCTACGTACGCCGCATTGTGTGACAGCGTTATCGGCGAGAGCGGCCGGCTCGCCTGTCGTACACGCTTCATTGAGCTTGTTGTTATTTTTGCCTATAATCCCTGAAATTATTTGCTTGTACAGCTATTATTAGATGACAAGATTGTATAAAAAATGGAAAATTGAAATCCTTTTCTATTATATTATATATTCTTTAAAAATAGAGCTAGCCAGGTTATAAATTGAATTTAAAAATAAAAAGATTTTCACCTATGTTTTATAATAATTATATTGATATTAAATAAAAATTATAATAATATTTGTTATTATTATTATTATTATGTTATATATAAAATATTAGATAATAATTATCATAATATGATATTATGATAATAATAAAATTATATTAGATATAAATTATAATTAATTTTATGTTAACTTTACATTCCTTCATTTAAATACCGTATTGAATGCAGCTCATTCGATTTAATTATGTATATAATGATAAAATTGTTGTCCAGTGTTACTTGTTATTTTATATGAAGTCCTCTTTTCGATCTCAATCGTGTCAAAAATCAAATATTTCAAAAGTTGCAAATTTATGTATGAAATAAAACAGATTATAGAAAGGCGCTGCCCTTATAGAGAATAGATATCAAAATCTGACTATCTCGATGAAAAATTCGGCGTCTCGATAACATATTCAGTGAGTGAAAGTCTCTTTTAGCCGCGCGTAATCAAGTGAGCGAGCGAGTGAAGCGAAATTGCGATTACACGATAAATCCAATTCATTCCTTGTAGGTACCTCTTTCACTCCACCGTGACTCAATGGGACTGGCTTTTTTCGCTCCACAAGTTTTCACATCCCAATTTGATTATACCAGGTTTATTTTTATTTTTGCCCTGAATATTCTCTTCCATTGATGTCATATAATAATACAGCACAATGTAAATTACCTGAATGAAATATATAATTTTGGGGTAACAATAATATTGTGTGACAAAGGTGTAAGAATACTTACAATGTCTCTTGATCCTTTTCGATTTTTCTTTCCTAAGATGTCGTTATAGGAGATAATTAAGGAAATAAATCACAAAGGAAACGTACATATAAAACAGAGTAAAAATAGAGCTCGAAACAGAACTCTGTATATGTAAGAGCCGCCTGGTCTGTATACTAATACCTAATAGAGAGACCTATTAATGGATCGTTATGATGTTAATAAAATTAATATTATAATTTTTTTTACTTCGTGATAAGTAAAACCTACATACAGTTATCAATAATTACAACGAGTTACAAATTTGTAACCCAGCATACATAGGATAAGGTAGGATACCAGGATTATTAACATAATCATATCAGATTTTAACTGTTAACTGCTTAACATAGGCCTTCCCCTTTTGGAAGTTTTGCTAGTAGTTGCTACACCTGAGATAGTAGACACCGCTGCCTATCCCCCGATCATTTAGTTAACCTTAGTCATAATAAAGGAAGGGATGACTCATTCTATGCCGGAACCACGCGGCATTATGATAATGATGAAGGTACCAAGATGATGCCTCTTAGTAGAAAAAACTAACCCACAACTACTTTTTTAATAAACGTAAATATGCTTAGCAGTTTTAGAGCATTCTTTCTGCTATATCTGTAAAATATTGTCAATTTGTCATATATGTAAATATTTGCATAAATACAATATAAGCACATAAATATCCGAAATATATCTACTTACAGAAAATATGTCACTTCGTATCTTTTTTAATTTCAAGACTTTATATTTTTATAAAATTACCTGCCCGCTTTGTCTTTGTTCGGGTGTACACTTATCTGTTCCGTACGATTTTTTAAACATTTTAGTTTCATAGAAATCTTGTCTTGATAGTCACAAAAAAAAAAAACAAAATAGTCAAATACAACCATTCTAAAGTTGTGCACTTACTTATATTATAAATTTTAGACTACGTCTATGATTTCTTTAAACTTTTCGCCAGTTTTGATAATAAACATTGGCTGGGTAGTAATGGCTACATAATTTGGTTGCATGCGCTCTGTTTTCAGTGCTGTTTTAGTAATTTTATGGTATGTGAGTCTTGTTTATTAAAATATTTCAAATATAATTGAAATAGGTGCGACAACATGAACGTCTCTTTGGAGTATTGTTGGCTCACGAAGTGGAAACAGCGTCAAGCGGTGGTACCGACGGAGCAGAGGGCGAGACCTGTAATGGATGGGAAGGAGAACTATGCGGTCCCGCGCAGACCTTGTTACACCAACATGCGATTCAAGGCGATATGAGTGCGTTACAGGCAGCAATAGCCAGATTTGCGGCTGCATGTAGGCTGAATAGCGATGCACCTCTTGATCCTAAGTGAGTGAAAAACGTTACTTTATGTATTATTTTAAGTCGATATTCCACCTGACCAAAGTAGATTATAAAAAATAAAATGCAGGTATTAAGTATATACTATATACCCAATATTTATACATACTCACTATTTGCAAAATGTTTATGATTTAATAGTATAATAAATAAAAAAATAAAGGAAAGTGACAAGCTTTGGCTATAGATATGAATAGTGCCGTGAACATGATGTATTAGGGCAACCACTCTTCTTGCTTTGTTCTTCTTGAGGACTTACATATTATGCATAAAGATAATCTCACACTTAAAACCGAAATACAGCGACACAACCTCGAAGTATGTTTGGAGTCAGAAACACTAAATACTGATGCCAATGATGAAAATATTAGTTTCTATCAGGTGGGCCGTTAGCTTGTCGGACGTGAACACGAAATATAATTGATATTCATTATACCTCACGGTTTGCTATTCTATTAAATATCTAATAAAAACGAATTGTCTTCAGGTATATGTATAAATTGCTAACGGAGTTAGAACGTGCTTGGTGTGCGAGCGAAGGTACTTCGATGGGCGGTAGCGATGCTGGCGCCACTGGCAACGTGTCGCGCGACGAAGAACGCTGGCTGGCCGACTGCTTCGGCGAGCTGGTGGAGAGAGCGCTACACCAGCTGCGCCTGCACAGGGATCTGTACCCGGTGTTACACCACCACAGTCTTAATAAGTAAGTTGTTTACAATTCATCATCAATGGTGGTCATCCTTTCAACCATTTATTGTACGCAGTTAAAAAACCATCTATAGGATCCTATAGACTGGCCCGTTAATCTATATAATGTAAGGTCATAGTACGTTTGCTTGTTTTCTTAGTTTTATTTGTCGTTTTCGTATGACAGAATTTTGTCAAACTATGACGAAATTCTGTGGTAATTTTAAAAATTCGCACTTATTTAATCGAAGATCATTATTATTTTTATTATGATTAGATTAAAACGATGATTATTATGAATAATCTTTAAAGAAAACATGATTAACAGATAAAATGGACATATAATTATTATGTTTATATCTTTTGTGATTGAAAACAATTAGGTGGACTGTGAATCTTTATGTTTATGCGTACTTATTCAAAACCGTACCTACTCTTGCCAATTTAAGTCGAATTCATACCATAATCTCCATCTCGGTTCGTTGTTGGTCTGATCTTGGTCTACTCAATTATTATTAGGTAAAAAAAACAATGTATGTATTCATACTACAGTGCAGTTCAGTTCCGTGTCAATCACGAACAATCTCAAAGTGTTTTTATTTACCAGATCAAGATCGGACCGAAAACAAACCAAAACTGGCATTATAGTGCGAAACTGACCCTAGATATCCTATCTTTAGATATATATTTCTAAATTGTCATAACAACACGTACAGCGTTGCTCTGGGGATTTGTTGTGTAATCTATAGATGACAAGTAAACTAATCAAACGAACCACACTAGGCGTTGATAAATATTGATAAAATGTGTCGCTATGCCAATTTGTTATTTTTATTATGATTAAATTTAAAAAATATTATTTGTGAATAATAATCTTTAAGTACAGATATTAGCATATTGTTGTTGGTGATTACATCGAAAAGCGGATGTTTACAAATCGGTATTAATCAGTCCTTAATTCTGAATAAATTGGATTATATTAGGTTAATGTGAATCACCGTTGGGTATTAAAAAAGATATATACTCATTATTGGAAATAGGAGCGGAACGTAAAGGAAAAAAAAAGGAAAAATACATGAAATATTGAAGAAATCAAATGTTATTCTATTCTTTTATTTTCGAAATAAGAATAGTTACATTCACAAAAGATTATCTAAACTCAGAATCAAACCAATCAGAAAATATTTCTATTATTACCTATTATACTAATCAGAAAGTTAATGTTAAAGATACTTTTTCTGAAATAAGTATATCGTATATCTATATCTATATATATATATATATATATATATATATATATATATATATATAGATATAGATATAGATATAGATATAGATATAGATATAGATATAGATATAGATATAGATATAGATATAGATATATAGTAGATAATATGCTGGGATAAAGTATAAAAGAGAAGATTTTTTAATAACGGTTTAGATGGAAGTTTCTTGATGGTATTTGATACGAAACCAGTACGGTGAGAGAGGATAGTAAGTTGGAGATTATCACAAGAAATGTAGGTTACGATCGTGAGTTTAAAAAAGGTAATAAAATTTACTGCTTAAGTAACTAGGAAACTGCAAATTTCGATGAAGAGTAAGTGCAGAGAGTCCTAAGGTTTCTGCGTTATAATTGGGAAGCCATTTGAGCTGATATCGATAGAGGAATATATGATTAACTTACGAAGGTTAAAGATAAAGCTTATGGCTTGGTTAATGAGATGGTCCAACTTATTGTGAAACTCTGGATAACATACATTATTATAATCAATAGTAAGGAAAATTAGGGCATGAACAAGACTTATTTTTGTAGCAGTATGCAGATAGTTTTTAAAGCGGTATAAAGTGCGTAGAGTAACAACGACTGAGCGACTATCTCCGCAGCTTGTTGCCAACTGAATGTTAAGTTTATGCAAAAGCCAAGATCTTTAACGCTAGTTTTCAATTGTATAACTAAATTATTAAATCTGATTGGCGTCATTATGTTAACGTTAACTTTATTAATATTGAAAGGTATTTTATAAGTTTCCTTGAAATTCAAAATAAAATTAAATAAAAAAGGTATCCTATTTTTTATGCATCTTGTATGCATCGTGTTTCTTTGAATCGTTATATTTTCTTTAAATGTAAAACACAATGTTTATTTGAGAGAATGTTTCCTTAACATAGATTTTCACAATATAAAGGGAAAGTGTTTATTTTTCCATTTTCACTTGATTTGATTCTCGGTTCAAGTTTAAGCAATTTAAAAAATTTGTGAACGTATCTAGTTATTACTTATTATTTGTTAAAATAAAAGAATGCTATGTTTGTTGAATAAATGTTTCGCTCGTTTCTTTCACCTGTATATACTTAGTAATCAAATAATCTATTTATATAGCTATATTGTTTGCATACCTTACTAATATGGGTAATAAAATTATCTAAAATAAAATCGCTTCGGATTGTTTAATGTCCAAAAAATATTTTAAAGATTGTAACGGTATTACCTACCGTTATATATACATAAAAAATACTGCTCAACAGATAGTTATTATTATTGATCCTACAATTCGCAGTTTCTTATTTTGGGCCATAATAGTGGTTAAAAACTGAACCGCGTAACTAAGTTTGTTTTTGGATGATTTTTTTTTTAATATTTCTTTAAAACGGTGTTAGAGACAGGTTTTGTTTTTTCTGTTATATTTACATATATTTTACAAATTTATAATAATTAATTTCAGATTCCAACTTCGGAGATAAGATGGTATTTTTCTTAAACCATTAATTATAAGAAAAAAATCACGCAGCATAAAAATAAAAACTATTTTTAAAATGTACAAATAAAGTTCGTTTCATATTATATTTCACTTGGACTTTTGGGTCAATTTGGAACTCCTTTTGGACCTCCTAGTGAACAAAATAACAATGCTATTTATACTCGTACTGCAACATGTGTAGGCCAACAATATGTAAAAATATTCCAAATTTCAAATTGATGGCGTTAGTAGTTACTGAGATACAGCGCTATGATAGATGAAAGGATGAACGGAAGGACAAAGTTGCACCATAGGGGTTTCTTTGTATCTTTTTGGTACAGAACCCCTAAAACAGACAAACTGATATATTTACATCGCAAAAATTAAATAAATAACTTTTTATTACAATGTAATATAAATACACTTCCTACAAATCAGTGTAATGAAATTTTGTTATAGATGTAAACAATGTTATTTTAGTACATTGTAAAATATAAAATAACATAATTAAATCTTATTAGCAGAAGAAACTTCGTAAGGTATTTGCATTAGCTATATAAAATATTAGTTAACTTTTCCTCACAGCTTTATCTACGTAAATTTTAACAAAAATATACATACTAGGACATAACATTTGTATAAATTTCAATAAAATATTTTTACTCCTAAACATCATTCGATTTATAAAATGATAACATATCTACGTGTATAATTTAGATATTAAAATTACAAGTATAAGCGTGTTATAAATTATGTGCTATTCAGATTTATATTTCCGTGAACATAATTTTATGAAAGCCCTGGTTTACCGTTTATAATTTATACATCTTTCTAATTACCTTCCACGTCCATTGTTGTTTATAATTAAAAGCAAATATATGGTAGATAACAAATAAAAATTTATAGATCTAAATAACGAATCCGATTCGTATAATTGATTGTAACATATTATTTTCTTTTTTTGATCCCCTTCAACCAATTACACAATAAATTATCGGCCAATTTAAAATTTTCGACTCCAAAAAACACCGTTGACAGAACTAATTAACTTATCATATTGAGATATATTTGCTCTGTGAAATGAAAGCAACAATCGACAAAAGGCCTTCAATTGTATTCTGTGAAGTACTAATAAAAATACCTTTTTGTTTACAAGCAATATTTTATTTAATGACTTATTAAAGAAAAATCGTAAAGTATTATGTAACAATGTAATAAATTTTATACAAGAAAATTGTTTATTAAAGATACAATCGACTGCTGTTTATGTATAAGAAGACAAACGCATAAAATTTATACTATATTATTTTATCAGAGTTCTCGAAATGTGAACATAATAGAGTAAAATATTCACAGGTTGGAGTATCTTCTGCGATGTTTAAGTCAACTGTCACAAATGAAAGCGTTCTGGAGATGCTGTCCCTTCAACAAGGAAATCAGGCAAGTCCTCCGAATGAAAGTTCCATTCGACAAAGAGCTCTTTACATCCAAAATTAAATGTTTAATGTCTTTATTAATTAGATTCAAAGGATTCTCCCCAGCTCATAGATTGGAGTGTTTATCAAAATTTATCTTCGCTTGTATAACGAGATTTGAGTCATTTATTTTAGAAGTATCTATTCAATCAAATAACCAGATTTTCTTATTACGTATGTATTTTTTATTTCTCCTCAATAAATATTGATTTGTGAAATGGGAAAAAATAGAATTAGTTAATATACAGTAGCCACTGTCCCTTTATTTGTCCTTTTTTTTATTGGATTCGTGTGAAATATAGATTAATTATTTATTTCATTTTCCCAAATAAGTATTTTAAATATTATGTTGCAAATTCACGAAGATTTATAAAAGAATATTTAATAGTGTACACGCATCCTTTAACACCCAATTTACCTTTCGTCTTGAAACTTAAATATCTGCGTCCGTACGAGTACTGCAGGATTTCACATGAACAGATTTTCCTCAGCGTTCGGGTTGTGTTAAAAGCTGAGATTATCCCGAGAAACTAAAGGGTATTTACAAAGTCCGTCAAACATTCAAAAGATAAGTAAATTAATGATGCAAGTACCCTCTTCAATTCAAATGAATACTAATGGTGTCACTTCTAAACTGTAAAAAAGCATATTTATTGATAGAGAACCTCTTCCTATTTCCCTTTCGATACTATTGTTTACAATGCTGTTCCTCTGTACTACTTTTATTTAAGAACTTCAAATTTTAATTTGAGCAATTAGAATTTCTATATCAATCTATACAGATGGAACTAACGTGAAAGTTTTCAATATTAACAATACATCTGCAGTATTGTATACATTTATGTCATGAATAAAACTGTACTATAAAAAAGCTGTATAATTTTATATAAATACCTAATTATTTGTTACCGTTGTTATATGAGAATCAGAATAGATTATAATAACATTTATCACAATTGCTTACAAAAACAATCTAGTTTTGACGTCGAAATACTGATATTACAATGAGAATTTCACCGCTGTATTCTATTGTTTTGTTTGTATGCAAGCTCTGTAGGCTTTAGTATACCCACAGGGAATTGATTGGCTGCGAGCGCTGTCTTACAATTTTGTTTTAGGACGGAAATAGTGGGCTCACTCCGCAAAGGCACTTCAGAATGGTACGAAGCTCTTTGTGCTCAGGACACTGAATCAGAACGGGGAGAAGACCTAGTAAATCTAATTACTCTTGTGCAAATTGATCTACAGCAAGGATTGACATACTATCATCCGTTATTTGAAACGTAAGTAATATTACTTCAGCCAGCTTCAAAAAGAAGGGAACTCTCAAATTCAAAGCTATGTTTTGTGTTTATATGACTTTACCTTTACCATTTTTAAAGCAATTTCAATGAAATTGATAGGGTTTACTCTTGTGCGGGCCCTATTACGTCTTTTATCTTTACATTTTTTTAGAATATGTCATTTTAACCTGTTATCTATAACCCAAATACATTTACATTTTTATCGATTCTCACCGGTTCTCAATTCGTTTGTATTTTTTTTTAATGTTTGTTACCGCATAATTCCGTCGGCTGTAAACAGATTTGCAAATTTCTTTTTTTTTTATTAAGCATATACTTACAGATTTGTCTCATAGAAATTTTATCAAATTAAAATCTGTTCATTAGTTGAGATTTTAAAACAAAATAACTGGTTTTTCCCCAATTGAAGTTGATTTCTTTTGTGGAACACATTCTTATATTTATTAGTTATTACTTACGATTATAGGATAAAAATACAAGTCTCAGGTCTTTTAATTGAGCAAGATTTTGTAAGATAATATTAATGTTGTTTGTTTCAGGACTAACAACGTCCCATATTTTAGCGTGGTCTTTACACAAATAGATAAAATGGTAAGTAAAATGATTTTACCATTAGACGTCGTTCTTCTCATAATCCTATTAATATTATGAATTCGGTGGCTTGTAACTATTATTAGCGTATTTATTACTTAATTTCGCTTAAACGGCTAAAATGATTTAAATGAAATTTCGTACATACATATACCAGATTCTATATTATGTCATAGGATACTTTTTATCCTAATTCACACAAGCAAAGCAGCAAAATACAGTCAATAATTTATAATGATAATTCTATCGATTTTATGCAGTGTATAAGCAATTTATGTCGGCATGCAATTAAACGTATGCTATTTTCCCATCATGCATAAAAAAATGCTAACCACCTGACGCTTAATATTAGTCGCAGCAGCGTTATTACTAGTTAGTAATAACGTTGCTGCCAGTTCTGCTTCTGTATGTTATTACATAATACTATGTATATAACGATGTGAAGGAAAAGTAAACTGATAAACTGTTTTAGAATAAGATTTTTATTTACTTAAGTACCTACAAAACGTAAAATCTACGAAGGCAAAACAAAGTAAACACAATGTATTTTTTTCTTATCAACTCTTATCAACCAATTTTCTGATTTTTTTTTATTGATAGAGTTTAATCAAACTGACAATCTGACAGTTTACCTGATGAAAACTAATAACCGACATTAATTTAAAGTTTTTTTTTAATCTTAAATTTCTGTATAATAATTCTACATTATTATATTAATTTCTAAGTAGTAGCTCTTTTCTTTTAATTGAAAAATTATAAGATCTTATCAATACATTCATGGATTTAAATATTATCTAAGAATATTATATACTTGCAAATGATATATTTAATATGGGTAACCTTGTATGGGTTAAAAAAACGGTTGCTCGTTGTTTCTTGCTCGTTGACTTACGAGCTATACTGCCTTGAATAACGTATACCTTCTTCAAAACATGGGCTATCAAAAGAGAAAAATATTTCAAACCTAACAGATAGTTCCAGAGATTAGCGCATTTAAACAAACAACTACTCTTCCGCTTTACTATTATTAGTACTATTTTTATTAGTATTAGCTCCCGTCATCAGTTTTCTCCTTACAAATTAGATAATATGGGGTACTTCCAGAAACATGCTTACATACATTTAAAAGGCCGGCAACGCACAAATTTCTCTCGTGTTACTGGTGTTCATAGGCGACGGTAGCCCCTTTCCATCAGGTGGACTATCTGCTTGTTTACTTTCCTAACAATAATAAAAAAAACTTATTAGTACTTAACTATTTATATGATTTATATTTTTTATGGGGCAGGTAGCAGAAGATGTAAGGCAATGTGTAGAACACTGGGTGGCTGAAGGATGGTGCGGGGTCGCTGAGGAAGAAGTGATTGATGAGCAAGGCAACGGAGGTATGAGTTATTGGATCACATTTCGTGTCCACTTCTTCATATGCGTGGATTTCAGAAGTAGGAAATCCAATAAAATAGACTTTTAGCGCATCAAGATAAAATATACATACTAGATTTTAAGTTAGACCTCAAGGAATACGCGTGTGAAAACCTCAGCCAATTTGATGCAGTAATTTATACGTGATACCGAAACAAACATACAGACAGATAGACAAAAATAAAAAAATAAAATATTTTGTATCTTATTGTTCTTATTAAGACCGCTGATATAAATTTTTCATAAATATCTCCCATGTACAGACTTTATCTAATTACAATTATATTATATTAGTAAGATTATATCAATAAAATGTTTCACTTGTTTACAAATGAAATTTTGTATAAAGTAATATTAAATAATATGCTCTTAATAAAATAAACATATTCAAAATGTTCATTTTACCGAGACCACCTTTTTAATTCCACCTCACCATAATAATATTTACATTATTTCCACATTACGACATGAATTCAAAAGTAGGTCCTCATAAACGAAAACGACCGAAACAACCAAAAATGTACTTGAGGATGTAATAAAAAATACCGGCCTAACCACCTTGTTTTTTATTGAAAACGTTGCAATTTTCATGTTCTCTCACAGTTTTCATTTATTTATTTCAACCGATTAAGTGAGTCTTTTTACCTAGGAATATAATTATTACAGTTCTTATATACTGACCTTATTATTGCTTTCTTACTAGCAATGAAATTAATAAAGAATAGCAACGAATAAGGGGTATTATGGGCATGCCAGTATAGTACAAGTAAGTAATGCACAATCACACCAATCGTCTGGTCCTCAAGCCTGCATTATGAGGAACCAAGTAATGAAAATAAATATGCTCTGTGATATCGACGACACATTCACGTCCACGTTAAATTCTTAATAATAAATAAAGAAGTATATGTATTTTTTATTTTAAAGTTTATAAACATATGTAATAAACAGAAATGAATGTTTGATTCAGTATGTGTAGTATCGGCGAAGACCCTGCCATTTGAAGTGCTGTCAGCAGTCCGAGAGCTATGTGCAGCCGCGGCGCCCGCTCCGCCTCCGCACCTCGCGCACGATCCGCCACCGATGCTTCTCGAAGCCTACTTGTTAGTATAATCCTACTAATATTATAAATATAAAAATTTGTTACATTTGTGATGAGATGTATATATATTTGTTACTCAATTACACTTAAATGACTAAACGAATTTGAATTAAAGTTGATACACAGACTGAACTACTAGAAACACTTATAATTATTGTTATATATACATATAAACTGAATTTTACACAATGTTATCATATGTTTCTCTCAGTATCAACAAGATTATAAAAAGCAGACACGGAGTTAATGCACATTTCAATCCGCGCAGTTTTTATCCACAAAATTTTCGTATCTAAGATGATATCTTAAAATCTTAGCTTAAAATGTATACGGATAATAATAATCGCAGCAGCTATAACAGCTTTAAAGTAGATCATAGGCTTTTACAATCTTATAACTTTATTCATGAAAAGTGGTATTATCTATGACTTTGTTGTAATCGATCAATTCATTACACGATGTCTATTATAAGAATAAATTTAAATAAATAATGCCAGTTCTGAGTACTTTTTATGAATTTTTGATCTAAAATTTTGAAGTTTTTTTTTTTCTTAATAAAACAAACTAATAAATCGTTTGACTTTGCATTTTATAATAGATACCTAAAATTTATATCGTAATGAATGAATGTGAAATAGGTACCTACTAATATCTACTGAATATTTCCTGTTGCAAATACATTTATAAGGACCGTCTCGAATCACTCATAAATCACATATTACGGTCTATTTACTGCACGAGAATGTTGTGAGTTAACATGCTTCCTAATCTTGAATGTTAAACAAAAAGTAGCGTCCTCCAAAAGTTTCAGGTTCATTAAAAACGCCACAAATGCGTAGCAAGCTCGGGTCATGAAAAAGTTTTACAGGCTTATAATGCAAAAGCCAATGGGCTCACATTAATTAGGTAGCATTAATAAGTTTGGGAAATCATTATATCTATAACAGTGTACTGCGTGGCACCAGTATTGTTGGACTTAGTCGTCTTTGAATGCTGCCAAGTTCCTCCATCGAAACTTTTGAATACAGTTAAAAGGAAATATATTTTATACGTGAGCCTTTTTCTGTAGGCATTAAGACAAAAATATGAATTCCATAAAGGGATGCGTCGCTTTGACCCTTTCTATTGATTGGATAACTTTTATATTGTTTGCCGCATTCTTACACGGTATGTATTAATACGTAAATACTATGGCTTTAACGTAGCAGCATGGTGAATTAAGTTATAGGGCTCATTGACTAAAATACGATTGAACGCAACAATAGATAAATCATCCCTCATACTCGTAGATAAACTTTACTTGTCCAGAGACCAATCAATTTGCTTTAACTTTTCAAATTCTACTTTATTTTAAAAAGAGTAATAGTCGAGTTTCTTGCCCATTCATTTTTCTCATTTGAATTTCTCAAAATGAATGTATAAAAATACTTAAAAATAAGTATTTTTAAATCAATTCATTCATTTAAATTGCTTGTATTTTTTTTAATAAAGTTTGAATTTCGCTAACTTTAATACTGACTTTCGGATAAAAACATCAAAGTCGCGAGGTAATGTCAAGTATTTTTTTAAAGAATTGTGTTTAAAAACTTATATAGCAAATATATAAATCTCTAGTAATTTACATCAGTAGATATTATTTATGAATAACAGCATTAATTAAAAATATATTTTGTGAAAATTGTGTGTATTATAAATAAGAAGTCGTTATGATAAACCTTCAGTTTTTAATAGTTCCTATTTAGAAAATCTCTTAAGCGGACGCTTAGTAGATGTATGTACCTACAGTTATCATGCAGCCAGATTGAGTGCACCTCATTTACGTTACCTATATATTCGCAGGTGGTTCGAGCCATTAATCGATAGATGGTTGGCAGTTACTAAGACCATGGCTTTGCAGAGAGTTCGCGCAGCTGTTGAACTAGGTATCTTACTCGTGTATATTTATATCTAGTTATATAATAATATGCTACTTAACACAGCTTTGTCACATTCTTTTTTCTAATATTTCAACAGAGTTTAAGAAGGGATTTGTAATACAAAGCTTTTTTTTGTCTCATTACTGGACCGAATATCTCCTTATAAGAGATTCTTGTTTATTATCATGATACTGATTAAGTGGCTTGGTATTATAGGGCAGCAGTAGTGGTAATATAAGGTTTTATTTAGAGTTTTTCTTCACTTGTATTAGTGTATCATTTTATTCCTTTATTCATCTCTGTAGAGTTCTTAGAGCTAAGAAATAGTAAAATATTATGTAAGAGAGATTAGTATTTTACATATTACATTATATAACGATTAAAGATTGTATCCCACAAAGAAAAACGGTTTCAATTCTGATAAAACCAGTTATTTTGATGTAAAAACTGAAATACTAAACCGATTTTGATAAAATTTCTATGGAACTAATCTTGTTTAAAAGGATATACTTACTCCTTTCAAAAAAGAAAAGTATTTTCCAAACCGGGTTAGAATTGACGGAGTTATGAGGTAACAAATATAAAAAAATACAACCGAATTGAGAATCTCCTACTTTTAGAAGTTTGTTGAAAATTATAATCAAATATTGTAAAATACATATTACATATGTATATAGGCAAAACGTTTGATACTCTCATCATCATCACGTATTAACGTTCCTCTACTGAGAAAGGACCTCTCATCTTAAGAGGATATTAGCCTACTCTTTGCCACTTGCAAATTCTCGGGATACCGTAATGTAACCAACTTACAGTGGCCAAAGGCAAAGAGGTCAAAGGTAAACAATCAAAACGTTTATCAAAACTATCAAACTGATATTGTTTATATATAATATATTCTAACTTGGATATATTTACTAAATAACTTAAATACATAGTTAGGTTGTTTACTAAATTGTATGATATAATAGTAAATATGTATCTACCTAAATAAAATAAGAATATAGTACATAATTTATTAATATGAAAAACTTTGTATTGTAACAATTTCTTTATTTAATGCAATATTCATTTGATAGTGATTAAAGATTGTGTCCCACAAAAAAAACGACTTTACTTATATCAAAAGTAATTATTTTGATCTAAATATTAAAAAATTACTGAACCGATTTTGATAAAACTTCTGTAAGGTCTTTCTTTCAGATAAAAAGAATTTTCCAAGTCAGTTTAGAACTGACGGTGTTATGAGGTAACAAACATAAAAAAACAACCGAATCAAGAACCTCCTTTTTTTTAAGTCCGTTGAAAATAATTTTTTTATTAATTAATTATTATGTATCTACAAATTTCTTTCATAAAAATCTGACTATTTTATAGATATTAATGTGAGGAGTGTTTATTCTTATGAATATATATGAAATCAATAAAACGATATATATCGTTTTATTGATATATATATTATCACTAATCATTATATGAATCAGAACAGTTTACTGAATAAAAACTGATAATGTTATATATATCATTATTAACATGCAACATGTTTGCTTTGGTATAGGTAGAGATTTTACATTGTCTTTTATCGCATTAGATAATGTTCCTAAGCAGTATACGCTAAGACTAATAAAGCCTACTACTACTTCGCTATATTTAATAAAATACACTTATCACGTTTGATACAGTTATTTCCGAGTTACAAACTAAATCTAGAATGTTGTTCAGCAAAACACGCAAGTTGCGCTATGAAACAGACAACCGTCAAAATTAAAGTTACACTACTTTCAAAGCAAACGCCAGCGAGAATATAAGATCTTAGGATAGAAATAATAAAAAAAAACACCAACCGAATATATGACTTAAGGGATTGTATTACGACATATTTTTAAATGAACAGGACTAATTGTCGAGAGGCCAAAAGGCAAAGGTTCACACCCGTGGCCGGGCGGGTGGCCATTTAGATAAGTATCGAAATCTGAACTGCGTCGTGACACGAAAGCTTTTATTGGCTTCAGACAATTATAAGGTTGCGTCTGATTTGTTTGTATGAATATTAATTTTATATCTATAGGTACTTATTATCAATACCTACATATGGGTATTCAAAACTTGAAGAATATATTGATTGTGTTCTAAGTATTTAGTGTAAAAAAATCTTGAAATATTATTTTACAATGTAAACACGTAATCATTATCATCATCATATCAGCCTTTAACTGTCCACTGAACATAAGCCTCCCCCTTGGGTGGGTTTTGCTAGTAGTTGCCACGTTTGACAAGCGGATTGTTAACTACATTCAGGCTTTAGAGATGTTTTAAGAGAAATGCTGCTGCCCATCCCTCGCCCTCCCTTAGTCGGCTTTTACGACACTAACGGGAAAGGAAGGAGTGGCCTATTTAATACCGGGGCCACATGGGCAAAACACGTAATTACATTCGAAAATAGACAATTTTAATAGAATGTATTGTTTTTTTTTCGCTTTTTATCAATAAATTACTAAAAATACAATAAAAGTACAGTATATAATTTTATAAGGTCCTGATGCACCCAAAGACCAAATAATTCTATTTGTTAGTCAATAAAATTGTTAACATAAACATAGGTACCTAAGCGTTATTATGAATAATATGCGTGATGGAAATTAATTTCGTTTAACGCAGTATATCGTGTTTAAAATTACCTCCGTAGTGAACCGGGATTGTGGATAATGCAAGTTTTTTTAAGGACGAAAATATAATAATAACACCGCCTACCCTGTTGATTTACGATGTCAGGGTGAAGGATGACAGGGAAAGATAAGGTCAAATCAGTTAGCCCATTATGACCTATTCGTCGGGAATTAACTCCGTTTTCCTCTCTTCCAATAACAATGTATTAGATTTTTTGTTATTGTATAACAAATCGTAAAAATTGAACATTCTGTATATTAAGGTTTATTTCAGTAAGCAATAAAACTAAAAGTAATAAAATTTTCGAATCGATGTCTTAGTGACGTCATCACAAGAAAAGGATTTCAACGTCATTTTATAAACAAGTAGTAACGTCTATTATTATTTTTATTGAAAGACGAGCTTTTTAAACGACACTGTGACCTTTTTATGAACTTTCGTGCTCGCCCTTTTTTAAAATTCGCTGTTAATTTTTATCAATGATAAGAATTTTGAAATGTACTTTGTAGCGATGTTTTTATCTCCTAAGGAGCGTGTTTTCAAAGTATTTTTTTTTTCGTGTATATATTAATGGACTACAGCTATACATTAAGTACTGCGGCATTTCTTCCTCATTGTAACAAATCTGCAAATGCTTTTTGGGCATAAGCCTAGTTGGGCCATATGCTTGTTTGGTTAGCAGTGTCCAGTGAGAGCCTTGTTAGTGACGTCTAACAAGGGCACTTACTCTCACTGGGCATTGAAGGGAAAAACATTAAAGCGAAAAACAAAATATAAAATATTCAAGTCCATCTTACATTTTTTTTTATTATAAATATATAGGTAATTCTTGATAAGAAGAAATTGAACATTAACAACAAAAAAAAAATTACATATACGGGTCTTGTTACTTAGTACTTGTAAACAAATAAAACGACACAAACTCTGTTTTTTTTTTTACAACTTAAACTTGTTTAAAATAATTTATTTAAAGTGATCCATTTATAACATAATTGTGTTCAATGTTTAGATCGTGCAGTCGAAGGTGAACACCTTGTGAAGCACAGCACATCATCAGTAGACACGGCTGCATGGTGAGTCTTTATGTATTTTTTTTATTCAACTTAGAATGGCAAACAAGCAAACGGCCCACCTGATGGAAAGTGGTAATCGTCGCCTATAGACATGAGCAGTACCATGGACATAACTGTTTCGTTCATGATACCCCCCCCCCCCCCATGCGTTGCCATTTCTAAGGACTCAGGTGTTATTCCTCTGTACCCTGTAAATTCACTGCCATATCCCACCCTTCAAACCGAAACACAGCCATGCAAACACAACTGCTTCGAGGTTGAAATACGAATGGTACCAATGGGAATGGGAGTCCAAGTAAATTATAAAGTTCACTTGGATTTATTATTTGGTTACTCCATTTAGTAACCAAATAATAAACAGTATATGTATATATACTGTTGCAATCATAGGAATGTGAAGCAGTGGTATATTAAATCGCTACATCACTGCGGTCGCAATTATCATCATTACAGCAACGAACAACAACATAACTTATATTGTTGTTAATACCGTGTTAAATTATTTAGTGCTATTAGGAATAATATTATATATCTACTGATATATGGTTGCACAGTTACTTCTGTGATAATAATAATATTTTTATTCAAATGAGATACAGTTACATAAAGTACAATTTATAATTTATATTGAACGAGAAAAATATCTGCTGTTACCTAATATTTAGTACACTTTATTTAAACAAAAAAATAAATAAATAAGGAAAACTATGTGAAAAGGTGAGCACGTGTGCGTGTGTGTGTATAAGAGTTAGTGAGTGCGTGCGTGCATGCTTGTGTATGCGTGCAAGCTTGTGTATGCGTGCAAGCTTGTGCATGCGTGCATGAGTAGGTACGTGTGTATATGTATGTGCATAGTCAGAATCAGAGTTTCATGAAATTCTCAGTTTCCTCATAATTTAATGAAACTAAATATTTTTTTATAAGTTTATTAGCCTGTGATGAAGTATTATTATTCTTTATTTGGCAACATTTAAGTATATTATTGTATATGTAAAGATGAAGAAAACGTGGTAAGCGACTTGCAAACGTGGTTTTAATACATGGAACATGAATTGATTGATTGGTACTTAGATTAATTTTTGTACGTGTATAAGATAGACAAAGATAAGTGATTATCACAACAAGCGTGGCATTACGCTATAAGGTTACATGAATGTCGTTCGTTTTATGAAAAATAGTGGTAATTAAAAAACCAATGTGTGATGATCAGTAAGTCTTATTATCAAAATTATTTGTATTTTTAAAATACAATCTTAGAGAAAAAATGAACAATGCCTTTTCATGAATCGAGCAAAAAGTTTGATAGGCATTTCAAACAAAGCTCGGCCTCGTTTCTCCCAATTTCAGATATTATATTTCAATATCGAAATTGAATACACAAAATGGAAAATGAAATTAATATCCAGTAAGTACTTACTTATTGAGCAATATTTTTTCTATCCTATTTTAGTTAGAAAATAAATAAAAAGAAACCAGATATTTGATGTCTTCTTTCAATGTAAAAACAAACAAAAGACATACGTAGATCGATAATCCTCCTGCCCATAATATATTCAAAGACATGTGTCACATTCCATTGTTCATGTGTCACAATCAGTCCAAATGATTCCTGTCCGTATCAAGATAAATAAATACTATTACATTTTATGTAGACAAATGTATTTGATATGTTAGTTAAAAAACAGTGTAAGTTTCTCAAAGTGTTAGCACATTTCTATTGTTAAATTACGAGTTAATAAACATAACAGCGTTCATTATTGAAGTTCAATATCTCTAAACCTTAGATTATACTCTAAAAATAAACTGAAGTTAGTGTCGTTAGACGTATTACAGCAAAATACACTAACAAATTTAACAAAGTTTATTTCTTTACTATTAATTCTAAATATAATGTAGAATATATTTTATAGAAGCTAATACTTTATATCGTTAATCGTTAGCAATAAAAAGAAATGAAAAAAAAAATTTGAGAGTATGACAGTTGAGAAGTGTTGAGTATTTTATATTTGAAACCGAGCTAAATAAACGATCATGGAATCACTATTTATGTCAAGATAATATTTATTAACATAGTTCATAAATTATTATGAACTATGTTAATAAATGAGATGATAAAATTTTTTTTAACAATTAAAGGTAATTTCAAATCAAGTTTCTGCCGACACTGTTAAAAAAATTGTATTGGTTTTGGTTTACGAAGAACGTAGTTTTGATACAAATATATGTCTGAACGAGTGTACGAGCAGGTATTAATTTAATTGGGCTTGGTTTTACCGCTTCACTATTTCATGCGTACACATTTATCTACACTGTTTTCTTGCTCTGAGCTAATAGGTATATAAATCACTTAACACAAGAAGAAGGAAGAGCTACGGCGTAGACACAATGAACTACGCGAACTACGTTAATATAATATTGGCTACGATTGTTAAAAGTATTTGACTGTATGGGTTTATAAAAGACATTATAATGGAAAATGATGCGTATTTTATTAAAAATGTAAAAGCAGTAACAGTCCTACCAATATATAATAATAATTTAATGGCTAATAATTTAATTTTTTACTCTTATTTTAATAAGTTACCAGAGGGAGACTTTGTACAAAAATCGTTTGCTTGGGCACTTTAATATATTCGTATTTCTATCGTGAAATAGTCGTGTTTGCATGGCTATGTTTCCGTTTAAAGGATAGGATATGGCAGTGAATTTACAGGGTACAGAATAATAACACCTGAGTCCTCAGGAATGGCAACGTATGGGGTATATCTTGGGCGAAACAGTATACTCTGTTATGTCCATGGTATTGTTCATGTCTATAGGTGACGGTTACCACTTTCATCAGGTGGACCGTCAGCTTGTTTGTCATTCTAAGTTGCATAAAAAAATCATAAATAGTTATATTACTTTAGTAGTAAATTAATCATGAAAACAAATGAAAATTGTAACATATTGCAAAATTTAATCACTGTAATGACTTGAATACTCGAATCGAGTTCTGTTAATATTAATTTATTGTAGCAATTATAGTGGTCATTTCATATTGATTTGTAATATTTATAAAAATAGTAAGTCGAATAAATTTTTACAAATGACTTTGTTAGTTATAGAATTATACTCTTCAAGTTATATATTTTAATAGATAGGTACATTGAAACTTCACAGGCTATATTACTCTCATCTTGTCTATTATATATGTATTAATATACCATAGGTAATTAATATGATGTTTTTTCTTTATCTTTCTTTTCAATATGATTTATCAGCCTCTACCACATGCGATTGGTATGGCGGGCAATTGGCGGTGCTGAAGAGGGTACAGGAGGCGGCGGTCTGAGACTTTTAGAGGCAGCGTGTGCCACAGCCTTGCATTATGCTGATCTCGTTCATGGCGCGCTTGCGGATCAAGGATATTACGAGAATCACGGTAACTATTTTTCTTCTACGTTGATTATTGGTTTCAAATTCTAATACATTAATATTAGAGTACTGTGGAATATATACCTAGTCTAGCCATAAGTTTTGTTACAGATGAAAATGCATTATTAAATGCATTAGCTCTAAAACTAAACATAATTTGAAGTCTAAAGGGTTGAGGTCTGGGCTAGATGAGGGCCAGTCTTCAACTTTTATAAAATCTGAAACGTTGGTTTCAAGCCAGGCTTGGGTAGTCCGTGCCTTGTGACCAGGTGCAGAGTCCTGCTGGAATTTTTAATTACGGTATTTTTAAAAAGTGTATTGCTTAGAGGTTTCACAACACCATCCAAGACTGTATCTCTATACACTTTGGCTAAAGTTTTCACTCCTTTTTCACAAAAATGTAATTTTGTGACTCCTTGATAAGACACGCCCCACTAAACAAGCGCTATTCACCTGAATAATTTTAAACAACTTTTTTTTAAATAGAGTAATAATGCGTGCTTTATTATCTTTACGCCTGAAAAGTTCAATAATAAAAAGAGTGTAATAGTGATATTGGATGCATACCAATTTCATCTTAAATTGTGACAACGGATTAGAACTAAGAATTAAATGAATTAACTTATTCGTCCAGGGGCATTAAATTGATTGCCATTCCCTTCTCTATACAGGAGTTACATAGGGAAATAACTAATGAAATTAATAATATTATCGAGTAATGTAGTTGTTTTGTAAGTTACTACTTCCGATATCAAACATCCGTTTAAATTTCTAACTAGGTAATAGTAACACAATAGTCTTTGAGACAACAGTAAGTTTGCAAGACAGATGATCAAGTACCTGTTTCAGATACTTGATCACCGATCGTACGAACTTACTAGTGTCTCATAGATCTAGATCAAGAATTATATTCCTCACGAAATGTAAGAGAAAAGACTTTTGTAGTTTCTGACATTTCAATACGCTAACTTTAACAGGTTCTCTTATCTTCTTCATTCTTATAAGAAAACAGATCGATTAGTACCAAAATAGTTATTCTGTTGCGGACTATATATTTTTCCAAAAACTGTGAATATCGATCAAAATAGCTTCTTATGGTTAAAAAACTGTTCAAAATACAATATTGTAATAAGTCTTGAGAACGGATAGTAAAAGCAGGTAGCCTTGCTACCTCTTCCCAAAAATTCCTTTTATATATAATAGGTTTTAATATTTTATTAAAGTAATGGATGAAATTGGAAGTCTTCTGTTAGTGAACAAAGAAACCTTGCTATTCATGCTACGTAGGTACACATACCTAATTCAATTTTCCTGATTCCATATTGTGTCTCTTCAATTCTGGTTTCAGTTGAAGGTTGTCTTGAAAGGATCTCAAAAGTAATTACGTCCTGATTAATATACGCAATACCTAAAAAAAATTTTATAAAAATATATTAACAATGCTAAATTCCTTAATATTATTTTATAAATATAAAAATTATAATTTTAAATACAATTATGTATTTATTTTATTTTATAATAATACAATTATGTAAATATTTGTCTTTTAATATGAGCATGTTAGCCAGGTCTATCTGAAAGGATTCGAATGCTTTGAATCATTAATATTATGAATGATTAGTAATTACATATATTATTTTGTTATTATATTGAAACGCAGTTTATATATATTTTTTTAATATAAAATACTGATTTTGATGCATTTATGTAAATCTGACAAAATATCTCTGAATTAATGATAATAAAAGATAACTAACTACATTTCGTGAATCAACTCTCTTTAGTTTTCAAATAAATATTTTCAGGTATAAATTTTATCTTTTATTTATTCAATTTATTCGCATTTTTTTAAATAAAGATCATCAATCAACATTAGTGTACATGAGTAATTATGTTTCACTGCACAGAATAATCAGTTGTGACTGTAATCCGATAATGGAGTAACAGCTAATAAATGATTCCCGAGGTTTGGGGAGACGAGTACAGGTAAATAGATTGTTCTGCTGTCGTTTGTTTATATTTTTATTACGTAACTAACTTTTGGGCGTAATTTCGTATGCGTGGATTTTGAAATTAGGTAATCACTTCTAGATGATGCATCAAGATAAAATACATACTAGATCTTAAGTGAGACTTTCAGATACTTAACTGTGAAAACTGCATCCATTTTGGTGCAATATCAGGAAAATTTGGTGCAATAGTTTTTACGCAAAATGCGACAAATATAGCAGACAGACAAATATTAAAAAAAATATTGTTATTATTTCGATTGCTTTATTTAGGACTTCTCATATATTTTTTTCCTAGACGTTATCTATATGTACATACATTAATGTAATCATTATAATTACTACACATATAAACACCATAGACGTCACATAATAAATACCGTACCGCTCGTGGCAACCCCATATATTTTTTATTACCACTATGGTTGCAAGTAAGCGTACATCATATATGCTTATTTACCACTTGATGATCTCTAGAAAAACCTCGGTTGGGAGGTTATTTCACAGTCTATGCATTCACGGGAGAAAACTCCTCGGAAAACGCACTCTACGTGACCATTTAGATTTAAGATTGTGAGAATACATTCCCTATCGATGGCGAGCGGTGATAAAAGGTGGCTGTGAGCATCATTTCAGACAATTCTTTAGTACGTTATACAAACGATACACATATAGGAAGACAAAGGCTCACTTTAGACTTAGTTCCTATAATTACCACTTGTGTGAATTAAATTATTTATGTCTCTTACCTATATTAGAGATTTCAGTGGCTATTTTACCCTTCAAACAGAAACTTATTTTGTCTTTAGTACTAGCACTTTATTACTGGATATTTATTGTCTATTTAATTAAGCTAAGTACCTAACAGCTTCTGTTCATTCACCTGTTTAATTATGTATACTTCTAAGGGTTAAGTATTCATAGTATTATTCATGAGGTAACTACCGCAAATGATTAGATTGTACAATTAATGTTATTTACAGTATATCTATAATATAAAAGGATCAACAGAACAAACGTTGCAGTCACTAATAGTAATAATAAGTGCCACATAATAACGAACTAGAACTAGGTAGGTTCTCATCGAACTAGGTACCTCTCAGAATACTCAGGTTCAACTTAATTTAGATACGTTCATTTCCGAAACAAACTCTACCTGAAATTAATTTTTTTACTCTGGGTCCATGGAGCTCCGAGGCTATGAATCTTTTCAAAGAGATTTCACGCCGGCTGGTAGAAACCTCTGGCGACCAGAAGGCTGGCCTATACTTTAGTCAACGCATTTCCATAGCTATTCAGCGTGGAAATGCAGCAAGTCTCCTAGGTACCCTACCAGCTGGCAGTGATCTTAAGGAAATTTTTTATCTATAACTATTTAAATTTTATTCCTTTATAATCAAATAATTAGTTATTTTACCTGAAATTAATAAACATTAATAAATAAACCATAAAATAAATATATTATATTATATTACATAGCGTTTTCTAGTCCCAAACTAAACAAAGTTTATATTACAGGCACTACTAGATATCTGACAGAAATACATAAATACTTTTTTTTAAAATACACATATATTATACGTAGAAATTCAGGCCCATACTAACAGGCATATTCATGAATATAAAAATTTGTATTATGCGTGAACCAAACCCGGGACCACTGGGCGGTGAGATGGAAAATTGGAAAATAAGGCGGCCACTATTTTACCAAGATCGTCTTGAACCCAGACCCTCATTTGCATAAAAGCAACATGCCCACCAAATCGGCGCAGAAATCATCAACTAATACATAAATATAATACGTAATATTTGATGGCAGGTCAGAACAAATCAACAGAAGAGATATGCACGATCGTGAACAACTTGGAGTATGTGCGCCGCTCGCTCTCTGAATACGACGACGAATATATGTAAGAATCCCTTTGTAAAAAGAATTTTATACATACAAAATTGTTTTAGTAATCTGATAGTTTAGTTTTTAATATTATATAAACATTAACAGAGTTTCATTGACTATCTTTTCCTATTTTTATCTTTTAATATTTTATCTAAAAACGAAATAATTTCCAATATATTAATTAATATTGAATTCTGATGTTTTTTACTTTGATATAATTTATCTTATAAAAATGTTGAATCTTGATTATATTATATTATATATACCTATTTACTCGTATTATAAGATCAAAAATTTTGTTCTCCTATTTTTTATTCAATTTTATTAAGTTTTATTAAATATTCTCATTTATTTATTACTTTAAAATAAAATATCAAAAGAACTAAGGATTTTATAAGCAATTTACTTATATTTCTTCATTCAATTAAGAGCACTTATAAGAATTCTTCTTTATTTAATAGGCGTCTTTGTCCTTTTGCTGTCCAATTAAGCGATTTATTTCCATGTTTGTTTATTTAAAAATATGTGAATTCTTCTTTGTTTTGTCTCTTTGCAATTATTCAACAATTATTGCATATGCACATACTCGTATGTTGTATAACATATATTTTTATTGTTAATATATGTAGAGGTTAGTTGATATTATTTCACTATAAAATAACACTTTTACGCCAAGAGCGATATTTTGAAATCAAAGAAAAGTAAAGGATTTAGATTTAGAGAAGGTATCAGGATCCCAAGCGTAGCAAAAGATTCTAAAATGGAATTCGAATAGAACGAGGGTGATACATCGCCCCAGGTAAAAACTTTGTTTGAGATTTATTTATTCTATAAGAATAAACAGTACAAAAATTATGAAAATGTTTTTGTGAATAATGATAAGAAATCGTCATTATTAGACAAAACAGTAATTAAAAGTAAATAAAGAAATATCTATATTGAATTGGGCGATTGAAATACCGCGATAGGAGAGTAAGCTTATTAGCTTAAATATATATTTTATTAGATATAAATATATATTTAGTGATATGCAAATGAATTTTATATTGAAATAACTTTTGTAATTCTAAATTGTTATTTTTATAATCTTATTTAGAATGATTTTTTTGTAATCTAATTTATAACTGTTTACTTAAAATAATTTAAAAATTTAGTTGATAATAAATATGTATTTCATTTTATTAATTTAATTTCAAATTTTATTCCACAAAAACAAATGTAGTCTGACACGTCTGAATGTCATTAAACGTTAAGACGTTTTCTATCGAATACAAAAAATAATTAAATCATTGAATGTAATAATTAAACATATGAAGTTGCATAAAATTAAAATTTCGAAATATATTATTTACAAAATTACATTTTTAACTACTTCATATACAATTAATGAATAATAATAGTAAATACGTATTTAATGCATGATGAGCATCATTCCAGGAACAACAGAAAATAGTGAAATAGGTTAATTACTTGAAACCCCTTATTTATTCTTTCATGTTTTATTATTTCATTTATATTCCTTATTTATAACTTATCCACTGTAGAAATATTTTGGAAATAATACAAACTTATTATTACAGAACCATCATTATTTTTTAATACCTACCACACTTACAAATACAATGTAACCTTATGTAATTAACTTACGCTAAATTTGCAAAAGAAACACGGAAATAATGTAATGATCGATCACTTAATTAATTTACGATATTTGATTAATATACTTTCGTGAGTAAAACTTACTGGAGTTATGGTAGCCAAACAGTGGTAGATTATTACTATAAGAGCAGAACAATAAGTCACGAACTGCCACTTTGTTTCAGCACTACATATTAAGACAAGATCAAAGTTTCGTATATGCGTGTATATAGAGCGTAGCTGTATATGGTATAAAGTTGTTACAAAAATAAAATATACATGAGGAAACAAAATATAATTTATGGCATGAAAATTAACTTGGTCTTGTGCCTACGTTAAAATATTTATTTATTAACGTAATTGCGACGTTTTAACCAAGTTATACTCGTACTTCGTTACAGCTGACAACTTAATCTCGTCACGCGAAAGTTTTAAATTTAATAATTATTGCAATTTAAAGAGCAAACGATGAAAATGCGCGGCAACTAGTCCGTGGCGCGCTGGGGACATTGGACGCTCGGTCGGCGCGCGCTGCGGCGCCTTTAGCCGCCCGGGCGCGCCCGCCTTTACGGAAAGCTGTTTTCCATCTAGCGTGGTCCCCTGATACGCTACCCACGCCTCAGGTAAAGATTTTTTAGCAATATAAATAAATTTAAACTAATATTACGAAGAGGAAAGATAAAATTTTTGTTTGTAATAGATAAACCAAAAAGATATTTAACCACTTTGAAAAATTCTCTCACCTACAAAACTTACATTATACTCGTAAGTAAGTAATATATGGGTTGTATTTTATTTTAAAAAATCTGTGAGCAGCTGAAGCAGGTTATTAATTATTTAAGGTGAAATTGAAACTTGTCATAGTTTTTTGGCAATGCTCTATCAATAAAACTTACAATTTTGACCTTAGAAACGTAAGTCAAAAAGAACGAAAAATTTTAAGCTTCTTATTCAAACATAGCACGTTCAACTGTCAAAAGTGGATGAGATAATCATGTGTCGGTCATACTTATAAATACCTACTCCATAATTCAAATTTCCATGCGACAGTTAACTAATTCCTACTACGAAATAAATACAATATCAGTCTAATATTAGAATCGACACAACATTGATCAGTAATCATATTAGTACCCACGAAGTTATAGGAAATACATTGAGATTGAAATTTGTCCATTAATTGTCGTCTGACTGTGATATCGGATATTGGATTGCGTAGCCTTGATTTTTTCCGGGCCACTCATGAGGTATCATAACTTATTATAAACGTACAGTTACACTACAAATATACATACATATAATAATAATACTTTTCATATTTAGAATAAAATCTAGTAAAATAAAATAGAATCTATAAAATTTAGGATTGTGAGCTGGTGAATTTTCTATTACATCTACTTATTTCAGAATATACAAATGTAGAACGGTAATAGCTACCCTCTAGAAATGTAAAATGTTCGCTCATTTCAATCGGGTCGCATCTGTTGAGATGCCTGTAATTGTAATCTCAGAGCGTTGAAATAAAATTGCGTTACGTTTTTGCATCTTATTAAGAAATAACAGCAAAATATCACAGTATTTTAAGAGTTATGTATATGAAAATGTTAAACAGAACTCTAATTGAATTGCTCCTTATTTGATAATGGATGGATCCTACACAAGATGGATATTTTTGTTCTAAACGCCTTAAAGGTATCAAACCCAAATTTAAACAAATATTGAATTTCCAGTCAAATATCTCCTATTGACATCTTTAAACCTAATTAAATTGATTTATGTAAATAGGTATTTCATAATTGAATAACTATAGGTATTGATGACAAAATTATTGTATTCTTTTATACTTTTCTACATACATACATAGGTATGCAGATGTGACATCTGCATAGGAATATGTATATATATATATATATATATATATATATATATATATATATATATATATATATATATATATATATATATATATATATATATATATATATATATATATATATATATATATATATATATAAGTTAAGATAAATATGTTTATTATCCAGGCTATCACTCCCTTACTGGAGTTCCTAGACCAACATTTGTCTTCACTCAACACTTGGTTACTGCCGCGTGCTTTCACTCGTGCTCTTGCTGGCTGCTGGAGCGCTGTACTTAAAGAGGTATCAGCTCAAGCTGACGCTGGCGGGGCTGAAAGGCCTAGAGTCTACCATCACAGGCTGAGGGAAGCTCTCGATCTACTTGCAGAATTTTTCCATGCAGAGGGAAAAGGTATTTAAAATTTAGAACTCAGTTAATTACGTCGTCATGTCCAATTATAAGCGGAAACTTCGGCGAAAATTAAACTTTAAATTAAATTTAAACAATAATAATTGAACCAATTCGAACTTGTTAATTTCCATTGCGTTTATATCAAAAACAATGAACTTTTCACACGGAATGCCAAGGTGAAACATAAGTTTCCAAGAAAGTTGTTCCATCACGTAATAACCTAAGTGTTTTGTGAGAAATTATTAACGATGTTAATGTTTCATCGAATTATTTGCTTCGTTAGGTTTGCCAATGTCTGAGGTACACAATCACGAGTGGATCCGTGTCGAACAAAGAATGCAGTATCATCAAGCACCTACAGAAGAACTTTTAGAATTATGGCTCGCTGATCGGCTTGCCGAACAAGCCCGAACACCCTTACCGTCCCCTTATGGATCCATATTAGTTAGGTAAGTAGATAGTATTCTGGATATTTTTATAATTGTTATAAATGTTATTTACATAGTTTTGTGCAATTTTAGCATATAACAGTCTAAAAAGATTTTTTTTATCTGATTAACTAAATATATAAAATAATTTATGAAAACAATTATTAGATGCTCAATTCCAAAATGTTATAGAAAACCACTATTTGAACTAGTGTAGAAATTTACAATTTTTAATATTATATAAGACTTGTATTTAATAATTATAAGAGCTATTTTAATAACATTAATATGATTTACTTATATCTAAATCTATATAATATCATACAAATATCATTACAAGCATTAATCGATTCTATTTTATTTATATATATTTTTCCTCGGTTTTTTTTTTATTTTAATAGTAATTCTTTATGACTACTGTTATAACATAGACACAATTGTCTCATAACATAATTATATCGGCAGGGTCTATTTCAACCACGACTCGCTGTGTGTAGAAGTACTCTCCGCCCGCGACGTGATCCCACTTGATCCCAACGGGCTAAGTGACCCGTTCGTAGTCCTCGAGCTATTACCTAAAAGGCTCTTCCCTAAAGCGCATGAACAGACTACCAATGTTCAAAAGGTAAAGTATTACTATATACATAAACTGTTTATTTTATACAGTTAATTAATTTGATTTTTATAGTATGCGTAATCTTCGTTTTTATATAAAAGCAATCACGTATAAATCTATTCTTTATTCTACCTATTGAGATTGTCTCAATAGATTCTTTCTTCTGTATTTATGAATCTACTATGTATAGTGCTTTAATTAATTTTTAAAGCTTTCAAAACCTTTAATTTGCATTTTATATAATTTTTGTACTTATATTAAATTGAGCTCTATCATAAATCAGAAATAAAACTAGGCCAAAGTATTTTCTTTGGTAAAAGTTCTTCTTCGGTTAAGACAACATATACAGGTATATTTGTACCCTTATATATTTTCTATAAAATTATCATATTTTAATTTATTATTGTATTGTACTCAATATAGATACATGGATTTAATATATAAAAGGCCAAAGTTAATTAACAATACAATTTTTTATTCTCCATTTTTATGACAATTTTATTTATTCTTTATTTGAAATTAAAAAAATATAATAAAAAGTTTTTATGCCAGTATTAATTTTTGTTGGAGTTTCCAACATGCTCGCCACACCAGCGGTTTATTAGTGGATAAATTACCAGAACAGTAACATGTGCTGCACAATATATAACATATAACAGAAAATGTCTTTACTTCATACTAATACAACTTGCATAAACATAACAGAACCATAAAAATATTACAGTTGATGGTTATATTAGTAAATCCAATATTTTGGGTGATGCCCAATTACATTACAATAAGTATAACAATAACAAATTGTATAAATAACTAAACAATTACAAACAACATATTCTTACTTCTCTTTATCGTTATACATTAAAAGAAGAAGAAAAAGAAAGCAGTTTAAAATGAGCAAATAATAATTAAATCTAGGCATCATTTATAGGAAGAATACATATACCAGATAAGGAACGTTTATAAGTTTTACCATTAGGTGTTACAACTTCGAAAGCTCTAACCTTCCCATCTCTACCTGGAAAAACCTTACTTATTCTAGCCATAGGCCAGTGCAAAGGAGGATTGTTTGGGTCCTTGAGTATCACCAACATTCCTACTGTTACATTAGGATAACTCTTTTGCCATTTGGATCTAAACTGCAAAGCATTTAAATAGTACTTATGCCATATTTTCCAAAAACATTGTTTTAAATGTTCACATTGTTTCCAAAAACTTAGTCTATTAATAGGTAAATCTGATACATCATTTTCAGGATAAGCTACAATAGCATTACCAGTCAAGAAATGACCGGGAGTTAGATAACTAAAATCCGTTATGTCAGAACTCATAGGTAAAATAGGCCTTGAATTTAAGACACCCTCTATCTGAACTAAAATTGTGTACAATTGCTCATATGTTAACAAAAGCTTTTGTAAAATCCTTTTTAAATGAAATTTGGTACTCTTGACAGCAGCTTCTGCCAGGCCAGCAAAAGTAGGTGAATAACTGGGTATGAAGTGAAATTTCACCCCTTGCTGCGCTGCATACGCTTGTATTCGCGTTTGATGACCCTTGGAAGCTTGGAGCCGGTAAAGTTCAACAAATTGGTTCGCCGCACCCTTGAAAGCACCTCCATTATCAGCGAAAATTTCACTGGGAAGGCCACGTCTCGAAATGAACCTTTTAAAACAGGCGAGAAAGGTTTCGGTGCTCAAATCTGAAGCTAGTTCAAGATGAACCGCTTTCGTTACGAAACAAACAAATACACATATATAACCTTTAGTTTCGATTGCACGTCTGACTCTAGAATTCTTAACTCGAAGTGGACCGGCAAAATCTACGCCAACGGTCTGGAAAGGCCTACAGGCAGTAACACGTTGATATGGTAGCGAACCCATCAGTTGCTTTGCCGCCTCTGCCTTCAATTTAAAGCAAACAAGACATCTATAAGTTATTTTCTTAACTTGTCGCATGCCATTAATCAGCCAGTACCTTTGATTAAGACTCGAAAGGAGCGACTTCGGACCTGCATGAAATAATCTAATATGTTCATTCTGAATTATAAGTTCGGTTATTCTTGATTGCTTCGGTAAAACAATAGGATGTTTTTGATTATAAGATATTTCAGCATTATGAAGCCTTCCACCTACCCTTATTAGACCGTGCTTATCCAGGAAAATATGAAGAGGTTTTAAAATACCCTCTACATCTTTGCTTTCAGTCAACGATTTTATTTCCTTGCTAAAATGGATACTTTGTTCGTGTTTAATAATGTTTTGCGATGACTGTTGCAATTCCTTTGTAGTTAAATAATTACATTTAGTCTGATCATTTTTATTTTTAAGATTATGACAAAATCTTAATATGTAGGCTAACACCCTGATCATTTTATTTATATCCGAGTACTTATCTATAAGCTGATAGATATCACTCTTTATTTGTGTTGAGAGGGATACTACCTTAGAGGAATCTACAGCCGCACCAGAATTCTTCAATTCAGGTAAGTCGATAGGTAAGGAAGCCTTGTTTGTAAAATTGTACCTATTGTCTTTTAGAAAGTCTGGTCCGTCCCACCATAGAGAGCAAGATGGTAATTCTTTTGGATCTATACCTCTACTTATTAAATCGGCTGGATTTTCCTTTGTGTTAACATTATTCCATTGAAATTGTACAGTTTTTTCTGTAATCACTTTTACTCGGTTAGCCGCATATGCTTGTAAATTAAAAATATCAGTATTCAACCAACCTAAAACAATCTTAGAATCGGTAAAGAGATAAACACTATCAATTGAAAGTTTGAGCTGTAACGTTTCATATGTCCTCCGTACTAGACTTGATAGCAATAAGGCCGCATTCTACTCTAACCGTGGTAACGTTATTGGTTTCGAAAACGAATTAATTCTGGACTTCGCACATAAAAGAAACATGCGCACATTACAATCAGAGTCTACCGTTCTAAGATATACACAGCATCCGTAGCCTATTTTACTTGAGGCATCGGCAAAACCGATCAATTGAACAGCCTTAGAACCTAATGGAATTGGTATATTTCTATTAATATGAATAGGTTCCATTGCCTTGAGACCGTCAATAAAAAACAACCATTCTTCTTTAACATGATCGGAGGGAGAAGCATCCCAACTAATACCTTCAGCCCACAGTTTCTGCATAATAATCTTAGCCTTTACTATAATTGGACACACAAATCCAAGTGGATCATAAAACTTAGCAATACAGCTTAAAATTGACTTTTTTGTTACCGATTTTATATCAATAGTTTCTGGGCATGTGATATTAAACCAATCATTCTTTACATCTAGATTTAAACCTAATACTTTCATGGTATAATTATCCTTTTGCAACTCTAGCTCGTCAAAATGTTGTTTACTAATTGGAACATCAGACAATATTTCTGGATCATTAGTTGACCATTTATGTGTTTCAAAACTTCCTTTTTGTAGCAAAGACTGTAATTGTTGCTTAGCTTCTTTTATTTCACTAAGATCTGATGACGAATAGAGGATATCATCGACGTAAGTACAGTTTCGCAATATAAATGAAGCTATAGGAAATTCTTGACCAAATAGTTCAGTAAGTTCGAGTAAACAACGAGTTGATAAATAACTTGAACTTTTCATACCGTACGTAACAGTATTTAAACGTATACATTTTATTGCCTCATCAGGATTATTTCGCCAAAGAATATTTTGAAGAGCCCTGTGTTTGGGATTCACCAGAATATTCCTAAACATACGCCTTATATCCGTGGAAAACGTATATTTACCAATTCGGAACAATAAAATTACATCAAAAAGCTCTTTCTGGACTGAAGGCCCATTCAGTAATAAATCGTTTAATGAAACCTTTTTATCCGTCTTCATTGAGGCATCAAAAACGACTCTTGTGCGAGTAGTTTTACTCGATTCATTAATGACCGCATGATGCGGTAAAAAATATACAGCATCTTTGTCAAAATCATAGAAATCAAAATTAATAAAATCGCCATGACCTAGCTCTACATATTCATGAATAAATTTATTATATTCTGACAATAGATTAATATTATTTTGTAAACGCCTTTCCAAACTTAAAAATCGATACCAAGCTAAAACAAAAGAATTGCCCAAGTAATTATGAATTTCATTATCCTCGACTTTAAGAGGTAAATTCACCTGGAATCTATTATCAATCAATTCTACAGAATTCTGAAAGATAGTTTCAGCTAACTCTTGTTCACTTTGATTCTCAGAAAAGGTTTGTGGTATACTCTCAGCTTCCCAAAATAATTTGATATTATCATTGATTTCAGGATCGCATTTAATACATAATAGTGATGTTACCTGTTTTGAAGCTTGCTGATATTCAAGCATTGAACCACCAATAATATATCCAAAACGTGTATTGATAATGCAGGGCGTAATGTCATCTTGACTAGGTAGCGGCCGGTGCAGATTTCGAGACCACGGTCGGTCAGGCTCATTGGGCATTATCACATGGAAAAATATGTCAGCACCCATTAAGAGATTTATTTCAGATGGAACATCAAATTGATCATCTGCCATCACTATATTGGGAGGTAATTTCAATTGCCGAATATCAAGTTTTGTTTGTGGATGCTTGCAGGTAATTTTTTCGACTACATAAAAATTGACAGTCATATTAAAAGAAGAATTCACAGAGTGTATGTTTAATGGAATACAATATCTTGTATTATTGTGAGCATTGCCTACACCTATTATATTTGTATTGTGGGGTGTTGGAGTTAAACCCAATTGCTGGATTAACTTGCTCGTAGCGAGGGAGGCTTGTGAACCTGTATCTAAAATCGCCTTCACTATTATCGTCTTTTTATCCTTTGTGAATAATTTCACTTGTACTGTGGGAAGCAAAACCTTAGAATCGTGGCCCTTGGATAATAAGGAAACGGGACCTTCGTCACATTCGTCATGATGAACTAGTGAATTGTGTGCCTTTTTGCACAGATCGCATTTGAAATGAAATTTGCATTTTTCATTGTGCTTATTCAAACAAATCAGACATAACTTATTATCTTTACAGAATTTATAGCGTTCCATAGAAGTTATTAATTTGAATGTATTACAGGAAAATAATTTATGATTGTTGGACTTACAGTAATGACACGTCATCGCTTTCTCACCAGCAGCCGCTACGTTGACTGATAAACCCTTGGCCTTGGTAGATGGCATCGCAGTTGACGGCGCAGCGTTCTCCAATGCAAGTGCCCTCTTCTCAAGATACTCGATGAAGTGCTTGACGCTGTGTTCCTCGGCAATATCTCTTTCCATTTGATACGACCGAGCCGTGTATGTATCTAACTTACGATTAAAAATACAAACAATTATTGGATCCCAAGTTTCAACCTTCACATCTAAGTTTTGCAGAGCAGCCAAAGTCTGCTTAAGAGTCGCTACAAAATCTCGAATGTTTTCAGGGGTTGATTTGACAAGCGCAGGTAAGTCTAGTAATTGACCAATATGTTCATTTACAATACGATACCTATTGTTATATCTCTCGTCTAATAATTGTCTAGCTTGATCATAGCTACTGGCTGTTAATGGTAAGTTCTTAATAAGATCATACGGTTCGTTTTTTAAATAAGACCTAAGATAATACAACTTCTTAACATTATCTAATGTTAAGTCATTATGAATCAATGAAGTAAACAATGATTGAAACGCTACATATTCAACATAATTACCAGAAAATATGGACATTTGAATCGCGGGCAACTTAGTTTTCGATCGTGCAATAGTATTAACATGACTTTTAGAGTCCTCTACACAAGAAGTCTTACGGCTAATCACTTCATTAAGAACGGTAAGAGTATATAGATATTTATCTTCAACAGCTGCTACGTCCTCGTCATCATCTGGTCGCATTGAAAGAATCCGCATATTAAATCCTTCATATTCACGGAAGGCTGTGAGCAGTCTTTCTTTACGCGTTGTAAGGGCCTGTAAGGTACTTTCTTCTAATTCAGACTCGTTGCTAACAAAACTGTGAAGACGAGTAATCGCCCCTTTAACATAGCCTCGCGAGGCGCGTAGTGAAGTTTCACTATCAGTGGCCATTGCACGACGATTGCCACGAAATTAAAATATGTAAATGTAATGGAAAATGTTCAAATGTATTTATTGAATATAATAATCGTAGTTCCCACCTCGTGTCATGAATGAATTTGCCGTTGTTCGATGTATATTTTTCTTGCAGGCCAACTGAGATAATCGTTTGTCGTCGTCTATATAAATCTCTTAATTGACAACTAAAGAAATTGTAGTTACCACTCGGAGAAATATATAATATTTACTTGTAGACTTCAACAAAATTGCAATCGCCTGTCGAACGCACGGAGGAGAATAGATTTCATATATGTTGTATTCTTGAAACAATGGCGCTTCTTGTATCCACGTATATTGAACTGAGATTTTTTGTAATTCGCTGTTTCTTGCCTTACGATGCTCGAAATGGACCAAATTTGTATTGTACTCAATATAGATACATGGATTTAATATATAAAAGGCCAAAGTTAATTAACAATACAATTTTTTATTCTCCATTTTTATGACAATTTTATTTATTCTTTATTTGAAATTAAAAAAATATAATAAAAAGTTTTTATGCCAGTATTAATTTTTGTTGGAGTTTCCAACAATTATTACGAGGATGATATACTTAGTTATTGTATTCACGTAACTTTCCGAGTTTGCACGAGTAGATAGAGTCCTCAGGAATGACAACGGCAGGGGTATCCTGGGCAAAACAATGTTATATCAGGTGGGCCGTTAGTTTGTTTGCCATTCTAAAATGCATGAAAAAAAAGATAAATTTGTCCATTTCATTTGGTGGTGTATTTGTAATACTCGCTTAAATAAGTCACCCGTTGACCTATTTCTGCTATGAAGAAGCTATGCGTGCGTTGTTGAGTTTCCGTGTGAAAGGCAAGATAGCCAGTTTAATCTTTGTCACGAGGCATAATACCATACTCCTCAAAAGTAGCAACATATGAGGAATATTACAAGTAGCACGATATATCCTGTAACATCCATGGTATTGTTCATATCTATATGTATAATTTACTTTACATAAACTAGATCGCCGCCATTATTTCCAGAAATGTAAACATTATATCTCTACAAAGTTTAGAGTTTTTAGAACTACTTTGTTCCGATTCTCTAAAAAGCTAATACATTGGGTGCTTTTATAAATAATTATTTGCGGTGTGGTTCCGGTATAGAATAGGCCACCCCTTCCTTTCCCTTGGGTGTCGTAAGAGGTGACTAAAGGAAGGCGAGGGATGGGCAGCAGTGTCCATTAAAATATCTCCAAAGCCTAACTGCGGCTGCTAATCTGCCTGCCAAGCGTAGCAACTGCTGGCAAACCCCGTCCCCCCAGCGGTAGGCTTATATTCAGCAGTGGACATGTAAAGGCTGATATAATAATAAAAAACAACTTGTCATAGCACATGGTATGATACAATTATGCCGTTACGATATAATAATAGTGTACCCTGATCCTCAGGAACAGCAACACATGAGGGATACCAAGAGCATCACAGTGTGATGTCCAGGGTACTGTTTCATATCTGTAGACAATAGTTACTACTTTTTATCAAGATGACCATTAGCTTGTTTGTTATTGAAATCGTGAACATCTATTTTCCATAAACAGATGTTCACGATTTCATCATGATGTTTATGGAAGTGCCTTTATATTATTGTATATTACGTACGATTTTGCTCCCCTACTCGTATTAAGCATATCATTACGATAAAATGTATCGTATTATGAAATTGTAAAAGCACCTATTAATTCGATGCAATTCGAACGGCAGAAAACCCTGAACCCGGTGTGGGATGAATGCTTCGAGTTCGCGGTATCTCTAGAGGCATGTCGCTCTAATCAAGCTGCGCTATCGTTGTCGGTATGGGACCGCGACGTGCTGACCGCCGACGACTTTGCTGGCGAGGCTTTCGTATCCCTGTCCCGGGTGCCCGGGGTCAACTGCCATGCACCACCAGACCCACTGCGCCCTCTCGAGTTGCCCCTTATGCAACTCCATGACAGAAGTAAGTGATTATTACTCCCACTGTTATTTTTACTCTACGGCCACAAGGAAATACAAATTGGATTAATAATATTTGATAACAAAAAAATAACAATATTTTTTAAAGTTCGGTCGAAATCGAATTCATTAGAATCCCTTAAAATATTGTTCTATAAATGAAACAGATAATTTTGTTTAAAGAAACATGACTGAAAAATTTTAAAATTATGAACCTCGCATACTTACCTCCTAACATAAGAACTGGATGCCCGTAACAGTTAAAAGGACAAAATTTTCTTTTATCTTTATATAAAAAAGATGTATTGAATTTACCAGAGAGAGATTTATTACAAAAATCGTCTACAAAGGTACCTTTGTCCCATTAATGTTTCTGATATGAAGTAGTTATGCTTTCATGGCAGTGTTTCGATTTGTAGAGTATGGTAGTGTGATTGCAGAATACGGAAGTATAACAGCATATTTCTCGAAAATAGCAATAAGAAGTATCAAGGGCGTCACGGAGTATTTTGTAATATACACGGCACTGTTCATGTCTGAACAGTATTTACAAAATAGACGTCTACTTTCAATTTTTTCTTTTATTATTTCAGATGTCAGCTTTATATTATTCTATCACAAAACATATCTAATATAATTTATCGAATTATTGTTGTGTTTTCAAGCTTATATAATTACTGTATCTATATATATGCAATACAAAAATTTTATAAACTTACTATATTTGTCGTTTCCAACAATTACATATTGTTGGGAACCATAGATACTTAAATATTTATTTGTTGACTTATAAGTTCTCGTTTTTAATATTTAATATGAACGGCTCCTCATGTTCACTGAACGCGGAGTGCTCGTTTCCGCAATATTCCTCTAGGAAATACGACCGGTGAATAGCTACCTAGCTACTATATGAAAATCTTTATGCAGCCGCACGGTCGTATTACACAGTGCAAACAGATCGCGCGCCGCTGCCACTTCGATTCCATCCAACAACCTCAAATGTAATTTTTATTATTTATTTTTATTTATTGATTCAATTCAAATAAGTTATGGATTCATTCATAACTGTACATAAATTATATGTCAACATTCGTTATTATTAGTCGTGTATTAATTATTCTCATACATACATACATACATATCTGTCACGCCTGTCTCCCATTAGGGTAGGCAGAAACAATGGAACGCCAAATGCTTCGATTCAAACAAACCTCTTTCGCTTCTTCCACATTCATCAATCTTGTCATACACGCTCGTCGGTTACGGGTACTTTTAATTTGGCCCTTCTTCAGCACGTCGCCTATTTGGTCGACATACGTCCGTCTAGGGCGGCCCCTACCGACATCTCCATTCATTCTTGCTCGATAAATCTCTTTCGTAATTATTCTCATCTCAATTATATATAGATTAAAATGGAAAGAAATGGTATTATATAAAATAATTTGTAACAATATATTCTTTGTGTGCAATAAAGTATAAAATATTCTTTAACAAGCGTTCTATTAGTGTAACAGTTATTTTTCTAAAGAAATACGAGTCAAAACATAACAAAACATTTTGGATTCTCGTTTCAATGCTACACGAGGCATCTAGATATAAAGGTCGTAAATCTCTTTTTTTTCTAAATTTTTGTCGTCTTTCAACTTTTTTTTTCAGAAAAAAAATGCTATTTTTTTATATAATATCATATAAAATATAACAATAAAATTATCAAATATATTAGAATTACTAAAGTATTACTATATTAGTTGAAATAAAAATATGTTATTTCTATTATGAATATTAACTTTTTTTTCCACGTTCTGAACAGCTACACATTTATTTAAGTACACTGGCATTACCAATTATATACTTGATAGACTAACGATATCACATGATGTAATTTTAATTTTTTGGATCTTCAGTGTATTATATATATATATATATATATATATATATATATATATATATATATATATATATATATATATATATATATATATATATATACATACTACTATTAATACCATATTATTCTTCACAGATCACCCCATTTTGCAAATATTGGAGTCGCGGACTACCGATAAACTAGCCATGGAATTTGTAAAGAAACAAAAATTGCGTTTTGCCGATCAGTAAATTATTTCTTTATATACCTACACATCGTATTACTTTATCTTATTTCTAATTGAGTTTCATAATTTCCAATTATATACAACGTCCATTAAAAATGTCGACAATATACTAATAAAAATATTTTATTAAAAAGAGTTCAATATTTTTAAAACAAATTTAAGTTATGTAGAAGCGAGATATAATTATTGTAAGATGTAATTACACATCAGTATTATTGTATAAATACATATTGCAAAGACTGTGTAAATCTTCTATTTATGAGAGAATATTAAATATTGTGTGTGTACTTTCAAAACTTTTATATGTGTACAATAGGTATAGTGGTATATTATATGCACCCTCGGAGCTTATGTCCCAAGATATTAGTCTCTATTAGAAATTCCCGACCAAGTACTTTAAGATTCGATGTTACCCTCTATTATGTGACAATTCAATCATTTCATAGTTTTACAAGCATATTATATGACCTACTTGGATGTATACTTCATATATTCACGTAATAACACATTTTGTCAAAAACTCAGAAAAATGAAAATCCGTTGCAGCTTTAACTCTCCAAGTACTCGTAACAACTACATGTAAGTCATAAGTAGATGGAAAACTGCAGAATAACACTTAGTACGAGGTCATCAAATGTTTCACTTTACTAAACTTATAAAACTCTATCTCACTATGAGCTTGTTATGAATATATCATATTTTTCCAAACTATTTACACGCTTTTCTAATTATTATTAATTCTATTGCGCTTTGATACGAGCTTCGCATTGGTCACCTATCCGTCGCATTTAATAAATTATACATGTCTTTAACGACTGATTTTCATTACTAGTTTAATGTTTGTACAAGTAACTATATAAATTTTGTAACTTTAAGTGAATAATGTTCACTGTGTATACAAGTAAGTATATTATTGATTATAGAAAAAAAAATGTATTGATGTTTATAAATTAGTGATTGAATAATTATATACTAAAATAGTACATGAAATATCTTCTAAAATCAGTATTTCATATAAGTGATGACATATCACAGGAATTATACTCGTAACCATTTAAAATCGTATTTTCAAATTAATCAATATCACGTTATTATGTACAAAGAATATATATCTATATTAATTCCAGATTTTAGTATATTTAGAATACATTGGTAAATGGTGAAACAAAGCCCTCATTATCAACGTACCTAAAAATAAAATCTAAGAGTTGATTTATACAGAAAATATTATACTTGCGATCAAATTTAAAACACAGTTTGAAACCATTAAAGTAAGGTCAAACAAAAAGTATCACGAGGGGAATGTTATGAATCAAAGAGAGTCGACATCTGTAATATAGATGATATAAACTTCCACCTCGGAAAATTTTCTTTGAAGAATTGAGGCGCAAGTAAGTTAATGTTAGCGTGATGCTACTTTTACATCACGTAATTTGTATATTTATTGATATACAAAAACCAAAGATTCATACTCCCACATAAAAGTTACACATAAAACTATCTTGAAATTGAATTTTAAACAAAGTAAATATCATAAGACAAGGAATGAGTGAAGTCAAAATTTATACCGTAAATGTATAACCTTTCTAGAAGAGAATATTTCGGCACGTTTGACTACAAACGTCACTGGTTGGTTCGAAATATGTACATATTTTGATCGAATGCATCCTGTTTCAAATGAGTGTACCTTTTTCTTTATATTAATACGTATATTTTTATGGAAAAGGCATACAACGTTGTGTTTAGTAAATAAATCAATACCACAACTCTTAATATCTACTTATTAATAATATAGGAGTCACAGATATTTTGCTAATCTATCTAAATTATTGTGTGTGAATCTCTCTGGACTTCCTTCTCTATTTTGACCATTTAAATATTTTATGACCATTGTGTTGTAAACTGTTGAAACTACATTTAATTGTATTTCTTTTATACTTCATTTTTAAGTTTGCTATACTACAACATATTCTCGTCTCAATATTCAAAGCTAACCCCAAACTTTGTCATATCCTCTGTAAACCATATCATATCACTGAGCTTTTAACTATTTTATATAAATACTTACCTACTGAGGAGGTCAGATATCAAAATAATTTTTTTATGGAATCTTACTTAATAGATTTTTACGACCTCCGCTTACACTTAAGTTTCATATGGTTAGAACCGCCATCAGAATTTTAATGGATTTTTTAATAAATATATTGTGCTCAATATATTTGACAGCACTAAAATATTATAGGTATATACAATCTTTTGGCAAAACAAGACCATTCCAAAAGTCAATTACGTAAAATAGGACTATACAAATAAAAACTATGATGTTCAGAATTATATATATTTTATATCGTATTGCTTTTCATAACATTTTTTTTATATAAATGTCTATTTATACAATCGTACTAAATATTATAAATTTGTTTTCTAAAGTATTATATATTAGTGTATTAAAAAATAATAGCAACTTGCTAAAATCTTTTAAATCAGACATACTTCCGTGAATTATTCTTATGAAAACAATTATGAAAATAAATTAAAAATGACCGTAACACGTTAAAATCTTATAATAATTTGTTATGTAACTATAATAATTTGTAACATTACATTTTTTGTTAATATATACTATAAAAATAATTATAATAAAAAATACCAAAGAAAATTAAGATAAAAATTTAATATTGAATGTATTATTCAGTGCAAATGATTTTTTAAATTAATTGTAATGTATCGTGCAAATAGGTATTTATTTATTTATAGGTATTTAAGTTCTAATGATTAGAATCGTATGATCTAAATTCCTGAAAAATAAAAGAACAATTCCGTGTTTAGATGACTGTAACATACATTGTTATACATAACCGCATACTTAAATATTATACAAATCTGAGCAGTTATACCTGTAGTAGAAACCATATAGATCTTTGTATTGAATGAAATTGAATTATCAGTGTCTGGTTACTTTATGTTTACTGTAAGTTAAATTTATAATTATTCTATTACTGACACTTGTGTTCCTGGCTTTAATAAAGTGTATTCAATATATATCTTGTTTTATTAATAACTAAGTAACACTGCATCTGTACGAAAAAAGAATCCAAAGTACTGGAAAATCCACCTAAGAGAGAGGTTTATGTTCAGCAATCGACAGTTAAAGGCTGATATGATGATAATGACTGCATCCATATATTAGATACAACCGTACCTTTTCCCACATGAGAGAAAAATAAGGATTTTTTATCTTTAAAATACTATTCTTTTTGTGACTATGGTCATCTAAATTTTCTATCTATAGATAGTTCACTTAATATATAAAAACCCTGTTTCACGATATTCGTTCACTCTAATCTCCGATAAAAGAACAATTTTAATAAAAATTTGTAAACATAATTTTTTTTCTCAAGTACAAACTTGAGTTTTTTTTTAAATAGATAATGATGGATTTATAATCCCACCTGCATGATAAACGGTATACGCTGAAAAGGCCTGAGTGAGGGATCATAGGTGAGAATGAAAAGGCAGGTCAGTTAGCCCATGATGATTAATACACTTGGAATTCAGCATGATGGTTTCGAGAAGGGACCACATGGAAATCAACCTTACTGGGTATATTGCTAGCAATGCGACTGGTAGTCTTCATTATATACTGACAATCTCATCCCCTCTATTTGAGAGGTAGGATAATTTTTGTTTTGATAAGAAAATAATGAGCCCGGTAGGGGGCGAAACAATCTTTATCAGATTAGCTAGTAAACGTAGATATATGTGACAACAGATAAGAATACCAATTATTTTTGTTATAGATTCAATATGACTATTAAAATGAGATTTATTGTCACAGACTGAACTATGAAATATCAATTCAGGCTTGCAGTACACCTTATAAAGTAGATTATAAATAATATTACGAATAGCAGCTCTAAAACATTCCACTGCAAATACTGGCCTCTCAACATAAGTGGAAGATATTAGCCTTATTCTTATAGTGTTAGTTTAATTTATCTACTATTTTACCTTAACCAGGTGGCTTGGTATAAGATATTACGCCGAATTTTCTTTTTCTAACCCCAATTCTCATTATCTTTTCTCGTAACCGCTTCTTACAAAATGATTAATACAAATTAAATAAAAATCAGACTATTTAATAAATCATAGCCAATGTTTGAGGGGAAATAATTATTAGTAATGAGGCAATATTAATCTAAAGACCCTATTGCTGGCTATATGGCTTATCAGATGGACATTCACGTGGTTTCTCCTAGAAATTATCGCAGTTAATTCATGACGTGCCAACTTACCTGCTATCATTCTCACCTATCATCCCAATTTCACTATTATCTCGACAATACGAGAATATATAAACTATACAAGCGGGGTTACCATAAATTTCATTTCCATTAATATAAAAAAAAATTGTATAATAAATTTACTTAGTTGATTAATATTTTGTTAATAATATAAATAATATAATGTAATATAGACACGGTAAATTTAATCTCCAAATGTCGAACCCTTATATCTGTAAAAGGTAAACATAGATGCCAGTGGTCTCGTATTTCAATTTGTATTTAATACACCTAACTTCTGTTCCGCTCGCGAAATAACCGAGGTTGTGAACAACCAATTTAAGAAGAGCTATGGTTTTCATATAGTACTGAAGAGGTAAAATGTCTTTGTAGAAGTACTAGGTTGAGTAATACTGTTGGACCACATGTTTGTGGCTTTATCAAGCAGTAACAAAATACATAGGTATGTATTATAGGTAGTATGTATTTCAAAATTTATATTATTATAGATACTAGGTATTTGTTATAAGTTAAACTTAAATGAACGACTAACATACCATTATTTCAAACAAAATAAAGGCCATTTAAGTAACGTGGCAATGTGAAGTGTAAGTTAGATGAAAGGTATCAAAACAAATATAATAACAATAATATGAATAATAATGATTATTTTCTCCCATATTAATAAGATGGTAAAGAATACAACGAGGAAATTAGACACAATTTAATAAGAGAATGAGAAGCCCAAACTTGGTTTCCCTATACGAGGAGATAAGAGGATCCCCTCTCGGTAAAAATATATATTGTAAAAAAGTAGTAAGTAGTTACAAGAAAGAATAAATTGTAGAAATATATAAAGCGAGATGTTTGACTGGGGGATGGTTGACTGGATGTAAGTATTAGGGGAAACCAAGACTAAACTTTTATGATCAAACAGACCAGAACAAATAGAACACGATTTAAACGAGGAATCAAGTGTCTCCAGATCCGTCAGACGAGTTAAAAACGAGCATGAGGAATATTTTTCTATTAATATAATTAATTTGTTTGTACTGCAGACAGCATAAAAATAATAATAATTTATTGTAATTTTAAATTATATTACATCTTAAAAAATATATGATGATTTTTGTGTAACATACTATAATATTTGTATGTTAATGTAATAACTACAGGTTCAACATACATATAACATGGTCGAGATAGCTCAACTAGTTTCGAGACTATTCGGGACTCTTAATCTTGAACAGCTGTAATACAAGCGCAAGACTTATATAAATTATGCATAAGATAAACCGGTTGTTATTACATTAAAAAATAATATGTACTTACGAAATTTAACAATAAAATAGTATTTCTGACTTCTAAACTAGTATAAGCTTATTTGTTTGTTATCTTTTTATTTAATGACTCTACTAATTGTCATGAAATTTGTCAAAAATAAATAATTTATTTTTATATTGGAAATTAAAATATCTCCTAGTCACGAGGAAGATGACGCCGGCATCATTAATTATGTATAATAATAAACGAAATTTTAATATCACACTTTTACGATCTATCATTTATGTACCTACTTAATATATGTAAACTTTAATCACAAGTCAAAATAGTAATTCAAGCAAAATACATCAACGTCTTCTTCGCCTTAAGTTCGTTAAATGAAAACATTAACAGTACTCGTATGTTTACTTAAATCCTTAAGTTTTGGTTGCTTGCTTGTTTAAAGCGTTAGACGTTTACCGAATGTGGATAGGTTTGCCGGAGACATTTTCAACTGAAATATTTTGGCAACAATGTAGTGTACATTGTTGCCAAAATATTTTGAGAACATCCTTTATCGTAAATAATATTATATCTAGCTCCAATCCTATCTAAATAATTTATGCATCGCTCAAAGCTATCACAGATAAAATTATAATAATTTCTTACGTCAATTGAATGCTCTTGGCAATCAATACAGAAGGTACAGTACAGAAGGAATTTTTTCATATCTTTTTCAAGTCAAATTATCGTAGAATAAACCACAATAAATATAATTTTTGATTTAAAAAATAATAGAAGCCTTAGAAAAGCGATTGTAATCATTTGAGTGACTATCCATCTGCCTATCTCAGATATTTTCTAGATCACAATAGTACTTAATAACTAATAAAAATGTTGCACAATAGATTATTTTTACCGCATATTCATTTCAGTTATTAATATTATTATTTAACATTAATATTAAGACATACGCTAGAAGTTTTATTAGCAATTACTTCGTTCTTAATTATAGATCTCGTAAACCAAGTCGTAATTAGAATTAAACCAGTCAATAGTCACCTATATGTGCAATAAATAAAAAAACTTAAAATGTTCTAATTAGAATTCTGTCTAGTCTTTATGTAAAGCAGTGATAAAAATGTAGACAAAAATTGTTCAACTGGAATTTTACAAAATTGTCCAATTCGCCTGGAAGCCGGCAAGCACCAAAACCGCATCGCTTTGGCTCGTAGACTCAGTTCACCAAGCACAGGCTATTTTAATGCAAATCACTATAATATGCTAATATCATCACGAACTACTCTTTTTTAACCCTCGACCTAAAATGAAGGATATAACTTTAAAGCATAAATTTACAGCATAAAACCTTTTTTTTTTGTATGCCCCTAAGTACTATTGTTCTAAGATTATAACACAGATTATAGTTTAACGATTACGTTTTACGACGATTAAATTTTAATACATATTTTTTCCGTTTTTTTTTTTTTTTTACTATGAACCTAATCTGAGAACAACGTTTTTAAAATTATGTTCGATGAGATGATGCGCCTTAATCCATCGTCATACAATTTGACATTAGTACCTTTATACACTAATATTTAATATTTCTCTCATTTCTAGGGTCTCATACCAAAATGTTAAAAAAACACTGATGATGCAACTTTGTCTGTCCACTTCGTCTGTCCGTCCGTCCGTCCGTCCGTCCGTTCATGGTTGTTTTGTGTACACAAATACAAATATGCGCATGCCTTTGCGTATGACTGTAATTCGCAGTTGACCAGTTTAAATAAAATATATTTAGGCTTTTCTCTCGAACACAAATATGCGGGAGTAGCTAGTATTAAATAAATTTATTTGGTCGATAAGTAAGACCTAGTTAATCTTTTAGTTTTATACAGGTTTTATTACTACATTGTTTTGTAATGCACTACTGCGTAACGTGATTTTTAATGGCAAGGGAGTGATAAAATATACTTAAGTTAGAACTAGTAGGCACTTATCTATTTAATATCTATTATAAACAGATAGTAATCATAAAAAAATATAATAAAGGTAATTATACCAAGTTTGAGAATAGATAAAAATAATAATAGATACTATGGTTTTGTTTAATTATCCGATATCTACTTAGTAGCTTAGCGACTTGTTTTTATAGATTTTTATCAATGAATGCGATTAGCGATTTCGTTAGATTATTTATTAATGGAAAACATTATAGCTTTTATGATAAATACAAATTATCTCCAAAATTGGCGTGGAGCAAATGTCTAAAATAATTACAACTCGTAAGGGTAACAAAAAAAAAGTTTTTAAAATATGTCTAACTAAAAAACACAGATTTTGAGATATATTCAAAAAACTCTGAGAAGAACTCTAAGTATTTTTTATATTAAATATGTAATAGGTACATATAAAAAAATAATCATGTTAACAATATGTTAATGTGCCTGGCCTAACTACCAATATTATTTATCTCAATAAGTAGAGCAGGTACTTACGTTAATATAATAATCCTACTAATACCTATTATGAGTGTGAAATTCTCTACAGAAATTTGTTATGCAAATGACCATATGTTTGGTTAACGCATAATTTTGTTAAAGTTAAAGTATATATAAACTTTCAACAGAACTTAATGAAAAGAAAATTTATTAAAATTACTACAGGAACAATCCTAAAGTTAGCAACAAATCTTAACATTCAATCAATTAAGCGATTTTTTACCACAATTACATAGACATGATCGCAGGATGTCTTATAGTCGAGACAATTTTCTAATCAATTTAAAACAGTGTTGACCGTTTGACGGCTTACTTCATGGAAAATGGTAACCATCGCCTATAGACATCACTGAATATTCTGCGATGCTCATGTATTTAGATATAACACCATGAAGATAATGACATTCAGACCGACACAACCATGTAATCACAGCTAAGCCACGAACGATGACTGACGGAGACTGCATCTCTCTTTTATTTTTGCTATTAATTATTCGTTTGTTTATTTTTCGTTCGGTTTTATTAAAACAAAAACAGTGATTGACCTACAGATCGCCCTTTAAAGCTTTCTAGTTGTCCCCAAATAAAAAGATATAGAGATTATTTATCTGTGTGGGTAGTTATTCTAATATATTTATCTTATATGATAGTTTCCAGGGAGAATCGCGAGGAAGTCGACCTGGCTGGGTATATTGCTAGTAATGGGTTTCTTAGTCTCCATTACTAACAATCCCTTTCCCCCAATGCGTAATAGTTTTTTTTTTATGGGTGAAAATGGTATGGTAACCCTGCCTGCGCTAACAGGATACGCTGACGGAGCACCAGTGAAGGGTGATAGATGAGAATGAAAACAGGCCAGTTAGCCCATAATGATGAATTCATCAGGAATTTACCATAATAGTTTCCAGGGAGAACCACGAGGAGGTTGACCTGGTTGGGTATATTGCTAGCAATGGGATTCTGAGTCTCCATTACTAACAATCCCTTTCGCCCCAATGCGTTATACAAGTTATTGTCACCGCATGCTTAATTTACATCTACATTTTTGTCATCAAATTAAATTCTTCTTTGCTTATTCTTTTTTCTATCTTCGGGACAATACCAACAAAAAATGGAACTGACTTATAAACGAGGAGAGCAATTATTATCATCCACATATCAGTGTTTAATGTCCACGGCTGAACAAAATCCTCCTCCTTGGGGAGTTTTGCCAGTAGTTGCCACGTTAACAGGCGGATTGACAACAGAAATTAGGCTTTGAAGATATTATAAAAAAGACGCTGCTGTCCGTCTTTCGCCCTCCATTAATCGTCTACACACATGGGAAAGGAAGGGGTGGCTTATTCTATATATGCTGGGACTATATGGCAAGAGATCAATTATGTTATTAATTAATACAATCGCCTATTTTAGTAATTACCTATACAAAATTTTACTAATCGTCTTTACGTCAGGTGTCATAATTACATACCTACCTACGTTACTGTTATCTGGCCATATACAATAAATCAGTGTTCATTGACAAGGATCTGTAAATTACCACATGTGTTTTTCAATGACGAGCATGTTATCAAATTAGTTATAGTTTATCACATTATCTGCAAATTATAAAAGCCACTATTGCCAATTTTGCGGAGAGTCATTCATAGACCGCTACGAAGATGTGGCGGGGAACGTTTCTGTTTTTGTGTTTTGGATTGGCAGTAGCCATTGTTGGTGCCTCTCCAAATGCCGAGAGTCTTGAAACATTATATAAGACTGCCTTAAGTGGTAGCAGAATATCTGACAACGTTCAGGAAGATGCCAGGCTGGACGTGGTAAGTTATTTCATTATATACAAATATTTGGAAATTAACCATTAAAGTTGGAATAGAAGCAAGGTACACTTTTAATATAACTATTCCCATTTTTATGCGATTTAAAATGGTAACTGGAGATGGTAATTACCGATACGCACTGCATTATATGTATAATAAACGGTTTTGTTTAAATAAAAATAATGTTTCAGCCGGATCTGATAAGGAAGTACAACTACCCAATCGAAGTTCATAACGTAACAACTGAGGATGGTTACATCTTGGAAATACACCGTATTCCTCATGGTCGCGACAACAATAACGATCCTAACGTAAGGAGGCCCGTCGTATTTTTGATGCACGGCCTTCTCTGCTCGTCTGCCGATTGGGTCCTTATGGGTCCTGGAGATGGATTTGGTAAGTCACAAACGTTTTTATATTCATATAAAACTTTAAGATGTATAATATTTAGACATACAGAACAACTTATTATTACAGTATTAGGTAACTAATCAAAATATAACATTCTAGTAATTGACTATGATTACCGTTGTTCTGGGTATAGAAGCAATTTGATTCATGCTCTATACCGCAATAGATGCCTCCTCGCACCTTTTTGTGCTTATATGAATACATGAAAGAGTGCCTTCTACTTTGAATGTTAAAATTCATTTTCATAATAACTGAATAAATTTCAATGGATTTACAAATATTTTACATGGACGTATATATAATGGGTTTTAATATTTTTTGACAGCCTACTTACTCGCCGAAGCTGGTTTCGACGTTTGGATGGGCAACGGCCGTGGAAACTACTACTCTCGTCGACATGTCACACTTAATCCCAATGCCATCTTCAACACAAGATTCTGGGAATTCTCTTGGGATGAAATAGGCAACATCGATTTGCCCACAATGATTGACTATGCACTCGAGACCACCGGCCGGGATAGGCTCCATTATGTGGGGCACTCTCAAGGCACCACCTCTTTCTTCGTGATGGGGTCTCTGCGTCCAGAATATAATGACAAAATTATTTCTATGCATGCCTTCGCTCCTGTTGCATACATGGCTCACAACCGGAATCCACTTTTGTTAGTTCTTGCGCCATTTTCCAACAATCTTGAGGTAAGAACTGTCTTTATTATATTTATGAGACCACGACAGTTTCAAGGGATGTTCTAATAGATATTATATTGTATGTCATAGTACATTTATTGTATGTGAATACTATAAACCTGTAACTGTAATATATAATTAAGTATTTATTCCAAACAGTAATTGACATTAATAATTATTGTTAATTTCCAGAGTCTGGGCGCTCTAATTGGCCTTGGTGAATTTTTACCCAACAGTATCATATTGACATGGGCTGGCCAATCTTTCTGTTTAGATGAAGTGGTTTTCCAACCCATTTGTAGTAACATTTTATTCTTGATTGGTGGATGGAGCGAATCCCAACAAAATACGGTAAGTAGACGATTATAAAATCACTTCATCATCATCATATCAGTCGTAGACTGCCTTTGCCATTAACGGCCTTTGCCAATAGGTATCGAGCTTGGCAGGCAAGTTGATAACCGCAGTTAGACTTTGGTGACGTTTTAAGAGGGACACTGCTGCCCATCTCTCAACCATTAAAGTCCCTTAGTCGCCTCTTACGTCACCCACAGGAAAATAAGAGGTAGCCTATTCTAAGCCGGGATCACACAGCCAAATAAAATTATAAAATCGTTTAAATCTTACATACTCATAACAGTTATTAATTTTGATCAGAATGTTCGAATAATAGACAATCACATTTTTACTGGCCTTAACTGATTTGATTTTTAATGAAATGTGATACGTATATATAGGCTATATTATCCTATATTATTACGTTCTTTTTGTCTTAATTAAAAAAATTAATTCTAAAATAACTACAAATATTTGTTGATTCTTTCTAGACTATGCTCCCGGTGAAATTCGGCCACACGCCTGCTGGAGTATCTGTGAGACAGCTTGCCCACTACGGACAAGGAATTGCTGATAAAGGTTTCCGCCGCTACGATCACGGAAGTCGCCGCGCTAACCGAAGAGCATACGGAACCCGCAGACCCCCAGCGTACGACCTTTCTAAAGTCACAGCACCAGTTTTCTTGCATTACGTTGATAAAGATCCTTTGGCTCATGTGAACGACGTCGATAGACTGTTCAGGGAACTTGGTAGACCCGTTGGCAAATTCCGCGTTCCACTCAGGACGTTCAGTCATTTAGACTTCTTATGGGGCATCGACGCTCAAGAGCTAGTATATGACAGGACTATTAACCTTATTAGATCCTTGGAAACCAACGGACTGGATGAGGAAATACTGAAAAATACTGAACAGTAAATTGTAAAAGCTTTGATAACAAGTATTGTCCATCAGACAACATGTTGCTTAATAAAATAAAGAATTAAATAAAAATCTGTTTTTCAATGATAGCGAAAGTGGAGGAATGAATATTGAGATTTAGTAATAAAAGCAATAAGTAAACATTATTTAATTGTTGTACTTTCAACTAGTCTAGAACGTAGCGACTTCATTAATTACAATATTGATTGTGTTTGTATTCGATCTATAAGAAGGTAGGAAAGAATAAGAACTATTACTTTATAATAGAGTCTAAAATACTTGATATTGCAAAATACTCTGGCACCCCTGCTAATCTCCATGCGTTGCCTTTCCCGAGAGAGATGATGTTATGTCCCTGTGTCCTGTAATTTCACTGCTATATCCCACTCCTCAAACCGAAACAGGCTTGCATGCCATCATTTCTTTTCAGGGGGAATCGTTTACATGTAGGTCAAGATATAAAGCTAGCAATGAGGTCCGTGGATGCCGTGTCGTCTTGGCAACAGCATCCCTCTTAAAACATCACCAAAAGCCTAACTGCGGTTGACAACGCGCCTGCTAAGCTAACTACTGAGAAACCTATATTCAACAGTATACAGTTAACAGCTAATATGACAAACAGGGCTCGTAGACACCATTACAAACGATTACCTTTCCCTTCCCCATAGACTGTTTCCCATTCCTTGTTCATATCAAAAAATAAAAATACCTTAAAATTTTAAGTCGAATCTTCGAATTAATTTTGATGAAGTCAATAATAACTAATAAATCAATCCCTGAGTTATATCGTAACAAAATTAATACGTTATATCCCATACAAGACTCAGTCCTATCCAGGTGTAAAAAGAATTATCGAATAAGTTCGGCATTGACGAAGATATCGTGTAGCAGGCAAATAAAAAATATAAACGAATCAAGAACTTCCTTCTTTAGGAAGCTGCTTTAAAATGATACCACACTACATTAACAATCCGATGCAATAACTTAGTTCAATAATTTACCTTTCCAATCTAATTTATTGCCTTAATGTGCATTAAACCTACTTGTAATTCAGAATCTTGGTTTGAGCTTAGCTTGACGCGCTAACGAGTGTCTAGATTGCCACTATACATGATATTTTTACAAGCCTTTATTTATCACACTTAATAGATGACAATATAACATCACAAAACTGTTCAATTTTGTATTTACCGATGTTTTAAAAACATCGTGTCACATTTAGTGTTAAATGGCAAGTTACGAAAATCTGACAGATATAGAAATAGTGGTAATAAATTGATAAAGCTTTATTTGTATACGGTACTATATAGCATACGGTAATAATAAAGTGTGAAAAAAATTATAAAGTTTACGGATTGAAAAGTCTACTAACAAATGGTTCTAATGACAGAAAAGCTAACAAAGGAAATAATGACCTAAAGCAATGTGTAATATTTTTGTTTTTATTTTCCATATGGCAATCACTACCACTAAATCACTACCAAAAAAAAAAAAAACAAATATTCTGAAATAAAACAAAAAATACTGGACAGTTGACTAAAGGCAATGTTAATACATTCACACATATTTCGTATAAATTGAAATCATAAAATATAATCAATCCGCATTAACTCGTTATCAGTATGATTTAATTATTTTTGTCATTTCCTAATAACCTAACATGCGAGTTTATCTGAATGCTAAGGGTTTCATTTCATCATTACAATGTCACTTTTTAATAAAAAAAATCTATCTGTTGATAACTGAAGTTCGTACTAGAATGATCGTACTTCCTTAAAAGATAATAAAGGAAAATATATGTCATAATTCTACTGTTTTATTTAAGTTTCCCATTGGGTAATCAAATTTCCCTCTCTTCCTAGTAAGTTGATTTACATTTGCATATACATAGGGAGTATCATCAAAACATTTCAATTTAAATTTCTGATTTATTCCTTTTTTCTCTTTTTATTTTTCTTTCTTCATTCGAAGTGTTCCTAGTTTATTTACACGCAATGAACTTGCTCTGTTACCTTACATAATATGTATTCAATACAGCTCGGACTTCACTACAAAAGTGAATTTTACAAGTCTATTACTTAATAGCAATCTAATGAGTATTAGAGTTGTAGTAAATACTCTATTTGGTCATTTTGATTTAAAAGAAATAATACCAAATAACATTGAGACATTAATAAACTAAGAGACCAATTATGTTATAAATTTATTGAATTACCTATTTCAAATGATTTTCTATATAATTTTATTAAATATTGTTAAGACTAGAGTCATAGGTGGGTACATAGATCAGTCGTCAGTACGTGCGTATCGTAGATACATACCAACGATGTAAATTCGATTCCTACACAGTAGGTACAATTATTTCAGTATTTTTCATACATTTTGCCAAATTAAAAATGTGATTAAAAAATCGATTTGAATTTTAATATTTACTCTCGGCATAACAAACTTCAGAGATTGTTTAGGTTTAAATCGAGAGGAGGAAGGTATTAATGGTTGAGTAAAATATTCCCATTTTAATAAAATGAAAACTAATGTGAATAACAAACAGAAACCGGTTTTAGAAAGTGCTAGTAAAGTGAATAATAATGTGTAATAAAGTAAATAATAATTGCTAATAAAGCCCTTTTATATAATAGCTCATTTGGAGTAGCAATATCTATTTTACAGTTTCGAGCACTTATTTTGCAATAGGGTTAGATATTTAAAACTATTCCAAATTTCAAATCGAGAACATTTCTTGATAACCATGAGAAGCACAAAAAATAAAACAAAGTTTATTTTTTATTGATAAACTTCATTCGTTTTTTCCTAATAATAAATAAAATTATACTCGTGTTATACCCATTTTATTATATATTGATAGAAACTGCTATTTTAAAGCAATAAAAAATTTGTGATACTACTTGCTTTGCTCAGCAATACTTTATATTTTATATTGAATATTGAAGTAATATTGTAATATTGCATACTACACGTCCTCCACATTTTTAAATGTCATAATTTGTAGATGACTTATCAGTTATCTAATACCCATAATACAAACTCAACTTAGTTTAGGGCAAGATGGCGCTATGTCCATTCGTATTTATTATTACTTTACTGTTATCTAGCTATATACAATCAATCAGTGTTTAATGACAAGGATCTGTAAATTACCACCTGTGTTTAGCAATGACGAATATCGTTATCAAGTTAATAATAATTTATCACATTATCTGCAAATTATAAAAGCCGCTATTGCCAATTGTGCGGAGAGTCATTCATAGACCGCTACGAAGATGTGGCGAGGAACGTTTCTGTTTTTGTGTTTTGGATTGGCAATAGCCATTGTTGGTGCCTCTCCAAATGCCGAGAGTCTTGAAACATTATACAAGACTGCCTTAAGTGGTAGCAGAATATCTGACAACGTCCAAGAAGATGCCAGGCTGGACGTGGTAAGTTATTTCATTATATGCAAATATTTGGAAATTAACCATTAACGTTAGAATACGAGTAGAAGCAAGATACACTTTTACTATAACTATTCCCATTTTTATGCGATTTAAAATGGTAACTGGAGATGGTAATTACCGATACGCACTGCACTATATGTATAATAAACGATTTCGTTTAAATAAAAATAATGTTTCAGCCGGATCTGATAAGGAAGTACAACTACCCAATCGAAGTTCATAACGTAACAACCGAGGATGGTTACATCTTGGAAATACACCGTATTCCTCATGGTCGCGACAACAATAACGATCCTAACGTAAGGAGGCCCGTCGTATTTTTGATGCACGGCCTTCTCTGCTCGTCTGCCGATTGGGTTCTTATGGGTCCTGGAGATGGATTTGGTAAGTCACAAACGTTTTTATATTCATATAAAACTTTAAGATTTAGACATACAGAACAACTTATTATTACAGTATTAGGTAACTAATCAAAATAGAACATTCTAGTAATTGACTATGATTACCGTTGTTCTGGGTAATAACTAGGTTTAGAAGCACCCTCCTCGCAGCTTTTTGTGCTTATATAAACACATGAAATAGTGCCTTCTACTTTGAATGTTAAAATTCATTTTCATAATAACTGAATAAATTTCAATGGATTTACAAATATTTTACATGGACGTATATATAACGGGTTTTAATATTTTTTGACAGCCTACTTACTCGCCGAAGCTGGTTTCGACGTTTGGATGGGCAACGCCCGTGGAAACTACTACTCTCGTCGACATGTCAGACTTAATCCCAATGCTATCTTCAACACAAGATTCTGGGAATTCTCTTGGGATGAAATAGGCAACATCGATTTGCCCACAATGATTGACTATGCACTTGAGATCACCGGCCGGGATAGGCTCCATTATGTGGGGCACTCTCAAGGCACCACCTCGTTCTTCGTGATGGGATCTTTGCGTCCAGAATATAATGACAAAATTATTTCAATGCATGCCTTCGCTCCTGTTGCATACATGGCTCACAACCGGAATCCACTTTTATTAGTTCTTGCGCCATTTTCCAACAATCTTGAGGTAAGAACTATCTTTATTATATTTATGAGACCATGACAGTTTCAAGTGATGTTCCAATAGATATTATATTATATGTCATAGTACATTTATTGTATGTGAATACTATAAACCTGTAACTGTAATATATAATTAAGTATTTATTCCAAACAGTAATTGACATTAATAATTATTGTTAACTTCCAGAGTCTGGGCGCTCTAATTGGCCTTGGTGAATTTTTACCCAACAGTATCATATTGACATGGGCTGGCCAATCTTTCTGTTTAGATGAAGTGGTCTTCCAACCCATTTGTAGTAACATCTTATTCTTGATTGGTGGATGGAGCGAATCCCAACAAAATACGGTAAGCAGACGATTATAAAATCACTTCATCATCATCATATGAGTCGTAGACTGCCTTTAGCATTAGGGGCCTTTGCCAATAGTTACCGCGCTTGGCAGGCAAGTTGACAACCGCAGTTAGACTTTGGTGACGTTTTAAGAGGGACACTGCTGCCCATCTCTCAACCATTAAAGTCCCTTAGTCGCCTCTTACGACACCCACAGGAAAATAAGAGGTGGCCTATTCTAAGCCGGGATCACACAGCAAAATAAAATTATAAAATCGTTTAAATCTTACATACTCATAACAATTATTAATTTTGATCAGAATATTCGAATAATAGACATTTAATCACATTTTTACTGGCCTTAACTGATTTAATTTTTAATGAAATTTGATACGTATAGATAGGCTATATCCCATATTATTACGTTCTTTTGTCTTATTTCAAAAATTTTTATTCGGAAATAACTACAATTATTTGTTGATTCTTTCTAGACTATGCTCCCGGTGAAATTCGGCCACACGCCTGCCGGAGTATCTGTGAGACAGCTTGCCCACTACGGACAAGGAATTGCTGATAAAGGTTTCCGCCGCTACGATCACGGAAGTCGCCGCGCTAACCGAAGAGCTTACGGAACCCGCAGACCCCCAGCTTACGACCTTTCTAAAGTCACAGCACCAGTTTTCTTGCATTACGTTGATAAAGATCCTTTGGCTCATGTGAACGACGTCGATAGACTGTTCAGGGAACTTGGTAGACCCGTTGGCAAATTCCGCGTTCCACTCAGAACGTTCAGTCATTTAGATTTCTTATGGGGCATTGACGCTCAAGAGCTAGTATATGACAGGACTATTAACCTTATTAGATCCTTGGAAACCAACGGACTGGATGAGGAAATACTGACAAATACTGAACAATAAATTGTAAAAGCTTTGATAACAAGTACTGTCTATCAAACTTTTAAACATGTTGCTGAATAAAATAAAGAATTAAATAATAATCTGTTTTTCAATGATATCGAAAGTCAGGGAACGAATATTAAGTGTTTCCTTTATCTGTCCCATGTAATTATTCCTCTGTCTTTCCCCTTCCCCTTTTGCCCCCTATTTTCCCTTCTGCTATGCTATTTAAAAATTGTCATGTCACAGAAAATTTCGCTAAATTATCAATTAAAAAAAATTTTTGAGACCAATACAGGCATTAGAATTAGACTTCACTATTTCACAAATAATAAATACTATAGGCCTTTGTTTACAAAAACAAAAAACTAAATTAACCAAGCTAGCGCAAAACGAACACTTTCAATAGACAAAGAAGTTATCAAAATCGGTTTAGAATTAGCGAATATATAGCGTAAGACACATAAAAAATGCAGTCGAAAAGAGAATTTTTTTGAAGTCTATTTAAAACGCATAAGAGTATACTACACTATTTCATAAGCAATAATAATAATGCGGGCAGCAGCAAAAGACAAATATCCTCGAAAGAAAAAAGCAATCAATTCAATAATTACGTTATAAAAATATCGCTGAAAGAATTTTGAATGGTCCAATTTGTGTTTTGCTTAAGGTTGCGGTAGAAACTTAGATGTTCGGAGTGAGGCGGGGTCGTTGGGAAACTTATTGAAATTCAGAGCGGCGCGCCTCGTCCGGTGCTCCTCGTGACGTCGCACGTTGTAGCTTCGTACTTCGTTACGTTCCTTGGAACATTTCCACATAATCCGACATTAAGATTATGTCGGTGGGATATCGGATTAGACAGATCATATTTTTTATTAAACCTTCAACATTTTTCATTGTTATCACGATAAGCTAACTGAGCCGAATTCACCATCACATGTAATAAAAAATTTAATATATGCCTATTTTCCAGTAATAAACTTGGTAGAATTTATTAGAAATATGTATTGGAACTCTTAATAACTTTGTACGAAAGAACAACAACTAAGAACAACTTAGCTTGTTCCAAAGCAGTCGTAGTTGCATGTTTCGGTTTGAAGGATGGGATATCAAGAGCTCTACGGGCTTCACAATATATTCTGTGTATTTCATAAGAAATAAAATAGAACGGAAACCGACATTGGTAATCTAGAAAAAATCTGTTAAAACAACATCATCTGATGTTGTTTTAACTGATTTTTTCTAGTCTTATCCAATTTCTTATTGGTGCGTTCTTACTATGTAGCAAATTCATATACCTATAATGTACCAATATCTAATGTTATGTGTGTGCTGTAAGTGATACAAATAAATTATATATCTATATATATATTTCTTCCGCTTTAGAGATCCCATTAACGATGTAACATTGGTTTATATACTTCAGTCCAATCGAACCTGCAATCATCGGTTAGTGAGTCTGTCTCATTCATTGCAGGTTCGATTCCCACACTACAGCAACATTTGTTATAAACAGGTATAACTGTTTGTAACGGGAGAAAGGAATCGTTAATAATAAGGTTCCATTGCTGACAATATCAGGTCGACCTCCACGCAGTTCCCAATACAAACCATCGTAGCTGATTATTGTTAAATTTGACACTATGGGATAAATGGGAAAAAGCAAGACAATGACGTTGTTGATAATTACCAACATCGCCATTTATTGCCCAAATAATAAAAATTATATATTGTAGGGATATATATTTACATTATTACATGTATTCTATATATTCATGTCTATAGGCAATGGTTACCACTTTCCATCAGGTGGGCCGTCAGCTTGTTTGCCATTCTAAATTGTATAAAAAAAAATTATATGTCCATACTTAGAAATAATAGGATCTTCATCGTGCCTCCAATGAAACTGTTTATAATTACTCCATCTAAAGGTTGCCCTAAAAGATCACTTTTAGCGATAAAGTCACCCATTGTTTTCTCATTGTGATTATTTCTTGTAATTGTTTATATCTAGAATAAGTTTACTATTTTAATCTTTTGGAGGAAACAATAAAGAGTATCTATGTATCTGTTCATATAGAGGTATATTTTACTAATATAATAAAATTGTAACTTGTCTATGATATACCATTCATAGCGGAATCTCCAGGAATTCCGCTATTTAATTGTATGCTGTATTAGCTTAATAGTGCTTCTCAAAAAGTAGGTACTCGTATTAAAATGAACACGAACAAGACTAAAATTATGTTTAACGTCCATGTCACACCAATACCGATTATGATTGCGAATACACTTTATATAAAAGCTTCGGTAAGTCGGTAAGCTATGGAGAAGGCTATGCTCCATCTTTCTTTGTCTGATGGACTTCGAAATTAGGATATCCGCAGAGGAACCAGGGTGAGCGAAATAGAGCGTAGGATAAACAAGCTGAAGTGACAATGGGCTGGCAACATAGTCCGAAAAACCGAAAACCAGTGGGGAAGAATGATTCTTAGGTGGCAACCCCGTCCAGGCAAACTCAGTATAGGACGACTCCCTACTAGATGAAGCGACAACCACAAATGCGTGGTAGGGAGACAGTACATACAAGTGACTCAGGACCGTTCCTGATAGCCAACTATGGGGAGATCTGTTTAGCAGTGGATAGTTAATGGCTGATATTATGACTGTCTGTAAATAGGAGATATTTGAGAAAAATCAATGTGAGAAAAACCAACAGATGCTCTAAAAATAATTTTCGGAAATTTTGTCTGTCTGTCTACTAGTTACGGTATAACGCAAAAACTAATGGGGAGAAGGGATTGTTAGCAATGCAGACTATCAGTCCCATTGCTAACAATATATCCTATTAGATCGCCCTCCACGTGGTCTCTTCCGATAGAAACCATCGTGTTGAATTTCAGTTGTATTCATCACGATGGGCTTACTGACCTGCCTTTTCATTCTTACTTATCATCCGTCACTGATGCCCCGTTGGCCATTATCATCCATATTTAACGCAGTAGTTTACTGCACCAAATTGGACGAGACTTGTTCCTCGAAATTTTTAAAAGGTATGTTTTATTTTGATACGCCATCTAGAAGTGGTCTACCTTATAGTTTTCCTACTTTTGAAATTTGAGAAAAGATCTAGTAAAGAATAAAAGTAAATATGTATCCTGACAGAAAAAATACCCATAAATCTGATTTGCGATTATATCTGCAGGAATGAGATTTCCAAACATAGTGTTGCAGTCTCTTGTATATATATTTGCATATATATATATATTTATATATATTTTTATATATATATATATATATATATATATATATATATATATATATATAAAGAAATAGAAATGAAGATTTTGGATTAAAAAATTACTTTATTGTAGAAAACAGATAAAATTAAAAAAACACTTGATATAGCTATGCAAGAAAGCGCCCAGTGTAATAATCTAATTAAAAATTGTTATATTTCTAGTTATAATTTCTCTGTATGAATTTAATGTTTGTAATGAACTATAAGATACTCAAATAAAGTTTATTTTAGATAAAGCATATGTGTTAAGATGTATCATTTAATAATGAAATGTAAATAAATAAAGCTAAATGTCAGTCTGCTAGAAATCATCATCATCGGAATCAAGTGCCGCTCTTCTTCGATCAAATTTCACAGTGCTAGTTGATTTGGGCATTTGTTGATTAACAGACTCCAAAATCTGTATAAGCTCTTGTTCAGATATTCTGGTCTGAACTTGACCCATCTGAGCCATCCTACAGATCATATTTTCCACCATAGCAGCCTTCTCTGGTCTACTAATCTTTATTGTATTCACTGAAAACAATTATAAATTTTAAGTAAAATACAATTCAACAAAAATTAAAATTCAAGTAAATCATTCAATACAATTTCATTATATATTCATGTTACATTATTACACATTACACAGGTTTACATGGTTTATATGCTTCTGCCAATATGCATCACCATTATCTATGTCAATTCTAGTGAGCATTGTACAGGAAAAATATTTGAAAATATCTATTTTGTTTACATTAAAAGATATTTATTAAATATATATAATACAAGTACATATTTTAATAAATATTACATAAAAACCCACTTTTGTCCCTAAAGCCATTGTATGTCTTTAAAAATTTTAAGATATTGGTGAAAATGCTTGCTCTGCTCATAACTGATGATTCCCAATTTTGAGATATTTTCTTTAATACAAAGCATAGCATATTAGGATAAGCCTTTTTTGTGAATTTAAATTGCACACAAACCCAATAAAAACAATCAGAGTTTAATTTATACTCTTTACAATTTATTTTATCAAAAATAAAATTAGTTCACAAAATCACAAGATATTAGAATATAGAATGCAGTTCGACAGTGCTGGTAGGTAAAGAAAAAGATTTTCTCATACTAAAAGAATGAGATGTAATAATTTTTTTCAAATACTGCCTTTCATTAGTAAGATGCAGTGTAATAAGAAAATAGGTGGTTCATCAAAAGTATATGAAAAATTTGTATATGTAATCTGTAAACCACAAGTGTTAAACACACGTAACACTTGTTAAAGTTGTTGTTGCAAGTGCACTTAGATAACTGTATTGCAAAATTTATTATGTTTATTCACAGATTAAATCATTGAAGTACATTGTTTGTTATCACTCTAAAAATTTTAAATAAAAATATTACCTACATCTAGCTCGAGCATTTTGATCAAGTACTTGGGAGAGAATTGAATTTTTTGTTTCCTCTATTGCTTGCATTCTCTCTTCTTGTGCCTTCGCTTGATTTGGATCTCCAGTCCCCTGAAACAATTGTAAGCATAAACCTAAAAAGAATATCAAAGTAACGGAGGTTATATTTAGAGTTAAAAAAGACATTCTAATTTTTCTTCTAATTTAAAAGTAATTTAATATATAGCAAAAATATAATAATTAGGGTATACAGTAAAATATAACCTCCAAGTAAAGCTTATTTGATTTTTCAAATATATACTTACACCATGTTGCGCCTGAAGCTGTGCTAGACGTTGGTTTCTTAATTTCTCTAATTCTGGATCATCCATGTTTGTTTAAATTATAGAATATCCTAAAACAATTTAATTTGTTCTAAGAATCTCGTCATAAAACATAAAAGAGGAGATTAATAAATCAAATAAGTACCAATGAGTCAGTCAATGTCAATCAGTGTTTTTTTTTTCTTATTAAAAATATATAACGGCTCCGGATGGAAATTTTTTGAGCCCGACATTATTAACTCACTACATACACTTTTAATTCAAATTCAGTACTCCCAAATGCTCACAACATACAGTAAGGATATGCTTTGAAAGATTCACATTTACACTCAGAGTAGAAAAAAACATAATAGTCGAATAGACTAGCTAAAGATTTTTTTGTGTGAAAATGGTATGGTAACCCCGCCTGCGCTAACGGGATACGCTGGTGGAACACCAGTGAAGGGTGATAGATGAGAATGAAAACAGGCCTGTTAGCCCATCATGATGAATTATCAGGAATTAACCATAATAGTTTCCAGGGAGAACCGCGAGGAGGTCGACCTGGTTGGATATATTGCTAGCAATAGGATGCTCAGTCTCCATTACTAACAATCCCTTTCTCCCCAGATAAAGATATTAGGTTAACTTATAAACAAATTATAGTACCAACCAAAAATATATCGACTTCTAATTATTTTGTAATCGACTTTGCGGTATAAGTCAATAATTGCATAATAATTGTTCTTAGTCTTAATTTTAATTTGTTTTGTATTGCGTGAAAACATGCTTATCTAACCATAAAATATTTTGTAAAAGTAAGGTGATATTATAGAGATAAAATTAGCTTAAATTGAGACGAAGTTTTAAATTGTTTCTATTCTACGGTATTCTTAGAACCGACTTATGGGGAAAGAGCGCCTGACCAGCGCCAAGATCTATAATGGCGCCGGCGGGACAAAAGAAGCGGTAGAATATAGGGCTGCATCAAATTCGACCTTGGTTCTTTGATGTAACAAGCGCAGCCCCCGTTAATATATATTTTTTTTTGTTGCCGAGTCACTCCAAATTTTACCTAGGAACACCAGGTAGGCTAATATGGGAATTGTATATTCTCTTCTGAATAAAATATCTATGCTAATATTAAATATTTATTTTATCTATGTATGCTATCATGCCATTGTAACGTTTGGTAATCTACTTTACCATAACTGTTACGAGAGGCTAAAATAGCTATCTTATTTACAGCCACTGATAATCTTCCATAGGCGACGAGACTTAAAGGGCAAAACGACGTGGTTTGATCGCACAAACATCTCACCATATACATAGCATGAAACTTCACAGGATCTCCTGTAATAATATTTAATAACTTAATTTTAACTAAAAAATGAACAAAAAAGCCATATTACAACATAACTCAGGTTATAAAATATAAACTTGATTGACAATGTAAGAGATAAAACATAAATAACATATATTAGAGCAGGAGTGAAAAGTAAAACTTCCATCTACACAATATAAGCTCGAAGCTGATTTGGCAGGAGTTTGAACAAAATAAATTCTTATTTTTCAATTTTGTATATCATTTTGTGTAACAAATTTTAAATTAATGTATTTGGTTATAGTTAAGTATGTTGTTTTTAGGACTAGGAGTGATATATGACAATAAAATTAGGAAAACAAAACTGCAAGTTTTTCATATACATATATAGTAATTACGCTGTAAACATTTTTCTTTTTAAATGCAATATAGAACCATCAAACCTATTTTGTAAAAGAATTAGTAAAAAAATATCTAATTTAATGCAAATAAAGTTCTAAATGTACATGAATTAAATGAATAAAAATTATAATCAATATTATAATATATGAATCTTTCTTAATTTTGCAACTTTAATTTATATGAATTTTAGACATGTCATATGCACACATTTACAAAACACATGCACAATAGTCTATTTTTTGTCTCATTTTTATAATTGCATTGCCATCTGTAAGTACATGTACGTACGAGTATGTTTTGTACAGGTCTTCTTAGCCCTCTGAGAATAGCTCACGTAGGGGATTAAAAAGGTTCGCCCCGATTTTATCACCGCGAGCGACAAGTGAATCACTATATTTATGCAAAAGATACTAGTTAGCATTAAGTATCCATCTATTCATTCATTGAACAATATTATATATATGGTACAGCATTCCAAGAGCATTTAAAATTAAGGAGTTATTGTTATATTATAATCCTATTAATACAAAATAATAATAATAAATGTGAAAGTCTTTAATAATGAATAGATGCATGTTTGTTACTCATTTATGCAAAAACTATGGAACGGATGAATGGATTGAATGTACATGGGTAACTTCTTTTATTTATGCAACTTAGAATGGCAAGCTGATGGCTCACAGTACCAAGGACATAATAGAGTATACTATGTCGCCTATAGTATCTTTCATGTGTTACCATTTCTGAGGACTAAGATGTTATGTGTCTGAATCCTGTAATTCTATTGCCATATCTCATCCTTCAAACTGAAACACTGCCACGCAAACGACTATTTCACAGCAAAAACATAAATAGGACAGAAGTATCTATATACAAAGTTTCCCTCTGGTTTGGTGTGGTTATATCCTAGCTTAACACATAGGATACTTTATATATTAACTAACACTAGTGAAGCCCCGAGATACAACTAGTAACTAATAGATAGTTGTAGCACATGTTAATTGACAATCATAAATTTTAATCTAATGCTTACCTGGATATACAAGGAAATCTGAGCTAAATTTCGACCCACTAGTAATGTGATGTCCTCTTTCCCATAAATCTTTGAAAATTGCATATCTAGTTGCACCAAAATTTTCTAGTATACTAGGTTTTAAAATATCTACTCCAACATGCTTCTTTTCTGTGAAATTAACAATATATGATATATTTATATAATAAATATATCTATTATACATATGGGTATATAAATAACCAATTAAGTGTGAATCCAACTCATACACCCAAGTTTCTATACAAATTAAATTTTAAGGAAAATTTTGAAAAAGTATTTTCTTTCCATTTTTACTATATTATACTTTACTTTCTACAAATATAAGGTTTTCAGATTTTATACTGTGCTGTATGACATTGATTGTTACCAAATTTCATGATTTTAGATCAACAGAAAGTACCTCATAGGTTTCGATTCCCTTTGCAAATAAAAAACTATATATATGCTATAAATGGCCAAATCTTTCGATTTTGTTGAATTAGATGTTTGGTCTTTTCAATTTCAAGGCAATGAAGATTTAAGTATTTAATATTAATTTCAGCTTTATACCTCCGTGCGTCCCTGAGAAACATACAGACAGACAACAAAGTGATCCTATAAACATTCCGGTATCCCTTTTGAGATACAGAATTCTAAAAATATATAAACTAGTATGCTCATCATATTATGAAAATAAAATAAGATAGAAAAATCAGTTTACAAACCTATATCTATATAGTGTTCCGTAGGTAAATGTACCAAAAGTTGTGCAGGAGGCAAGGGCTGTAATTTGTTTATTTCTTCTTGTAATAATAAATTCTTGTCTAAATTGGCATCTGTCAAAACAATGATGATTTATTGACATAAACACACAAGTATAGGTAAACACATAATGTTAGTTACATCAGCAATACTAACAAAGATGATCTAGAAACTTTTGACACCAGAGGGCAACACTCTCACAGGAAATGTAATATTATAAGTAGTATTAAAAAATAATAAACTAACCAGTAATTCCTTTTGATAATAATTTCTGCCTTTTTCCTGCTATTATAATATCAATTTTTTGTGACATTTGTTCCACTTTTCTTTTCTTCAATTCCTTCATTTGTTCTTGAAACACTCTGCAAATAACATTTATATATATGTATATATATATTTCATCAGTATTAGATTAGATAAATAATAAACTAACAATTAAAAATATATATTAAATTTGGTGGCTGTTTTTATAATATTTATTATAAAAACAGTTATCAAATTTATGTTAGTTTTAGTTATATATCTATAAACAATAGTTTCCGCTTTCTTCTCTGCTATTCTAATTTTTATAAAAAATAGTAGAAATTAATGAGCCAATATTTATAATATCAGAGATGGGTACCAAAATGCACAAACTTCAAACTATTATTAATGATGTTTGAATATCTCACAAGATTCTGATACACATGGTAAAATACCTATCTAATAAAAGCCAAACTAGTAGACTCGATTTAACTAATAATTCAAATAACTTTATTGCGATTTTCTAGTCTGTATTGACACAAACCTATAATAGTAAATCAACTTTTGTTAAAAAATGTAATAGTTGAATTTATTGCTAGTTCTCAGTTGTATTATATTCCAAATGGATAGTGGAGTTTTTTATGATGGATTTGATTAATCATCTTTCCAAAATGGCTATTCAAAATGCTTGTAATTGAGTTTACTTGGATAAAAAAATATTCTTATTCTCTTGAATAATAAAGAATAATTATACTTTTATCATGTTTGATGCACTCTACTAAAATTCACCATTAAGATAACCATCCATTAAGGTCCATCAAACGTAGTGACTAATAACAAATTAGCAGTAGGCAATTATATTGCACAGTGGGGCTACATTTCATCATTTGTCAACTGCTTGATGTATCATTAGAATTCATGTTAAATAAAATATTTTTAAATGTACCTCTGCTCCTCAGATTTAATTTCTTCAACTTCCTGCTGGGTCAGTTTATCAGTAATTGTTGGTAGTTCAAACAATTCACAAATCCCTTTATCCACTAATAATGCTGTTTCTTCAGACATCAAAGCCATTGGCAGTCCTAGAAAAAAAAATTGTCAGTATAGAGTAAGTTATATATAATAATAAAATTTTCTTATTAACTTATGATCTTGTGCAGAATTCTACAGATCTATAATATAATAAAATTAGGTGTGTTTTATTGGTTGACTGTTTTCATTAACGGCAATCTAGGGTTTCCAAGTGAAATTACATAATCATTTTGGTTAATTTCATAAACTCATAATGCTTTTTGATAAGATTGTAATATATAGTTGCCTGTATAAAATTATAAAAAGTTTTTTTTTTTACATGTGGAGCCATCAGGCAATCCTAGGTTTAAGTTAATTGAAAGCAGCCAACCCAGGTGCATTGTATTATTTTAAGAAAATAAAAAAGAAAAACAATATAATGTGTTCATTACTATAATCCCTCATAAGATGAACAGATACATTAATTGTTGTGATCACAATTGGATTTTAATTTTATTTAACCAAAAAATAATATAATTGATTTACAAAATTTAAAACACATCACTAAAAAGGAAAGAAAACATCTTTAGTTTTCTAATTATTAGAAATAATTATAATATCTAATAATTAGAAAGGTATCTAATAAGGTAGGTAACTGTAGTGTCACCTTTCAATAGTTGCAGGTTCAATAAAGATATTTTTATTAATACATTTACAAAAGATGTATTCAAATATATTTATAAGTATGTTACTGTACATATTAATGTTTTTAGTTAGGTAAAAATGTAATGATTAGGTATTTTGATTGTTTAATTAAGGTGATACAAAAGTAAATACCTGAAAATTCATTTTGCCGTGGATATGCAGGTACTGTTCCGATTAGTGCACCACATATTCGATATTCCGTGCGAAGTGTGTACCAGTCTAAAATATAAACATATCATTAGTCAGATAATTGACCAAGGATATTTGTTTATTTCTTTATCTATTGGAAAAACAAACTTTCAAATTGTTGGAAATATAAAAATAATAAAATAGAATATTATTATCATATAATAATTTATGATTTTGTTCCACATTGTTCCAAATTGTTAAGTAAAAGTGACAAATAGTGGGATGAGACTAACAGAGAATCCATTAAATAAGAAAAATTAATTTCTAAAATTTGTAAAGATCCCGCGTTACATAGATACAGACAAAAATCTAATTGCGATGCTCATCCTTACTAAGCTTAAAATACAAATAAATTTACCATTAGAATTCCATACATAGGCCACACCACTTTCCACATATAAAGGAATAGTCATTATAGAAAACAATTTATATAAAGTCAATAACGAAGGTAAAATTTACAACATTTAAAAATCAAACAATATAAAGTAAATGCTATGTAGTTTGTGCTAAAAACTTAATTATTTTGTGGGTAGCAATTTAATTTGGAAATAATATTACTTTATAATTTACTCTCATTTCTCTTCTCAGACAAAAAAATATTCTAAATAAATAGGAAGTAAATTAGGAAAGAGTTAAGTATCAAGCATTGATACTGTGTAATAAATCATTAATCATTACATCCGTAAATCCATCAGTCAATCATTCCTTTAAACAGCTGTCGATGACAGAAACAAAAAAGCGAGACAAGCTATTTAGGGATTTGAACTAACGATGCGCAAATCCGAATGATTTTGTTATTCGAATAATTAGTAATTACAAATTTAATTTTTGACTACTAAATAATTAATAAACAAATTTCCGTATTCCAATTAATAATAGCTAATTTTATTTAATGTACTACTATACTACTAATACTTAATAATAGGTCACATACAGACACAATTGACGACAACCAAAAATAAAAAAAAAAAACGAAAAAATAAAATAATATTTAATAATACTTTAACACGTTTTGTTTTCATTTTTTAACAAAATTTGTTGATATCCACAAATATATCTGTGGTGATACCCTATCCTAAGGTCAGGGTGAATACCAGTAAAAAGGAATTAATTAGAATCATTATTCTATTACTTCAAATGACGTTTGACTGACTGAATTTTGATTAATCTAATTTTGACATTGCATTGAAAAGTTTAAAATTCTTACACCGAAACTTACCTATTGCATATCTACTTATTTATAAGTGCTAATCGAATAGAAACTTATTACCTCATCTTATCCCTCTCAATTTCAGTTATACGTTAATGCAACCTACATAAATTTCATTTTTTTTAATATCTAGACTGAAACAAGAAAAAATTATCATTTTATTATTAACTAAAAAAACTGAAACTTTCATTGTTAGTTAATTAAATTCGTTCACATTTTTATCTTATTAAAATTTTCAATAAAATACAATTGTATTACATTCCACTCAATAGATTGAAAGTTAAATATTTGGTTTTTTATAGGTAGTAAAAATTTTAATGTATTATTAAAATAACCATTTCGAGCAAAAGTGACTGTTGGATCAGATATTGCAGTACAACAGGTTTTATTAAAAATATTTACCTATAATAGTTTGGTGTATTGATAATGAAAAGAAATTGTGATTAAAAGTAGAAGTAAAATTTTTACCTTTTTAAAAAACCATCAGTATCCTCTGAACCTTTATTTTCCAAAGCAGGGTATATTCTTACAGAGCGACCATTTTTCTTTTTCTTTCTATCTTATGGCACGGCACAAAGTGCATCCGCCAAAAACTAAGTTTGGGAAACAGCATTTTAGTAAAGGAGTTTTGGACGACGGAGATTAGGATAAGGATCAGGAAAGTTGAATAGTGAATAATACAAGGAAAAGGACAGATACCTAAATAGATATTACAATATATTTAACATTAAAAATATACATATATATGTAAAGTACATAAAATAAGAAAATTTGCAACTTACTATTATTGATAAGAATAAAAGAGGAAATCAAATAATATACTTCTAAATTATCAAGAAACAATAATACTGGAACTGATGTAGGAAAGGGAATACGGAGGGAAAGGAGGGAATTGAAAAGAACAGAATGGTCATAGAGAAGACAATTTAGGATATTCAAATCACCCATATCTGAGGACTCATTCTATTATCTATTATATCTATTTAATAAACATGTCAAACAAAGGTTTGTACATGTTTATTAAATAGATTAAATCTGTTTTTTTACTAACTGCACTACGGCAGTTCCACTGCAGAACTTTGGCTTGGTTGTCCGTTCTTTTTATTATTTAAAATATTAATGAATGCATTTGAAAGAGAAGCAACGTTGGACGGTGGAATGATATTAAATTGTGTTAATAAATTTAAAAGAGCTGTTACTATTTCAGAAATAGATTGTTTAGATTCATCTTGCTGTTTATAACCACATCCATCTGCAGGAGCAGGAGGATTGTAGTCTTTTGTTAAAGTAATATATTCACTACGATCAAACCCATAGGAGGGTTTTGGAGGACGACGAATTTTTTCTATGACGGTTTTTTTAAAAGATTTATTAGAATGAGGAGAAATTACATTATGAATTCCATCCTGGTTTGAGTTTACTGTACTATTTACAATGACTGAATTAGATCTTAGAGTGTCAGCATATGATTTAATAGAAGGAGCATGCAATTTGCTTGCTTCAGCATAGGAGATGCAACTTTTAGCCATTGTTTCTTTAATTGCCTTTTGCCTTGAAAATTCTGGACATTTTTTGCTGTTTGCCTGGTGAGCACCTTGGCATAAACAACAGTAAAAATCATCTTCTTGGACAGAACAGGATTCTCCAGAGTGGCCCTGACCACACTTGTAACAACGTGGAACAGATCTACATTGATTTTTAATATGGCCATACCTACAGCAATTATAACACTGAATGGTAGGGTATATGTACAAATCAACAGGCAATGAATTATAACAAATGAAAACTCGCTTAGGTAACACTTGACCATCAAAAGTTATAACAACAGATTCAGTCATTACAAATTCAGATTTACCGTTAACAAGAGATTTTCTCTTTAAACGCCTAACTTTCAAAATTTTGCCACAACCTAATGGAACTGAAACATTTTCTATAATTTCCTCATCAGACCAGGCAGTTGGGATGCCCCTTATTATTCCCATCCTTGTTAAATTGAATGCTGGTATAAAGGCTTTATAATTATGAGATTTTAAATCCACACTATTTATAAAAGAATTAGCATCTGTATAATTAGAGAAAGCTAATGATAATCTATTTCGCCCTATCTTTTTCAGACTACCATCAATTACATTTTTGAAAGGATTTTTCTGAAGGAAACGTCCAAAGGCTATTGGGTGAAGTGTAGAATTATCATCCGGGGATGATAAAACTTTTTGTATGTGAACGGTGAATGGAGCAGAATCATGAGGTTTATAATAAACTCTACTAATAAAGTTATGTGGACGAGATGAGTCATTCTCCTGATTATTTATTAAATTATTGTTAGAAGATTGTTGCTGCTTTTCCTCGTTGAATTGAGTACATTCACATGAAAATTTATTCTTACTGTTTTCACCTCCTCGATTCCTCCTACGTTTTTTATTGCAATGCCTACAAACATTGCCGGCTACTGATTTACGTTTTCGTTTTGTTCCAGAATTATCAGAAATATTAACAGAGCAATCTGTGTCCATAGAATCCTCATTATTACTAATAATTACATGAAGAGCGACCTCGGGGACCGTACCCCCGGGATCATCCGGGGGGTCCATATATTAAAAAGAAATATATACAGAAACTTACCTAGTTTACAGCTATTATTACACAAAACTAATATATACAAATTTAAACTAATATAAATGCCATTTGTAACTTATCTGATCGATATTATAATATAAATAAATAAATAATTCAGAAAAACTCGACAGCCAAATTTTACGTTTCCCGCCCTTTTTTCGAGCGACCATTTATTATAATTATTTGCCTTATTTTTTATTTTTGTTGTTGCAATTTAAGAAAAAAGTCTAGTGGGGTAGTACAGTACTACTTTATTAATAAATGATATCTTTGGAATATATCTATATATCAGTCGAATAATTAACATATACATCGAGTATTTTTAAAAATTTTGTATAACTTGCTAAGGTATCGTCAATTGGATACTCAACAAAAATATCACTAACTAAATATCGATATAAAAAGGTATATAAGTTCATATCTTATTTTGGCATAAATATAAACATAGTCAACCCCTACTGTCAGACAATCTTTGATTGCGTTGACTGACGATTGACTGAGTGATGAGAAAATCTCAGAAAACAAAACAAACAATATTAAACCGGGTTTAAAATCAACACTATTTTCATTTATTTTTCTTTTATTATACACGTATATTATTATTTCATAAATACATTATCTGCCATAAATAATTTAATGTAATTCTATATTCCTGAATAAAAATTCCTCTGAAGTTATATAACTAAATATCACAATGGCAGCTAGAAAAGTGATTATTGGTATGTTTTTATCTACATTTTAGTAATAATTATTGAATATATATCTTTTCATCATGTAATAATTGTATGATGAAGTATATACAACTAATATATTTTATTTATTTATATAGTTACTTTTATCAGTATAGTTATAAAAACAAAGTACTCACTGACCAACATGAACTATGAATAATTTTAAGAATGTTTGTAAGTTATTGATTTAAAGTTTTAAACAGATGTTGTACAAGAAATTTGTTGTTAAGTGACAGTTCTACCATAAAATAAAAAAAAAACTTCATATTTTGATTTATCAAATTTCCTGAAGCAAGTGTAATTATTTTTAGGAGGAGGTACAGGTTTTATTGGTAGAAACTTAGGTGAACTACTGTTAACAAAAGGATATGATGTAACGAACATAGCTCGGATGCCTGGTATCAGCAACATATCTTGGTCTACATTAGAAGTAGCAGGTTTGCCAAAAAGCACTTGTGCTGTAGTCAACTGTGCTGGACAGCAGTTTATGGACTTTACAAAATCCTGGACTCCAGGGTTAGTCTGATACAAATTAAACAAAATAATATATTACTGTGAAAGTCTACATGACAAATTCAACCTATAAATGATTTGTAACAATTTTCATGATCAAAGTGAATTGAAACACTTAAACAAATAATGAAATAGATAAAACTACTAATATATGTGTTATTTCTTAGATAAAAAAAAAATTATCGTAAAAATTAAAATAACCCACAGACATATTTTTTTTAGATTTAAACAAAATGTACAGAATTCTCGAGTGTATACAACACAAGCATTAGCCAAGGCAATAAATAATAGTCAAGATAAACCAAGAGTATATGTTGTGGTCACTGGTGTTGGTGCATATGAACCTTCTGAATATAATAAATATGATGAGACCAGCCCTACTACTGGTATTGATTTCTTCTCAAGACTTGTGCTTGAGTGGGAGAAAGCTGCCTATGTAGATCCACCAGTCCGACTAGTAAGTATAATGTAGTAATGCCATTATTTTTAATTGTTCCACTTGGAGGTTTTATAAACTATATAGATTGGCAATGTATATATATATATATATATATATATATATATATATATATATATATATATGGTAACATTCCCTACACTACCAGAATATTCTGGTAGTGTAGGGAATGTTACCTATCCATTTTTATTAAATAATATATATATTTTGTTGTGGCGAAATAGGGATCAGAACATTGTTAGTATGGGTCCCATGCATACACCTGTCTGTCTGCATTCATTAAAAAAGATATTGGCAATATTGCAATTACTAGTCCATTTCTATAATTATTTTTGGCATACTAGGAAATATGATTACCATGACAATAACTTTAAACACGTATTTTCTAGGTAATCATCAGATCTGGAGCAGTTTTAGGTCGATGGGGTGGTATGATCAAAAATATGTTTCTACCTTTCTACTTTGGTTTCGGTGGGCGCATCAGTTCTGGCAAACAATATCTACCTTGGATACATATAGATGATCTTATACGCCTTATACAATTTACCATAGAGAATGAAAATGTTCAAGGAGTATTAAATGGTGTTGCTCCACACGTTATTACTAATGAGGAATTTACAAATGTAAGTTAATCTATTTAAATAATATTAACATAAAATAAATATACTCTATAATCTCTAATGTGGTAGTATGCCTCGGGCATTTATCGGTTTTGCTATTGTAAAAAATGTAATATTCAACATGCCCATATGTCGCCAAGCATATAAGATTCCGACATGGCAAGGGATGAGCACACTGCTGTGACTTCGCCGGAAATTTAAAATGACAAAGTTTTTGTGTTGGTCACATTCTAAGTCACTATTCCTTTGCGATCTAAGTTGGAGTGGTATGGCACTAGGCTACGACGCACTCAATATGCATAATATAATTAAAAGTCAATAGCGAATATTACATACATACAGCATGTTAGTTCTGTATGTGTGTATTTTTTTTTTGTTTGTAATTGTCAGAATAGGTTTTTATAAAAGAATTTTTAAAATTCATAAGGAAAATAAAAAAAAACAGTTCAAAATCTCTATATCTATAAATAAGTGAGTGAGTAAGAAAGATTAATGTTATTCATTACTACATCCATGTGAAGCCGGGGCTGTCAGCTAGTATATTATATCATATAGTATCATTATTTTGACCTAAGTCTAATTGTCTATAGACATTAATTTCATTCTTGGGCTATAACCTAAAATCTGTTTCCAACACTTTTTATCTGAATGGATGTAGTGTCACAAGTTGAATTTACTCTGCAAAAAAGAAACGGTCAGCCGTCGTCAAATATTTGAATTCAGTTGGGTGTTTAAGTAGATTTTGCTTTGTAACAAGTAGATTTTTACTTTGCAAAGAAAGACGAATATGGCGTCAATACAAGAGTAAAAAATATCAAGGAATAAAGAATTAACAAAATTATATTAGAATTCAGAATCGGCGACGTATCACGCCTGTATTTTTTTTTTATATGTTACACGCAAAATAAAATTACAACCTCTTTTTAAGTGGTGGTAGGTGCTTACATAATGGATAGATAAACTCACTTTCACGTTTTCAAACAATCAAGTAACTGTTAGTCTGTGATTAAAACAGTTTTTGTTTAAATCAGTAACTAAAAAAAATAGGAAAAGTAAAAAAAATCATGTCTATGCCTATGTTCAAGCCAAGTATAAGTTTAATTGTACGAATATTTTCGATGAATTTTTAAATTATTAAAACTTTCCATAATATTAAGTATTATATTTAATTATAATTGTTATATATGTAACTTTTCGTTCTGTATTATATAAAACAGTACATATATTAAAGGCGGGAGATCTTGACGATAGTATGCTAGTAATATGGCGATTTTTTTTTTTTTTGATGGGTGAAAATGAAATGGTAACCCCGTCTGCGCTAACGGGATACGCTAGCGGAGCACCAGTGAACGGTGATAGATGAGAATGAAAACAGGCCAGTTAGCCCATCATGATGAATTCATCAGGAATTAACCATGATAGTTTCCAGGGGGAACCGCGAGGAGGTCGACCTGGTTGGGTATATTGCTAGGAATGGGATTCTCAGTCTCCATCACTAACAATCCCTTTCCCCCCGTAATATGGCGATTGTACCACTTCTTCATTATAAGTATACTCAATCACAATTAATTGGTTAAGCTACAGTCGAGATAAATCGCATTTCTACGACTCCCGCCTTTAAGCTACAATCGAGATAAATTGTAGTATTACGACTTCCGGCTTTAATTGTTCATAAAAAGTAAGTAAATTTTTTTGTACAAGTTCAGACTTAAAACATTGAGTTTTTTTTTTCAGTCTTTTGCCAAAGCGCTAAAGCGGCCAGCCGTTGTTCCTGTTCCCGAGAAAATATTAGATTTCTTGTTAAATCCTGAGAGAGCAATGATCATGACTAAAGGACAACACGTCGTACCAAAAAGAGTTTTAGAATACGGTTTTAAATATCAATACGATAATATAGACAAAGCTTGCAAGGAATTTGCTCATTTATTTCCAAAGAGACATCCACTTAAATAAATATAGACTGTTGTTTGTTTGTACTGTTATCTAATTTAATAAAAGAAAGAAAATTCAGTAGCGTTCCTAAAAAGTAACAGTCATAATTGTTTTATCGTTGCATGGCACAATACGATTTTATCGCTACGATATTATTTAAATTTTCCGTTGACAATTACATCATATTTATATCGTAGACGTGCATGGAAAATTAAAAGGATCTTTGTACATACATTTTGCTTCATATATTGTAATGATAAAATAATATTGTACTATAGGATAATTAGACATCCAAATTGTGATACCAACCCCTTTAAAAAAGTGGTAAATGAATCTACAGACGCCTAAGAACAAGACGCCGGATGTTTTATCTCGTTCTTCTATAAGGTAATATAAGATAAAAAATATCCGATATATAAATACACAGTTGCGTTAACGTATCTTTCGATAAATTTGTTTTCCATTTAGGGGACAAATTAAGTAATAAATACCGTTTTATCTGTCACTCCTGAAGCAGCAGTATAGTATAATAGTGACATTAAATACTTTTTGGAATAATGAATGAACGATAACTTTTTTTGCTAAAAAATATCATGTTTTCTAAATTTAACTATGGTGATTTTTGCCTTACTTTTTATGAGTAGTAAAGCAAAAGCATCACCAGCACAGTATAATTATTTTTTAAAGTCCACTTTCTATCAGATGGGTTTATCTGCCAATTCCACCAATACTTAAAAATACGTAATAACGGTTCTATCAGTTGTGATTAAATTTGCTTCATATATAAATTATAGAGATATATAGAACATGTTTTTTTCTGAAATAACACTAATATTTAATAAAAAATGCTGTAGGGACAATTTAAGTTGATGAGCAATTTGCGATATCGATGGAGGTTTACTGAAAAGTTATAACTAAAAATTTAACTTACAAAAATTTTATTCTGAGTTCATTGACCTAGTCATAATGCGTGTTAAGACCATTTATTAGTATTTAAATTTTGTGAATTTTCTTTATTTATAAAATATGTATAGGTAGTTGAAATTTTAGGTAGGTATTTATTAAAGAATTTTTTAAAAAACCACCGATATTAACAAAAAAGATATACTCTTACATAAATTATTGGCATTAAGTAAATGATGTTACTTTTTTCATGAATTTTTTATTAAAATACAGAGTTTTATTTAATAAGCTAGTAATAGTTATGTAATAAAATTATACCTTTATTTACACAGTTTATTACTATTTTTTTTTTATTTCGACAATCTGTATTTAGACGTAGGTAAATTTAATTAGCTACTTTTCACAATATTGACTAAGTAATATTTTAGAATTGCTTTACTCCCAATTGCAATTTCTTTCGATCTTTTGATTTGAAAATGCAATGGAATATGCATTTTATACTTGTTTTTTTTTTGTTTATCTTTCGACTGCATGTAATTTAAACACATAAAAATAAAAAACCTTAAGTTTTATATGTCTATATTTTTTTAATTTTATCAATTTCCGTATACCACGGGCTGAATGCCTCATGCTACGAGAACTTAGATGGTCTATAATGGTTTCACAGTGTAATAAATTCTTTCCTACCAGTCGTTCAACGGACACTATTATATACCCAACATGACAATGTGTCCCAATTTGCCATGTTCGGTATATGCTTATGGCATTGGGACACTGGTTGTTCTAAACATTACATGTTACATTGTTGCCAAATATGTATCAATCACTTTTTTACTCTTAACACTTTAGTGGCCCTTGTTGTTAAAGACGCAAACGGCGCAGCGGCGGGCTTCTCTATAATTTAGGCTGTGGCTTCCGAGCTTTATATACCATACCAGATTATGTAATATAATTATACGTTTGCACTCCATATGAATCTATCTCCATATACATATATTTAAATGTTGATAAATAATTTTCTCTAGCAAATTTCATTTGATGGAATCGAGAAGAGAAAAATATTTTCTTATATTTAAAAATTTATTATCTTATGTGTTTTATTACTGATAGTGATGATATAATTTACGTAGGTATACAATGCTATGACAGACTGCTAGATAAACATGACAATATTATTAACTTTGATAAAAATTACGTAGTTGTGTTATAAAAGTAAACATTTAATACACAGAAAATATTTATTTCATAAGTCATTGTTCTTATATTTGTAAATACTAATGTACTATTTGTATGATAAAAAGCGACTCACAATTCTTATTTGTCGATGGATAAGTATATTCTGAATGTATCTCAATATTATCTTTTCTCATAAATAAAAATATTCATATCAACATATGTTCATGTCCTGCAGTGGAAAAATATTTTATTCAATATTATTTAATTAATGTAACCTACATTTGTAGCATTTATTTTACAGAGTATGTATCTAATAAAAATGATAATATTTCAAACACAGAAAATTCTGGTAATCTTTATTTATTTATACTTTATTGTATACAAAAATTACACTGTTATAATTTATTTTAAACAAGCGTGTAGAACAGAAGAGCTTAACTCTGTAAGAGTTTTCATCCAGCAAACCTTGAGTGGAAAGTAGCATCAATTACCAGCGGGCAGTGTGCGTATAATAAGAAGAGGAAACAGTATGGTAATTTTTATTAAGTAATAAATATGCTTACCTAAATACAAAGTAACTTATATACTTTTGTACTTAGTATGTGTTTATGAATGGAAACTAAAATAGATGTGTACACACCAGTTTCATCGAGTATTTACTCTTTCCTCTGGTATCACACAGTTTATCTCTACTGGTAAGCTTAACTCCTCTAGTGATGAAGTTTAAAATAAAATAAAACAAGTAACTAAAGACCAGTGTTCTATAAATATCTACAGGCTTATATAATTATAATAACAAGGTATTTTTAGGTAAACTTACCTAAGAATACCTTGTTATTAATATATAAAGTCGATTGTATGCATAGAGTAGGTCTGTAGTAAGTATCTACCCACATAATTTTTTTATTACTTAATGTATTTTACGTGTTTACCTTAAAAGCTCTGCGGTATGCTAGATATGCATATGGAAGAATGTATCTTACTTTAAATGTTTATTAAGTATGTAACTTACATTTGTTAATTTGTGATACCTACATAACATAATTTTATATATAAATAAATACTTATTACTATTTAATATTATAATTACTATCATCATACATAGGTGTATTAATTATTTATTCACTGATGTAATTATATTTAAATGCATAATACCAAAAAATTCTTATTCATTTGTAGATTAGGCATCTCACAAGTCCGGAGCGGCAAAGTTGAATGAAATCCCCAGATTAAGAAGTTGATGCAATCATATGTATTATACACATATATGTATGTGTAACGGCTACTCTCAACTTTTAAAAAATATGTTACATTTTACATGCTTATATCTTTTTTATAATCATTGTTTCTAAATTGCACATAATACGCGTCAATTTATTTATTGTCTATTTTGTGTATAGTGATATTTGTGAGAGGTCTACTAATGGATCTTGAGTACAATCGATGACGAATTTATACATTGACCGCGAGTAGACTATTAAATTTTTGCCCTCTACATCTTTACAATGCGATACACTAGTTCATAATCATATTAATTACAATTTTAACTTAAAAAAAAAATTGCCGTCTTTGAAAACTAACCCTAAGCTCCAACCCACACAGCCTGCTGGTAAACCCGCAACTGACTGTAAGTGTATACTCAAATAATATGCAAGTATCATATTTGTATTTTATCACTATTTAACTTCGCTTTAAGTTACCCTGTTCGATTCCGAATTGTTTTGTCGATATATCGAGTATTTACTCGATAACTCGAAAACTCACCTAAGTTAACGAGCTATCCACTTGTGAACGATTTGTGAATGTTCATCAATTTTAACTATAACCAGTGAACAATCATAATCCGCTTTATTAATTGCTGATATTAGCCATTGTTTCCCAATGTAGACATATTTCTACACAGTTCTATCAGTTGTATTGATTACCAATTGGTCATAAGAACAAGTTGATAATTAAAAGTCATTGCATGACGAATATTTCTTAATAATACACGTAATTTCTTAAAAGTAGACATTTAAACAAGTGTTTATGTAGGAACCTTAAGTTCTTGAAGTTTGTTTCAAATAAAAAACGAAACAAATCGTAAATATTAAAAAATAAAAGGTCTCAATGAATTTTTGAGATTTATAGAGACGCGTTGTCGATTTGGTGGAACCTAGTGACTAGTCTGGATACGAACTTGCGAAGTATATCCTGACGCATACGTCCTACGTCGAGTACTTCGTCGTGGTTAGCTTGATCATCTGTTTCATAACTTGTGACACACTCGTTGGTGATTAACGATAGAGCAAAAACATTCATATCACAATGCCTTGCAGTTATTACCTGGAATAATGAATTAAATATTTTGTTGTAATTTCTTTAAATATAAATTATTAACGATTTGGCACGCCTTCTCACAGATAGATAGAATTTTCGAAAATGTAAGTAAAGCCCATCTTGCTCACTTATAATGTAGTTTTCTAGGTGAAAGAATTTTTAAAATTGATCTAGTAGTTTTTGTGTTTACACATAACAAACAAACAATCAAATCTCTTCATAATATTAGTCTAGACAGCGTTAAATTTGTTGTCCGTGCTTACAGTTTCTTTTATATGGTATGTTAATTTAAGTCCTCGCATATTATACAAACTTATACCGTAAACATTCATGAAATAAATGCTTTTGAAAATTGCCATCGGAACGAGGAGAAACGACTTTTACGCGGGCAAAGTCGTAGTGTTCTAGTTATTAACCTTTCTCAATTTTTTCAATAAGTTAAAAGATAAGTAGGTTCTCAACTTGTCCGTATCTAATTGTTTTACTGTAAGTACATGTTAAGCAATATCTTCATCGATTCTAATATCATTTTAATACGGACTTGTTTTTTTATATCAATCGAAATCAATCAAATAGAGTTTACTCCCGCGTTGGTTTCACATTAATTTTGTCAAAATTAAATAAAACCGTTCTTTTTCTGCAAAAACTTTAAATTATCATATTTTCTGTTCTACTTAAACATGTCTACCTTACCTCGTGAACTGTTGACATGCCAACGGCATCCACTCCGACCATCTTCAACATATTCAGCTCTGCCACTGTCTCGAAATTCGGTCCTCCGAGGCACGTATATACACCCTCTCTAACGATGTTTTCTATATTATATTCTTTAGCCACCTAAAAATGAAATTGTTTACATAGTATATTGTTTCACAAAATATAAAACGAAGCTATAGTTAATCTGACTTAAATTATCGTTAAATTGACTGAGCGTCGTGGTCTTAGATAACCTTTTACTAGATAGCATTGTTAATAAGTTAATAACATGACAATGGAGTAGGTTAGTTAAAATTATACGCAATATAAAAAGTCGCAATGTAATATGAAAATAAATATCTAATATATAAAATTCTCGTGTCATGGTGTTTGTTATCAAACTCCTCCGAAACGGCTTTACCGATTTTCATAAAATTTTGTGTGCATATTTGGTAGGTCTGAGAATCGGCCAACATATATTTTTTAACCCTTCAATGACCCACCCGTAAAATTTTTTTTTTTATATTTTTGACAATTTTTTTTATTTTTATTTAAATATTATTTAGCATTGAAAAATACACACAACTTCAAATTTTCACCATTTTATGATCAACCCCTGTTTTTTAATCGCGATTTTTATAAGGTAAGGTTTATAGGTTGCAAGATGGCAATCCAATATAATAATTATAGTAGGATAAATTTTCATGTATAGTTTTAGAAATAATGAATACGGTAAAACAACGTTTACTGAGTCAGCTAGTATCTTATATATAAAATTCTCGTGTCACGGTGTTTGTTACCAAACTCCTCCGAAACGGCTTTACCGATTATTATGAAATTTTGTGTGCATATTGGGTAGGTCTGAGAATCGACCAACATCAATTTTTTATACCCCTCAATGATAATGGTGACCCTACCCAAAATTTTTTTTTATTTTTTTTCCAAATTTTTCCATTTTAATTTTATTATGATTTAGCATTGAAAAATATATACAACCTCAAATTTTCACGGTTTTACGATCAACGCCTGTTTGTTAATCGCGATTTTTATATTCCGCAATAGGGTTGCAAGATGGCAATCGAATATAATAATTGTAGTACGATGAATTTTCATGTATATTTTGCGAAATAATGTATATGGTAAAACAACGTTTGCCGAGTCAGCTAGTATATATATATATATATATATATATATATATATATATATATATATATATATATATATATATATGGTTTTTTAGTATTGTAGTCTAAGTAGAAATAATACAAACTATTTCCCCGGGTTATCTCATTCCCGTGATGGAAAGAACGAACCTTTTTCTAAATCACTGTCTTTTTGTATATTACGTGATATTTTAGTTAATACTAAACCCATTATGATGAATAATTTTCTTGATCGGAAAGGCCTACTTCCATACTGGTACCATATTTACTTTGTAAAACAAAAATTTAAATATTCTTACCTCTTTAGCTAACTTTCTATATTCATAATTGTATGCTTTGTTCATAGGTGGAAACCGAGGTCCGAATCTCTCGTCATTGGGCCCGTGCAGAGGATTGTTGCCAGCAAAACCCATCATATTTATATGATCTTTTACTATCATCAAATCACCAATTTTATAAGTTGGATTCAGTCCCCCAGCCGCATTTGTAGCAATTAGGGTCTTTACTCCGAGAAGTCTCATCACACGAACTGGTAAGCAACACTGTGAACAATAGAATTTCTAGCAGTTAACACCTGTATTTACATACAACTTCACAATTCATCATCATCATATCAGCCGTAACCGTCTACTACTGAAAATAGCTCTCCCCCTCCCAGTTGTGTATCGTAGTAAAGCTTTGGTGATGTTTTAAGAGAGACTACCGTTGGTCATCGACTATTAAGTTCCTTAGTTAGTTAAGTTAGTTAGTCTTAAGTTAGTCGTCTCTTACAACACTTATGGGAAAGGAAGAAGAACTTCACAAGTAATCTTAGTCCAATAAAAATAAAAAAATATATATATATATATATATATATATATATATATATATATATATATATATATATATATGTCTTAATCTGTAATGGGAGGTAATCAATAGTATATATTAGATTTTAACATATCCAATTTTAATTTCAGAAGTTTTAATTTGGTTTTTATTGAACAATGTAGATAGACGAAATATCGGTCAGAAATACAAATTTGCACTAAGTTTTTAGTGATTCGAACTCACGACTTTTGGAGTTTATAAGATGGAATAGTTACTACGCTATAATGGTTTAAACAAATTATTTTAATTCCAATAGATATATCTATAGCTGTCTGTGTTTAATAAAGTATAAAAATGTCAAAACTTAAATTGCTTTTCCAAAAATCACTATATGAGTAAATTATGTGAGCTAAACTTTTGTGATATAAATCATAAAGATCACCGATATATAAAATACTTTGAATTTTTCAAAATTACATCTTTTTAGCATGGCTCATAAGAGTATTGACATTTTTTTTAGTTCCATTGCCTATTTATGTACATAAATAGTTAGCTTTTAGTTTTTTAACTTATTTTTTATATATATTATACCTATATAACAAACATCTTATATATCATTATTATGAAACTGTAACGCTTATTACGCCTTCTTTATCCATAGAAGATATTCAAAACAAGAGATAACCTACCCTGCTGGGGGTCGAGTCGAGACGAGGCGATAAGATATAAATTTCCAAAGCTTTCCGAAGCAATAAATATTTCAATCTTATCTATGATAATTCTCGTTTGTTACGTCCATAAACATTGACAAAACGGAACAATAGTGAGTAATAATAATCACATGCAGGAATTATTTATAGATACTCATTTCTATGATTTTTAAGTTACTTCTAGGAATTATTGTACACTGCATCATATGTAACAACTATTTTACATAAAAATATTGTAAATGTATATTACTGGCTTTATCATGAGTATAATTTATCTATATGATAGGGAAAAATTAACCCAGTTGGTGGTAGTAGAGGACAAAACGTTTGTCACGTCAGCTAATAAATATAGAACATGCACACACACACGCGCGTACACGCACGCATACACACACTCACACACGGGCGCGTGCGGGCACGCACGCACGCATATATGCACACACGCAAGAACGCATACACACGTACGTACGCAAATATAACCCTTCTTCATACTCACAATCCTTTTGAGGAATTTATTTATTAGATACATAAAACATATCATAACCATAAAAAAACTTAAATAGTAGTTACATTTATGATTCGTATAGGTTACAATCCAATTACATTATGTGCACAGCTTAAGTAATTCATGTAAAGCAAGCACGTAAAATAAAGGAAATACATAAAATGCTATATAAAGGAATAAAAAATAAAACTAACATAACATAAGTTTATTCTAAAAAATAAATATTTTGTACCGAATATGTGAAATATTACTAACATCGTTCATTCATCAATTTGTCGTGGTTATTATTCAGGAACTCTGTATATTTAGAATATTTGATTTTGATACACAGTTATTAACATAATACCTATAGACACCGATATGTCATAAAGGCCCATAAGATTATTTCGTAGTATGGTATATTTGCCTAATTTAAATTTAATCGTAATATTTGTGAGAACACACATATTAAATTATTATTATTAGTATTATTCCATTAACAATTTTATTATACACAGTTTGTTAATAATACTTGAGAGATTTCTCTTACAAGGCATTAAAAAATGTTATTTACATTTGTTTCTTTCATGCAATCATATGTACATACCTACATATCTGTCACGATTGTTATGCAATCAAATGAAGTAAAATTATAACTTATTATCATTGTCTTTTACCTTCCATAATGGATATCCCTCATAATAATGGAAACGTCCCTGCATGGCGACCACAGACACGCCATCGAGTCGGCCGAACACCAACCTTCCGTGGTGGCCTTCCACGGTGCTTATTGGGAAATTCGGAATCTCTTCATAGGGGATACTTTCAGCGTCCACGATGCTTTCCGCCAACGAACCTAAACAAGCAACAAAACATTTTTTACAAAAACTATTATTATGAATTGACTTTAAGAATTTATTCACTAATTCGTAATTTGGTCACGGTCTACCGAAATCTCATTGGTATGATAATGAAAATGACATGAACATTTAAATATATGCCACAATGAATGAGTATATCTAAAATAGTCCACGAAATCGATTCAAAAATAGCTGAGATATTCTGCAACATACATGCATAAAAACACAATTGGGATTATCTAATAGATAGTCAATAAAAAGAAGATTGCTTGACATAAAATAAAATCATTTAATATCGTAACAAGTTAACAATCACTAATATCATAGCAATCTTTTTAAGGGACTTCCAAAAACTGTAAATTTGCTAAATAAATTATAACTGATGCATGCATACTTAAAGTATCTACACATTTATTTAAATAACAAAATATACATAATTATATATCTTCATTATACCTTATATATGTTATATAATATATTATTATATTTATATATATCTTCTATAAGGTCCAGTTAATAGTGCATTATAAATTTAATCCTGTTTCTCGAGTGCTACCTATGGAGTGGTCCCCACTCAACATAAGCTACTACCACATAATTATTATTTTAATGCATAAAGTTGTTATTAATATTGTTGTTTTGTAGCTGAATAAATGATTTTATTATTATTATTATTAAAAAACAATAGTTCTTGATTCATACGATTTTTATATTAGATTTTTACAATTCCAATCAATAGGATTTACTTTCGTGTTCGTTCCATCTTTATTTTTTTTAGATGATACCTACATTACTTACACTAGCTAGCTAAGTATCTAGTGTAAGTGTTATTATAGGACAATGTCATATAAGTATAATTTAGTGTGATTCATGCAAAATGTATGAATAATATGAAGTAATAAATACCGTCTTTCCAATACGCACCCATCCCTGAACCGCAAATGATGCCAATGGTGGGTCGGATGGAGATGCGCGCGAGTAAGAAATTGGCCGTTTCCTGCAGTGTCTCGTATGAGTATCTGTAAAATTACAAAATATAATTCATTTTAATTGTACATGGCTACAATCTGAAAATATATTTATGGATTTAGGCAATGCAATACAGCATCAAGTTTAATAATCTGTACTTTTTTACGCAATTCAATAAACAATGAGATGGCACATCCGACGGAATGTCGTAACCATCAGCTGAGCAACACCATGAATATCACAGAAAAGTTTGACGCTCACACGTTGCGTCTAATACCCCTGGTATTCTAAGCGTTCATAGACTACGGTAATCACTTACCATCAGGTGGGCCGTATGCTTTTTTGCCACCTCAGTGATATAAAGAAAACGTTGCTATTCCTAAGTATTAAAGTGCTGTGCTTCTGTATTCTGTAAATTTATTGCCGTCACAAACACAGCAATGGAAACAGCTGTTCAGGGGAGAAACGAATAGAATTGATAATTGATGTCATAATGAGGTAACCATGCAAATGACTTGGAAAATGCATATCTTAAAAAACTCCGTGTAAACCTATACCTAATGTAAGGCTAAATTGAATCCTAATTTAATCATACCATGTTTTACTCTTTATATTATAAACGTTATGTTTATAATATAAAGAGTATAAATAATCAATAACCAAATATCTACGATGGATAAGAAAGTATTTGTACATATAACCATGATTCATAATTTACTATCTGACAAGACAAACAGAGGAAAAGAAGTAGCAGAGTCTAAAACTCCATTATATATAGGTAGCTAACCTATCAGTTCGACGTCCATGCGGTTCCCCTCGAAACCATTGTTAATTATTGTTGAATTCATCATGATGGGCCAACTGATTTTCTTCATCTTCACCTATTATCCCTCACTAGAGCACCTTAAGTGTATACCGATAACGTAGCCGGAGTTACTGTTTTATTTTCACGCATTAAAAATACAGGACTAGCATCAACTATAGTAGGTATATACATACCTACATATTTAACAGTTCATTCGCCTGAAACTAATAGTTTTGTATCTTATATTAAATATGTCGACGCGTATCGACACGTATTATTATATGAAAATTATATTTTTTAATATAATATTTGGTTGGTTAACGATCATTTTGAGCAATTATCAACAGGCTCAGAAGTTGAAATAAAAAAATAGAAATTCCGGTGTCGAACACCGTTATTAGTAACTAAACAATAGGCCGAGAAATTATGAATTTCAAGTGGTAAATTTTCACCTAAATTCTATTCGTATTTTATATACAAATTATTTTATTAACAGTTTTCTATATTATTGCTGTACTAGTTTCGTCAAAATTGAAATTATTTTTTGCACAAAATATTTTAATTATCAAATTCTAAAATTTATTTTCATTTCTAAAACATAATTTTATCATGTAAATTCTTTTGCTCTAAATTCAAATGATGTATAAGTAAACTGATAATTTACAGGAAATATATTTACCCCCTACGAACATTGTCTTATTTGTTTGTACCTATTTCTACTATCGGTGAAATAAGTCAACTCATAAAATATAATTTATTAACAGATAACAAAATGTTAGCAACTGTATTGTATTTTTCCAATATCCATAAATAGTATAATAATAGTTAATGAATAATAATAATTTATATAATAGTTATAATATTAGTTATGAAGTCGATGTAACTGTACACAAACATTTTTAACTATTAATATGACTACATAGGAACGCAAGACCTGACTTATTTTCATAATTATGTCAAAGTTCTAGTACAAAAAAAATAGCGATATTAATCATAACGAGACATAACACAGTGATTAACCAACGTTTTATTAAATATTGTATAATTGCTTTATATTCCATTATTAAAAAGCTACAGTAATATTGTATTTCTGATTATAAATAATTGAACCTTTGACAAGTTTTCCTTTTGATTACAATCGTAAAAAAAAATAAAAAGTTTATGTACACTTTTCCATTTCTTTACAATCAATTTACAAGTTTAAATCATAAATAACACAGCGCAGGACCGGTTTCTATACGTAGCATGGTTGCAAAAGAATGCAGTTGGCCGTCATTAACTGTTCATGCATCGCAGCTCTTGATGACGGTCCTTTCAGGTCGTTAACGTTGAAGAACTGAGATACTTTAAGAGGTAATATATAGCTTATGAAGGTGGGAGCTATAACAAGTATTAATGAAGCTAATGATCTCACGTAGAACTTTAAGCTTAACATAACATCTTGTAACTTTGTACATTCTAGAATGTTATAGATATCAGTTCTCTACCAGATGAGTATAAGGATTTCACTATTACTATTACAAAAAAGTAATGTCGTAATACTGACATATAGGGGAGAAAAGGATTGTAAGTAATGGGGACTAATAGCCCCATTGCTATCAAGCCCTGTCAGGTCAATCTCCAAGCGGTTTCCTCTGAAAACTATCGTGATTCAGACTTGTTGCATTCGTCATAATGGGCTGCTATCATGCTCTTCTATATGACAGGCGGAGCATCAATGAGGTATCCCTCACCGGTGCCCCGTCAGCGTATACCGATAGAACATTCGGGGTTTTTCAATGTACTATAATGAAATGATAACCCCGCCTGCGCTATAGGTATAGGCTGGCTGGACACCAGTGAGGGGTGATAGGTGAGGCTGAAAGCAGATTCATTAGCTCATCGTGACGAATTACACCAGAATTTATTACGATAGTTTCAAGGGGGAACTTCGTGGAGGTCGCTCCCCCCCCCCCCGCCCCTCATAGACGAGGGGCAGTATTCCATTATCATCTAAAACATTACATTCTTGGATGGTTCTGATAGACTCCCGTTTATTTTTATACATGTATAGATAGTTTTATCTTTTTTACTATTGTAGTAAATAGGACATTGACACTTTCTTATTCATGTTGCTTTTTTTTCTATAATTCCACTTAATTCATTTTTAATTACTTAATTAATTATCACTCAATTTTTGTTTTCTTTGAAGTTCGATTTTTATTAATTGTCGAGACATTGGCAAAGTAAATAAACACTAACTACCCTATGTCGGATTACTATCTACAAAGTATTAAGTAATACAACATATTTGTTTGTTTATTGGTTATCATAAATGAAGATGGAAATTTCCAGACAATATACTTGTCAACCTCACTCGTCGATACAAGTGGTCGAGTGTTTCTTATTAAATGAACGATTGGTGTTATAACGCGAATCGATCAGTCAGATGATTGGTAAATGTAGTTCAGGATTCAAGGGCAAATAAGCTCAACAAGGTAACATTTAAATAAAGTATAGTTTATTTGCACTATCAATGTATATACAAGGTATATACTATCAAGTAGAATATAAAATGAATCTCATTATCATAAATGCGAAAATTTGTAAGGACAAACGGATATTTGTCATTTTTTCATAATAATAAATAAATATTGATTTATGGAATTTTAATAGAAGTAATATTTAGATTTTTTGTTTATCTATCTGTTTGTATCGTTTGTTGTAGCATCACGCAGAAATTTAATGTTGATTTCACTGTTGTATTTCTGTAGGTCTAACTTAAAAACTGGTATATGTATTATCTTGATACGCCATCTAAATGTGGCTAAATCTAATTCATTAATTTATTTGTACTTTTGGAATCGGGAAATATCGGGCAGAAAGCTAGTATTTATATAGAAATAATAGGAATATTGCAAAATCAGTTGCGTCGATTATAAATTATTCTGATGTCTATTTATAATTTACTGCTGTAAATTATACAAATAGGAAAATCTAATTAAATTAATCTATGAGTAGTGTAAACCCTCTTTACAAAAGGACATTAATGAATTGTTTAAGTGTAAGTTAGGAAATGTTTTAAAAAATTGTAACAACATTGATAATATTGGCACCTCTCAATATCACTTATTTTTTTGCTTACCTAAATATTATATTTTTATATTTGGATTAACAGATAGGTATTTTGTACATTAATTTAGAGTATTTAGCATTTTTATGTAACGTAAATTCCAATTGAGCCGCTGATTAGTGAAAAACGATTTAATAAAGATTTATGAAAACGTCTGTTAATTTATTTCATAAACCTTCATTCAACCTACTACAAAAATATTGAAGTTCTTAATTCAATTATATATATATTTTTATGTAAATACATTGGTAGGCGAATAATATGGCTAGAAATGAAAATAAGTAATATAATAAGTAGGTACTTGGTCTATCTTGCGCGACCTCACTTATCGCAAATACCTTCCGGAAGAATTTTATCCTCTGTTATTAACAATAAAAATATTATTTATTTGGGAAATTATTTGACTACAAAATTAATTGAACTGTTAGATAACAGTTCAATTAATTTTGTAGTCAAATAATTCTAATCTTAGAAGCTCCACAAACAACCACATATATAGATTAGAGGACACAACAAATATCTCAATTTATATGAAAAATATATACAGACGTACATACATATCGATCATGCCTATCTCCCATTATGGTAGGAAAAACTAATTAAAATTTGTCAAATCGCGATTCAAATAAACCTCTTTCACTTCCTTTACATTCAACAAACTTTTCACACATGCTCGCCGGTTACAAGTACTTTTAAACTGGTCCTTTTTCAGCTCCTCGGTATACGTCCATCTAGCCCTAGTATACTTTTTGACTCTTGATTATTAGCCCAGATACTATGCCTAAAAAATATCTATATGAAAAATAAATATGGTACAAAGAAAACTTTTTCTCATTAATCATTCCAAAATCAAATATCATCTGTAATGTTGTTATTAATGTAAACTTTTATGACTTAATTTTTAAATAGGAAGAAACTCCTAATCTATATCAATTAGGCTCTACTGACAAGGAAACGGCAAGGGCGTGGGGTGTTCAAATCGAACGGAGGTTCCGCGTGTAATTAGCACTTAGTGAGTGTACTTAAACCCTAGACCGCACTACTTAGCCATCGCCAAGAAAAAAATTCCAAAGTTTGAAAAAAAAAATTGTAATAATGGGCTAAATAAACAATTCCTTTTCAACTTTTATAGCTCGTATAGTAACTTTTTAGCTTGTTTATAACGATTTATTAAATTTTAATACAAATAAAAAAAAAATTTGCATCACCTATTTAACGCATATCCTATTCGTAATCTTAGGCCTAATATTACGTGGATTTGTGGATGTATATTTATTTATATTATTAATTCTTCTTAATTACGTATAATAAAGGTTTTTACGGGTGATATTATATAATATTTCATTTGTTTTATAAAATTTATTCATACACTTGTGCAAAGAAATAAAAAAAAATGCATATCCATACTCTAATTCCAGTCACTTGTACTAAATAGGCATATCAATCCGCGTCACGACAGTTTGGAGCATGATACCATAAAATAGGTAAAACATATTCAGTATTTTAGTAAAATTGTAAATCAAATTGAAGGACATCCTAATACAATAGCAAATTGATAAACGCATTTGCATGGTATATTGAATATTTTATACCTAAGACAATTTGAATTTGAATAAGTTCAGCTTTAATCTAGTGTTCGGTTGACAATTGTGTTTTAGAAACTACATTACAGTTTTGCATACCTCATAGTTTGAAGACGAAAATTTAAAAAGCAATAAATATTTCCGGTGTTTGAAGTTATTTTACCAAAAATTATTGAGATATTCATTAAATAAGCTTAAAACTCAATCCTATGTTTTTTATTTATTTTTCATCATTTCAGCCATTAACTGTCCACTGCTGAACATAAGCCTTACCCATATAAGGAGTTTTTCCAGTAGTTGCTACGCTTAGCAGGCGGGTTGGCAACCGCAATTAAGTTTTATGAGATGTTTTAAGAGGGGCTGCTATCCATTCCTCTATCATTAAATTTCTTTAGTCGCCTCTTACGACACCTAAAGGGGTGGTCTATTCTATGCTGGAACCACACAGCCAACTCTATGTGTTTGGATATACTTCAAATATTATATTCAATTCGATTGCTTGGGTACCTCTGTCCCATTCGTGTTTCAACCATGAAGCTGTTGTGTTTACATAGCTGTGTTTCGGTTTGAAGGATAGGATATGGCGTGAATTTACTGGGTACAGAGAAATAACACCGGGGTCCTCAGGAATGGCAACGCATGGGAGGTATCATGGGCGAAACAGTATACTCTGTTATGTCCATGGTACTGCTCATGTCTATACGCGACGGTTACCACATTCCATCAGGTGGGCCGTCAGCTTGTTTGCCATTCTAAGTTGTATAAAAAAAAAATAAGAACCTAATTTAGATTTAGTTTCAGTACCACACCGGAGCTAGTACTCTCACCAATACTGATAAAAATATTTTCTTTAGATACGAGTATTTGTGTTCCATACACTTGTCGTGACTGCGACGATAACTATTTATTTATTTATTTACAAGAAACATGGTAAGTGCATAGATGTTACAATAAGTATAAGTCCTCATATTTCGCCATAATTAGCCATGCAAATATTAAAACTTAAAAAGAATAAATGTTAAATAAGTCATTGAAATTCGAAATGTTATATAAAAAAAAAATACATAAAAAATGTCAGACACTTGTCAACAATAAAAAAGAAAGAAATGTCACTGTCAAATCATGGACTATTGATAACAGCTGCATTGTAACACGTTAAGTAATTCACGTAGGTTGTTTACCTTTTTGTATCAAAAACTCTTGCACACTGTAAAAGGACTCCTCAACAAGCTAATGTTTTAATGAATCTTTAAATTTTTTAAATGGGAGTTCTCGTATACTTTTTGGTATTTTATTATAAATTTAAATTGTCATTGAGTAACAATTTTTATGGTAAAGTGTGCTTCTACAGAATGATACCTCCAATTTTGTTGGGTCTCTGGATATTAATTTATTATGATAAGCTAGTTTTGTTGTAAATAATTGCGGCTGTGTCTTTACGAATATTCTACATTATATAAATAGAAGCTACTGTCAAAACTTTTAAATTTTTTATTACTATTTCGAATAATAATTTCTCGTACCGACATATTTTGTGAATATTTCCTCTTACCAAGTTATTTATTTATTTATTTTATCAACTGAGTGAACTTTACAGTTTCCCAATACGCTAACCCAGGAAACCATCAATACAGCAACACATAAATAAATAGAATTATATTAATTAAATTTTAATTACAACATAACAATAATAGAAATAACAAATATATCTCTGAACACAAACAGTCTGTGGTCATCCGACGAAACTCCAGTAAGTTAGAGACAAACACGTTATGAACAGACAAAAAGAATTTATTTGAATGTTCAAAGAAATACACTAGTTTCATATCAATATTGTACCATCCTACAAAGGTATTAATTTAAGTCTCTATTATAGAAGATTATAAAATTGATATGCAATATATTTTGTTTGTCAGTGATTATAATGACTACTATCATTATAAAAATAAACTTAAATAGAATAGAGGACAAGAAGATCAATAAATAATCTATGAAAGCGAAGTGGCGGAAAAGTCTATTTCAGTGTTTCTGCTTTAGATAAGGCAATATATTCAAGTTCAATTGTCTACCTATTTTAAAGATTTTATTTTTTATATTTATTATTCATTATTTTAAATTTTTTACTTACCCTTTCGCTGAATTTCCGTTTCCGTTGCCTTCCGCGTCCACCTCTGGAAGTGTTTCTTTGGCAGGAACATAATCCTTGCGTCCGCCCATAACGGTTACATTGATTGGAGCCATCACTTCACTATATAATAAATCAGTTTAATTAATACAACGCCTGTCGCAACGTAGTCCACTGTGTCCAGTATACTAGCATGCAATGCGCGGCCCGCAACTGTACCCTTATTATATACTCAATGGACGCTGATTATCGTTTTTATTTTGCTGCTATACATGTTTATTATTGTTACCCCTACCTTATCAGTAAGATGATTCAATTCGGATAGGAAATTAACTCTACAAATTCTTGAATACTACTGTACAAAAACTTAAATGAATAACTTTTGAGTATAGTATATCTAAATTAAATTGTGGAACAGAGTCACCTTTAGACATTTTGGAACATTCTTCTAGATTAATTATAACCTCACCGCACAATGACATGATATATCGTGAAATTAAACGATTTTATTCTTTTTCGTCTTATACTTTTATATGATCGTGTGCCCCCGACATAGAATAAGCATACTTTCCTTTTCCGTGGGTGCCGTAAGAGGCCATTAAGGCAACTTAATGGTCGAGGAATGGGCACCAATATCTCTCTTAAATCATCATCACAGTCCATTTGTGGTTGCACACTTGCCAGCCAAGCTTAAAAACTACTGGCAAAACCTCCCAACAGAGAGGTCTATGTTCAGCAATAGACAGTTAATGGGTGATGTAATAATAATCATAATAAAATAATAAACTACGACGTTAAAGTTAAGGGAATTCCCGAAGAGGCGGGGAGGCAAAGAGTATGGACGAGTACACGGGAGCATCGGCTCGCTGACACATATTTAATATTCTTTTATGTACACTACACTACACTCACACAATTGCCACCACGATCTTATAGAAAACCTAGGTGTTCTACGTTACTGCTGTGAAACTTGCACATCCAAAATTATAATCTGAAGAGCAGCACAGACAGCCACACGCATACACACTAAAACAACTCGTTTAAATATAACAAATACACATAATACACTTGTACAATTGAGCCTAAACCTGCAACGGAAACGCTAAAAAAGTACTGACGTTCCTAAATTGCAATATTTCTTGCAAGTGAATAAATGTGCAAACGAATTTTGCTGTTCCCGATTAAGGAGTGCAATAAAATCTGTTCCCTTTCTAATTTTCCTGCCGTTACCCTGCTCAATCCTTCAAACCATGGCACACATGGCACACAGCTAGATAAAGGATCATATTTAAGTTTTTACTACTTCTTGTGACGTTGTCTGTTAATTTGTTGCCTTTTGTTTATTGAATTGAATTGAATGCAGTTGTCTTATGATTCCTTCTGCCCATCAGTACAATCCGACCTCAAGAACAAAATATGTGTAACCGGTGGTATCTATTTTATACCCTGCAAGAGTGCGCAAATGCACAGTCGTTATATTCGTGGCATGGCTACCCAAGAACGTCGAGTACTGCAATAGCGACTTGCTGCAAGGGAAATGAGCTTCTCTGCATTGTACGCTACTGTGAAACATCGGCCAAGGTTATCGATTGACTCGACGAAGAGGAAGTTGATGCAAGTAGTTTAACAATTCCAGAACTCTTTGCCTCTGCTCTCCCGATACCAATAAAGAGAGAGTCTGAATGACTAGCAAATCCATGGACAGAGAAGTAATAACTAAATTGTTTTTTTTTTTCATACCTACTTATTTGATTTATGGCTAATTTTAATTTTTCTGTTGAGAATACTATTTTATTTTGATTAAATTGTTTTGATTCAGTATACGTTTTCTCGGTCTCTTACAACACCCACCAGTAAGGAAATGCTAGTCCATTCTATGCCGGGACCACACAGCAATTGGTTAATTCTTGTTAAATTCGTCACACTTTCATCTTCACACGTTATCTCTCACTGGGATACCAACGTATTCCAACAGCCTACCATTGCATTTTCACCCATTAAAAACTGCCTATACAAGGCGCAGTTAGTGTTTGCGAAACAAGTTTAAGTCGTGATGCATTAATGTTGATTAACCATTACATCAATCGATTTGCTTTACTTGAGAGTATAGAAGCTTATAATATAGTTAAACTTTGTACATACTTATATTAATAATATAAAAGTTATTAATTTAACTTTAAATAATTGAAATTAAGTATGTATCGATTTATTAATTTAGATTATATTTCACTAGTTATTGACACAACTCTATCCGTGATGGTAGTTGACAATAATTATTCCATGTTATGATAAACTTTCGTTACAACTCTATTTTTAACCTATAATGTGACATCATGGGCTGTTTGTTTTACTAAATATTTAAATTAAAGTTTGACTATAATTATATTATGAGTTTGGTATAACCGTAGATATATTTACTTGTATAGGAATGAAGTTTGATTACATTAAATATAACAATTCTAATAAATATTTTTAGTAATAGAATATTAGTTATTTTTCGCTGCTTTAGACACATCAATTAAGTATATTTTCAATCATATGCGTGTGTTGTATATGCTCCTATGATAAACATCGTTAGTTTTTAAAATAGGTTAAATTTATAATATTAATAAGATTCTTCTTCTATTGGTAGGATTATATTTCAAGACTTACCTATACTTATAATAGAAGTTGTAATATTTTAGGCACAATGCATTTTAATCTCATAGCACATAGATGCATAACAATTGAAGAGAAATAGATTTTTTAAATGATATCCTTTGTTGGTAACTCGAACCGTTTTCAAAAGAATCACAATATGATGGGCTCATCGTATTCATTTTTTGATTTTATCATCGCATACATTACCTAGAGGCGTTGTACAAACATAAAAATATTTTCAGTTCTTCCTCGTGTTTAGATCGTAACGATGTGGCTTTTCGTTATTTGTTTATTTGTATTCTGTTATTTTCTGAGATCAAAAATATCGAATCGAGCATTGTATCCACCAGGTTAATAGCTTATCATCTTGTTAATAAAATTAATTAACCTTCACGAAATTACTAGGTACAGAATCAACACGGGATTAGATCTTACTCGTACCATTACAGAAAAAATAATATGTTTCAAACTATCAAACACACCTTCATTTTTAAGTAATTATTTTGTTTTTACACAAAAACTGTAATTATTTTTGTTTTTAGGGCCTCCAACGTTTCCCATAATTGGAAATATGTTATCAGTTTATATAGATTTAAAGAAGCACAAGTATCACCATAAAGTATGGCAGTCTTGGTCCAGAATTTATGGCAATATTCTGGGATTAAAATTTGGGTTGATCAGAATTGTAGTTGTATCAGGAAGAGAATTAATAAGAGAAGTATCAACCAGAGAAGTCTTCGATTCGAGGCCTGATGGATTTCTTTATACAATGAGATCTTTTGGTAAGAAACTAGGTGAGTTTTTGATTTGATATACTTATTTGATATTCTATCAATCATTTATCAATAGTGCCAACTCTGCTTAGTTTGAGACTCGACAGCGCTGTGTGATATATCCAAAAATATTTATTTATTTCAACATGTTACAGGCATCGTATTTTCCGACGGTCCCGTGTGGAACACAACAAGACGAGTTCTGCTGAAATATCTAAAACATTTTGGCTATGGCACACGATCTATGGAGGTCTTTATAGCCGAGGAATGTAGAGATCTCGTCATGTTGCGAATATCTGATGCGGGGACGCCTGTTTTTGTTAATCAAATGTTTCACATACCAATCACCAACATATTGTGGCGTATTGTAGCTGGTAAAAGGTAAGGTAATTTTACGACTTAAGGCACAGATATTTTTGTATATCAATAGTTTAATGGGATAAATTTTACGCTGTTATTTTTAACTGACTTGAAAAGAGATGTTTTCCATTTAACCATATTTCTATTTCTTTTTTGTGTGGATCTCGCGCAATATCTTCTTTAATTATGAATCTTTGATATATAATCTTTGGTAGTTATTTTTTAAATAAATAAGTTAATTCCGGTTTTGACTTTAAATTATAAATATGTTTTGTTAAATTTTATTAGTGATTAGGTTTATAACATGACGAAATAATTATAGAATACCTAAAATATTTTTAGGTACAGTTTAAATGACAAACGTCTTGTAAGATTGTGTGAGCTTGTTACAAGATTGTTCAGACTTTCAAATATGAGTGGCGGCGTTCTCACTATCTTACCTTTCCTCAGACATATTATACCAGACCTCATTGGATTTACTGAAATAAAATCAGTTCACAACAAATTACATGAGTTTATTTTGGTAAGTTTTTGTTTTAAATCCATTGACAATAATACCATAATATTGAAATTGTAATATAACGGCATACTGGCATATCCTTGAACTAAATAATAAGAGATAAGTTACTCGTATTTGCTTATTATATTATTAAGTATTAGTAAATAATATTTTATTATCAGTTATTTTTACATGTATGATTACAAGTAATTTCATTTAATTTATCTAATTTATATTACAAATATTTGTAATTCCTGCTATTGTTTTTTTATGTATATAATATTTGGCATTAGGTGTAACATCAACATAGTTTATTGAAACATTGTAGTGAACGACCCTTCTTAGATAGAGTTAGTATGCCCATTGTAGGTAGTTAAACCTTCCGTGTTGTTTACGCATATTTAAATACACGATCAGGACTTAACGCGATCCGTTTACAGGTAAATAGTATTTGATTTTTATTGCCAACCTTTCAGAATAAAAAAAATCAGATGTGTAGGTACTATTTATCAATAATCGTATACTATTTTTCATACACATGCCATTCTGCAAGGTAATTTCATAATGATTCTAAGTAATGTAATTTGAGTTCTATAGCTTAGAGTTATTCCCCTATTCATTTATTATTATTATACAATATACCCAGGGTTTAAAGTAAGTGTAAGTGTGTGTTCGGTGTAAGTGTATTCAGGTGGGTTTTTTTTAATGGAATGGTTACCCCACCTGCGCTAACGGCACACGCTGACGGGGCACCAGTGAGAGATGATAGGTAATAATGAAAAGGCAAGCCATCGTGATGAATATACCTGGAATTTAACACGATGGTTTCCAGGGGAGACCACGTAGAGGTCGACCTGATAGGGTATATTGCTAACAATGAAATTGATAGTCCGCATTACTAACAATCCCTTCCCCCGCCAACCAACCACAGGGTTACCATTACATTATCATCCTTTAAAAAAAACTAGCCAGACTTCATCCTCACCTGTCATCACTCACTGGTGCCCCGTTCAGTGGCATAGGTACCGGAGGGCTAGACGGCTTCGGGGCTCCCAGTCTCAAGGGACCCCTCAGACTTTTACTTATAAACTATAATTGAACTAGTAAAAATTTTCGTCACATTCTGAGTATAAATAAACCAGATTCCTAGAACGCAACATTAATAATGGCAACTTATTTGAAATAATACAAGGGAATTCCCAACAAGTCTCGAACGTCTTTGTTTGAAACTTGCGGAGAACTCCCCTGTATTCTTAGGCTAGTTTGTTTTTGTCCCAGGGCCTTTAGTTACCTATCTACGCCTCGCCAACGGATACCAACAACGAGGTTACAATTCCATTTTTATCCCACCAAAAAAAAGCAATAACATATACCTATACAATTTTTAGATATTAATTTTATACAACAAACAAATAAATTACAGAATTAATAAATCAAAGTGACAATATTAATAACTTAAATGGAAATTGGAAAGCTATTAGAAATTTCATCAGTATTAAGCTCAGATGAATTACTGTATTAACAATTCCGAGTACAAATTTATTAGTTACACTTAGAAAATAAATTCAATCTAAATAATATTACACCATCTATTAAATTGTAACCAACAAACAGCAGGCGCTATTCCGAATCTATACTACAAACACACTTTACGGTCGATAATGAATTAACAGATTCGTAATTGATCATGGATAAAGAACCGTCATTGATACTGTAAACAAAACAAATACAATTTATGAAATATTATTTTGAAAAAAGAAAACAGATTTTTTAATTCATGATTGATTCATTTGTCTCCAAAGACTCGCCTAATCAATTGTTTGACCTTGAGTATTATTTCAATAAACTGTAAACCCTAATTATAATAATAAAACAAAACTAAAACCATTAGAAATTTTGTAAATTATTTCACTTCCTAGGTGTATTAAAATTTAATAAATAAATCAAATAAAGTAAATTATGCAATGAAAGCTTTAAGTCTGTTGAGGCGCTCTTAAGCGTACTGAAATGTTCTTAATAACATTTTGTGATAACTAATCGTATTATAGTTAATTTCAATTTTCTACAGGAAACTATTAAAGAGCACCGTGACAGTATCGACATTAACAACCCCAGGGACGTAATTGATGCCTTTCTTATTGAAATGATAGAGCACAAGGCTACTGCAAGTTAGTATCAAATTACATACGACTAAGTATTTTCAACCGAGTTTAAAAAGAAGCAAGTTCTTAATTCGGTTATATTTTATTCATATTTGTTACCTCATTAACTCCGTTAGTTTTAAACCAATTTGAAAAATTCATTTTTTTTTTTCTTATCTAAAAGGATATACAGATTGGTTCTATAGAAGTTTAATCAAAATCGATGTAGTTTTAATTTTTAAATCACTTTTGCCACAACTGAAGTCGATTTTAGTTGTGAATTTAATTATCTACATTTTTAAACAAGGTCTGGGTATCATAAAGAACTCCTGAGTATATATTTATATTAATTTTATATTATTATTGTAACTTTGATGGATCTTATGGATGGTTACCATTTATTTCATGCGATGACTAAAATATTATGCCTTTTTATATATTTTTTTGCCTTTTTATATCCGTATCCAATTGTTTTATTACTATATCCGTGTCAGAGGTATGCTTCAAATTAAAACATAGCCATACAAGCACTGTTACTCACTGATTATAAACCACAACTTTGCCTGAATGGAGCAAAAAATATGCTATCAATCAGAGCGATATTTAGGGTTGTTATCTGGTCAAATGGCAAAAGTTGTAAATGAATTTACTGCAAGTTAAAGTGATAATCTCAATTAATATTATAAAGAGAAAAGATTTTATTTTTTGTTTGTTATGGAAAAACTCAAAAAACACTTAACTGATTTTAAAGGGCTGTCTTTTTATAATTTGTTAATTCGTCTTTCTAGCCATGCGAAGCCAAGGCTGGTCGATAGGTGATGAAATGCGGTGAATATAATATTGATTTTTTATGATACCTAGATCGATCATTACTATCCCATTTATCTTCATATCCGCACTTAATACTTGTAAAATAATAACTTCATAATATTGAATAGTCATTCAGTTACACCACGTTGTTTAAAACGCCTATCAAAATTAATAAGCAATAATAAATTTAAACGCAATTGTAATATAATAAAATTGTAAAATGTCTATACGTGGGAGATATTTAAAAAAAAATATGCGAGGTGTTGCATATATGCCACCCCTATATCATTTAGGTGTTTGACATGTATTGCAACACTTTTAAAAAAATATAAAGATTGCAAATGCAAAAGAATGTCTATTCCTAACTTACTTGATGTATTATTTAAAATAATTAAACTACAAATGATCCTGCCTACCCTGTCATATAGAACATTAGGGATCTTAATAAGATCAGTAGAAACAAAAACATTTTTTTTTTTATTTTGTCTGTCTGCATGTTTCTTCCGCCATCACGCAAAAGTTACTATACAAAGTTGGATACGGTTTGCACAGTTATATTCCTAAAGGTCTAACTTACAATCTAGTGCATGTTTGATCTTGATACACTATCTGGAAGTAGTCTATTTCATTGATTTTCGTACTTCTGAAATACACACATACGAAGTAGCGGGCAAAAAAGCTAGTTATAAATATAATAGAGATATATATAAAATATAAGAGAGATAGAGATTTAATTGGTTAGTCGTTAAGGCGCTAGGAGACAAACACTTTTTTACATTTATAATGTTAGTAAGGATAATTAACATTAGTCAAGACACATGTAATAAATCTTAAATATAACAGGTAAATAATATGGTATTCTCGTGTCTACTATCCGTGACCTGATTTTGCTCAGCGTTACAACTATCCAATTACTTGTAGCGATTGTATTATAATTTACAACTTGGTGTATCAGTTACAGAGGAGGAACTTCAAATTGTCTGCTTAGATATGTTAGAAGCTGGGATGGAGACGGTAACCAACACAGCGATTTTCATGCTCCTTCACTTAGTGCGCAATGAGAAAGTTCAAAAGCGGCTGCAAACTGAGATTGACAACGTGGTGGGATTATCACGGACACCGTCTCTCGATGATCGACCAAAGTATTGTTTTAATTTTTTTTTTATGATCTACTGAATCTTTTTTGTTTTATTGAACTATTTTCTACTGATCTTGCAGAAGTCCATATCATTAGATATTTAATTCGAATTCTTTTGTACAAGAAACACACCGTTTAACTATAGTACAACACTCGAAGATTGGGGGAAAGCGATTATTAGCAATGGAGTTCGACAGCCCCATTGCTAGCAATATGTCTTATTAGGTCGACCTCCACGTGGTTCCCCTTGGAAACCATCGTGAACAATTCTTATTGAATTCGTCACGATGGGCTAACTGACCTGCTTCGTTCTCACCTATCATCCTTCACTGGTGCCCCGCCGGTGTATACCGATATCGCAGGTGGGGTTACCATTCCATTATCATCCATTAAAAAAAAATACCCGAAAATTGACCACTACAATTTTGTGGTGGTCAATCTTCGAATGTTGATAGTCACATACAATAATGGTAGCGGAATTGAATAAAATAATTCTAATGAAATAACCAGTTACTAAAACTTATACTAATAGTATTGGAAAAATATTTAGTATCTAGTAGACAAGGTTATATCTAATATAAAAATCCACAGTCACACAGCCGTTCACAGTTACAGTCGCGAAATCACACATCTATTAGATATCATCTGATTTAAGAGGATTCGTAGTCCTACGGTTTGACAAGAAGTAATAAATTATATTATTATATATTTAAAAATATTATCATTTGACTGGAGTTTTTTTTTATACAACTAAGAATGGCAAACAAGCTGACGGCCCACCTGATGGTAAGTGGTAACCGTCGCCTATAGACATGAGCAGTACCATGGACATAACAGAGTATACTGTTTCGCTCATGATACCCCCCATGCGTTGCCATTCCTAAGGACTCAAATGTTAGTGTGAGTAAAGAGGAAATGCACAATACCTGGTGTATTAATAAGAGAAAGGGAATCTGAAATATCCGTTCTTATCAAGCCCCTTGGCGCAACGTGGTCATGGCAATATCGTCCACATAAGAAACTCATGCTCAACAATGAGATTTATTTTAATACATTTTTATAATAATGATGTAATTTGTATTATATTTGTACAAAGCATGGTGTACACGGAGGCAGTGTTACTAGAAACGTTACGCATATCCAGCGTGGCTGCTGTTGGTATACCTCATATGGCTCGCGAAGATGCCAGGCTTGGCGATTATTTGATCCCAAAGGTGAAATAAATATTATATTAAACCAGTTTGATGTGAAAAACAATTTTTATGAAACATTGATAATTTATAAAAAAAAATTATACAACTTAGAATGGCAAACAAGCTGGCGGCCCACCTGATGGAAAGTGGTAACCGTCGCCTATAGACATAAGCAGTACCATGGACATAACAAAGTATACTGTTTCGCCCATGATACCCCCCATGCGTTGCCATTCCTGTGGACTCAGGTGTTATTCCTCTGTAAATTCACGCTAGCCATGCAAACACAACTGCTTCACGGTTGAAACACGAATGGGACAGAGTGTCTCCTCCTGTCTCCCTGTGGTGGCCGTGTGGTCCCAGCATATAATGCATTACCACTCATTTTCCCGTGAGTGTTGTAAAAGGCGACTAAAAAAAATTTATAGTTAAACGATGGGCAACAGCGTCCCTCTTAAAACATCTCCAAGGTCTAACTGCGGTTGTCAACCCATTTGCCATGCGTGCAATTATGGCAATGGCAAAACCTATGTTCTATGTTCAGCAGTGGACAGTTAACGGTGAATTGATAATGAAATTATTGATAACTGATAGTTTACAACCGTCATATATTATTATATAATATTATTCAATACTATCATTTTGTTGCCAGTTACACTTACGTACGTTCACCCTTTGATACGTTAAATTCCAATATTTTTGACAAACGTTACCCCTGTGATTAACGTAACTCTAATTATCTTTCAACTACCTCGCTCACATCGAAGATTTTTCAGTCATAAAAATAGATAAAGTTATCTAATAATTTTTCTACCCTATTTAAGATTATATACGTGAGCATATGTTTTAATTTTACTCTTTATTACAGGGTACTTATATTCTACTTGCTATACACGATCTCCACAACAGCAACGATTGGGAGGACCCTGACATATTTCGACCAGAGCGGTTCCTTAAGGAGGGATCCCTCATACAGGATGACAAGATTTTGGCTTTCGGATTAGGTAATTTTATTAATTTATTTTCAGTGAAATCTTCTCTTGTTATATAAAAAAAGTAAAGCATATTGACTATCAGTTTAAATTATTAGTGAAATAAATTAAAATATTGATCATACAATAATAATTTCCTAAGTATAAACATTACAAATCAGACAAAATTTACATCTGTGTCAACAATAATTAGGTAGTAAATAAGTCAGTAGGTATTATTATCGTTCTAACAGCAATATGTAATTATATATAAATAATTATCCACATAGAGACTGTCTACACACATATTTAATAACATATAATCAATGTTGATATTGATCGTTCGATAATTAAAACTCATCTCAATTACCGCACTACCTTACTACTCGTACAAACAAGTGCTTGACAGCCTAGTACCATAATAATACTATCATCATTTAACTCTAAAACCTTGAAAAGGTTGAGAACCCAAAAATTCTAGCAAATTAATCATTCTTTACCCAGCCGTGGTGAATTTGAACACGCTCGTTATAATACAAATAATGTAATGAGTTCAACTAAAGAAAAAATACAGACCCATAAAATAATGTATGTGCCAAAGGGAGACTTTGTACAAAAGCCATTTGCGTGGGAATGTAATTGGGTAAAGCAATTGTGTTTGCATGGCTGTGTTTCGGTTTGAACGGTGGGATATGGCGTGAATTTACAGGGTACAGAGGAATAACACTTGAGTCCTTAGGAATGGCAACGCATGTGGGGGTATCAGGGGCGAAACAGTATATTGTGTTATGTCCATGGTACTGCTCATGTCTATCATGGCGACGGTTAACCATTCTAAGTTGTATAAAAAAATATAGGTATATTATTAGGATCTGTTTCTCGAGATTTTTCTCGTAAATTAGGAAAAAAAGTATCCCATGTACTAATCAAAGATCATAAAATATTAAATATGATTCAAATCCGTTCATTCATTTAAAGATACATTTCAGTAAAAAAGCAAAGTTGAAAAAGTAAGTTTGCGTGGTTTCAGAAGTAGAAAAACCAACAAAATAAACAACTTCTAACAAGGAAGGAGTAGCCCATTCTATGCCGGGCCTAAGCGACAACTTTTTACATTTCACTAGCTTTATTAAAAAAAAAAAACAACAATTGATTTCTTGAAGTTCAAATTACCTTTCTACTTTTTAAATAAAATTATTAAATTTATTATTATCAATTAATTCAGAGTTCACACTCTTATTATAAATTTCAACGCTTAACACAAAAAACTCACATTTTCGTGTAAATCAGCAAAATTAATTGTTTCTGTACAAAATTTCACAAAAATCTACCCAGCCGATTAGCTGTTTTACATTTAATATTAGTATGGATGTTTATTTTCAGGCAGAAGACGGTGCATAGGTGAGGGCTTGGCCAAATCTGAACTGTTCATGTTTATGACACATCTTCTACAGAAGTTTACACTAAAAGTACCCGACGGGGATCCCATGCCTTCTACAGACCCTATCGATGGAATAACACTATCCGCCAAACCGTTCAGAGTGATTTTCGAGCCTAGATTTAAGTAAATAAATGGATATAGAATATTTTAACACTTATATTTTTTTAATTTGCTTATTTACGTAATTGACTCTTTATTATAATGTATTGTAGTCACCCTGAAGAATGTATGTAAGATACATGTAGGTAATGAATATTTCCGTTTTTGACAATTATTTCGACCTCATCTGGGATCTTCTTTGTAAGTTCATAATCACGGTATTTTAATACCGTGATTATATGTAAATGAATGGATATTTTTATGGTATCTAATTAGTAAACAATCGATGGGTTTGCTTTTGTATAAAATAGGTAATATTGTAATATATTTTTTAAGAAGCATACAATTTAAGAATTCGATATTGCGATAAGAATTACCGAAATTTGTTTAGAATTTTTGTCTACAATTTTACTTCCGTGGTGATTCCAGCAAATACCAGGACACTTTTTTGTGTGTGTTACACATATATATGATACACGCACATATATGTGTGTCAAAAAAATTACACACTAAAATATTTACTGTCCAATTAAGATCAGCCTCTTTCATTCATGAAGTCAATAACACACAAATACAGTACCACGTGGGAGTAAGATTTAAAAATTAATAAAAATGAAAAGAAAAACAATTGTAACAAAAAATACTAATAAAAAAATAAAACCTCACCATTATTTTTATTTTTTTAACATAGATATAAGTAAGTACCATAATATTTCACTACGAAAATCATAATATTTCACTACGAAAATCACATAAGAACGAGCAAGAAACTTGAAATAATTTTATTATTATTTTACATTTTTAAGTTTAATTGTGTGAATACAAACCACCAATTAGCACTAATTCAATTAAATACTCAAAAAGAAAAAAAAAATTGAATACATATGATCACTGACTTTTTTATTAATGAATATAAAATCACGGGAATAGATAGATAGATAAATACTCTTTATTGTTTTCTCCAAAAGATTACAATATATAATGATATACCGTGGTATACCATTCCATGGTATACCCGCCTGTATACAATAATGTACAAAAACTGGGTACCAGTAGAAAATGAAATCAACGATATCAAATAACGACTCGTCATAACAAATTCACTAGAAACTACGATGATTTTCAGAGAAACACTAACAATGGTGACTAAACTCCCCATTGCTGACAATCCATTCTGTCTAATATTTATTTGATATTTAGTAACATATCCCTACATTAAAAGATTACAAGACTTAAGCAATTTCAAATTTAGGCAAAAAGTATTAAATGGACAAAATACGTACCATATGAAATATAAAATAAATGGGTTTAAACTTTATATCACAATTGCATAAGTATAAATACGAACTAATTTTCAATAACACCATGTAATTCAAATACTAGATCTTAATTTGGTCGCGTAAACACGGAATACCCTGTGGCGTTTGACAAGTCATTCACAAATGCAAAATTAAATGCACTGTGAAAATAAAAAAGAAAGTTAATACATGATAACTTTAATTAATTCAGTTTTACTGATAGACCAGTACCGGTCTTACGTGGTCGTACGTGGGTAGCGCGCGGTGGCTCAAAGTACATGGGGGCGCCGCTCGAAGTACATGGGGGGCGCCGAGATCCGAAAGGGCCGCTAAGTAATCTTATAAGATTTAACAGAGGCATGGTCCCGATCTGGGCGATATCGAAACCAATATTTTAGGAACGTAATGTATAGATATCGGACCCGGCTATGTCATTCCCGGTGTGGCGACATTGATACAAATGCCGAACTTTTTTTAGAAACCCATAGAATATAATAATAATAGAGCAATTAGGTCGACCTCTACGTGGTTCCCCTGGAAACCTACGTGTACAATTCTTGTTGAATTCGTCACGATGGGCTAACTGACCTGCTTCATCCTCACCTATCATCCTTCACTGGTGCCCTGCCGGTGCATACCGATAGCGCGGGTGGGGTTACCATTCCATTATCACCCAATAAAACTAAAAGTACACTAAAGCCGGCCCTGGGTAAAATACTTCCTTATGCTAATCATTTCGATTTCACCTTTTATTTACGACTAAATTTCCAATAATGAAAAACACCGATAACAATTTAAATTATTCCCAGTGAGTCTAATATATTATTAGATTCACTGGGAATAATTTAAATTGTGCTCAGCGAAATGTGGACATTTTTTATATAGAGTAAAATTTACTGGGTACAGAGGAATAACACCTGAGTCCTCAGGAATGGCAACGCATGGAGGGTATCATTGGCGAAACAGTATACTCTGCTATTGTCCATGGTACTGCTCATGTCTATAGGCGACGGTTACCACTTTCCATCAGGTGGGCCACCAGCTTGTTTGCCATTCTAAGTCGTATAAGAAAAATTTACATGTCGAATACTACGTTTATCATAACTGTAACAGTCGACATGTTTAGGGACAAAACCTTGTCTCAAACCTTTGTCCGGGAAAACTTTCCCGGGATTTAGGGGCCCATCTCTTATTACTTGCATGCACTTAGGAAAAATTCTTAAAATTTCTAGTCTAGTCGGTAATATTCATTGAATGAGGTAACCATACTATATTCCATATCAGTCGTTAATTGTCCACTGTTAAGCATAGGCTTCGCTCTATTTACGGGGTATTGCCAGTAGTTGCCACGCTTGGCAGCCGGGTTGGCAACCGCATATAGGGCTTAGATATTTTAAGAGAGACACTGCTACCCACCCGTCGACCATTAAGTTCGCTTAGTCGCCTCTTACGACATCCACGGGAAAGGAAAGGTGCCCTTTTTTATGCCGGGATCACATGGTGATGCGGCAATGAAGCAACAGATGTATAAAAATACGGAGAGAGACCTTTGGTAGTCGATCCTCTCTCAAGTAAATTACTCCGGAAGCCGTGATGTGACAATAGATATATAAATAGAATATTGATCTGTACTCATAGTACAGTATGTCATAGTTTTTTTGTAGATACTGTTATTATATTTGCAATTATAAAAAAATAATATAATTGGATATGTGTATCTGTTAGTCATTACTTTTACTTAAATTATGGAACTAGACGATAATGGTTATATCCTTTCACTATTTATTTATTTCTTATTTTTTATTATAACTAAAGACGTTATTGCATTGCGGTGTTCAGTTGTATTCTCTCGACGAAATACCATCACTGAAAATCAATGAGGCCTGACACGCATGCGTCAGCAAATCTCCCGAACACTGTCAGAGGTGCCGGTCGAACACATTTGTTATTACAATTGTTAAATTAAGTAAACAATATACTGGATAATAATAAAAATAAACATTTTACTTTCTAATTCCCAGAAAATGTAGACTAATCGATACATTTGACTTTATTCTAGCGAACACGGAAATATTTTTTACACAAAGATCGTCATATGTAATTGGTGTAGTTTTTTTACAAATTTTTAAAATGTGGGTGCAGTGACATTGTCTTTCTTTATTAAAACATGAATACTGTAAACAACTGAATAATGAACTAGTAATATTGATAACCTTATGTGAATAAGATGTAGCTGTCAGTGTATGTGATGTTAATTATATTACAGTGATAATTTCATACAATCAAACATGAACGAGACTTTAGGAAGAGGTTACGCCCGAATAGAGGCGATTAGAGCCGCCCGTGGAGAGCCCCTAGCTATGGTACCAGAACCCGGCGCTCCACCCCCCGACAAATACAACTCTGTTTACCTCACTTTATTTGTCGCTGGCGCTGCTTTCTTATTACCCTTTAACAGGTACGTTACTTGTTTCTAACTTATTTTCTATTATATGTGTACCAACACATTTTATATACAATAGGTATTGCATTATAATTTATCTAAGCTAACAGTGCGCATTTTGGGGCGATTCAGTTTATAATAACTTTTTCAAAAAGTCAAATAAAATTTCCTAAATTCGCCGCCAAAGTACTTTTTAAACAATCAACTAGAAATATTGAAAATATTATAATGTTTTTTTTTTTAATTGATAGATTCTATCGCACTTCGGTAACTATGAAATACAATCGAGTAAATGTTTAGATCATCGTAAATTTCCTTTACAGTTTCATAATGGCTGTGGATTACTTCAAGGATCAGTACCCGGACTCTACTATAATGTTTGACATGTCCACAGTGTACATAACCTCGGCATGCGTAGCTGTCGTCACCAATAATCTGTTATTAGACCTTTTTACATATAACACGAGGATAACTTTTGGTATGATTTATATTCTATTACTTAGATTCTATACGTCTAGTAATCGTCGAGTTTAAAAAACGGCCCAAATATTATCGCGTCATTTATCATTTTTTCATAGCAAGTATTCAAATTAATGAACGTTATCAAATACAAGAAAAAATATTAAAATTAATTCAGAATTGGCAATGAGATAATATGCACAAAAAATTCAGGTGAATTGAGTACTTCCTTTCTTTGAAATCGCTTAAAACATGTAATTAGGTACCTATATTTATTCCAATTAATCAACATCACTTCTAAGTTTTATACTTTCTGAGTATATACTTGTACCACGCTATTTTATATAAGAAAGAGTTCTTTAAACTGCACTATTACATTAGTTTAATATAAATAAAATGGTAATACTTTTTCTTTATGACCTTATCTATTATATCCAGAATTTTCTTTATACATTTACACTGTAATGCCCATGGCATTATTATGTGTATAGGTGAGAATTCTCATTTTTCAATAGATTGCTGTCAGCTTGCTTCACATTCAATATTGTCTAAAATTTATTTAATTTTTCGATCAGGTATACTAGTGTCACTCGCAACAATGCTATTCGTAGCAGTGTGTAATATCGGATGGGACGGATTCTCGCCGCACGTTTCCTATACCATCAACCTGGTTGCGATTGGTGTGGTTGCCTTCGGTTGTACGGTCCAGCAGGCCTCTTATTATGGATTCACTGGTTGCCTACCACCACGCTACACTCAAGCTGTTATGGCTGGGGAAAGTACGTACTAAATAAAATTTTAAAAAAAGCTACACGTTGAATATCATAACAATAATCTTAATAAACACTTCTCTCTTCATACTACCACACCGATCGGCTTCGACTTGTTACAGATTAATTCTAATTATTATAGCAGTTTGATATTGGAGGAAAGGGATTGTTAGTACTTAATAGGGTCTAACTGCCCCATTGCTAGCAATATACTCTATCAGGTCGACCTCCACGCGGTTCCCCCTGGATACCATTGTGATTAGTTCTAGTAGAATTCGTTGATGGGCTAACTGACCTGCTTTCATCGTCACCTCATATACGAATATACTGTGAATAGGTGTATACCGATTTGTATTCCCGTTATTTGTTTTTAAATATGATCTGAAAGCTCGCTCTGTTGTGGTACAATCAGCTATATAAGTAAAAGTTTTTCAGTTAATATTTATTTTCATTTATATAATGAAGTCTGGAACTAGACTCACTCCGCAATCAGCCAAACAAAACTTATTTATTTATTTAAGTACTATATATAAATATAATTAAAAGTAATGATACATGTGAAGAATTATAGTGTTTTGTATTTATCCCAAACTAACTCACAGTTATATTAAAATAGATAAATAGTAGTGATATACATTTTGTTGACTGTGGCCGTTCTGGTGAACGTAGTACACGGCTTGTCCATATTTCGCTATATTAGACAAATCTATGTAGCTGCGTCGAGTCTAACATCTTTAATTTTGTTAAGACCGAAAGGAAGTACTAAATAATGAACATGTTGTTTTTATTGGTCTCGCCCAAACTTAAGCTTACTTAAGCTTATAATGTTTATGAACGTTTACAACATTGCTTCAATATTTTTCTAGGCGCAGCCGGTTTCTGGGTTTCTCTCGACCGGGTTGTGACGAAGTATGGTTTCCACACTCCTCGGCGGAGCACTTTTATGTTTTTTGTTTTCTCCATACTGATTCTCCTGGGGCACTCAATGCTGCATCACGTGATGATGCGTCATCCACTGGTCCAGCACTACTTGAGGCTTACAAACGAATCCAGACACCGAAGGCGCATTCAGCTTCATTTGAACCCTAATGAGGATGCTACTTTGGTAAGTCATTCTCACTTGTAGATCTTTTTTATATACAGCAATTTCAATAAGATATGTACCTATTCACTAATATAATAGACTCCAAAAATCGTAACCAGAGATAATACTCGACTCATCAGCGATATGTCGTTGTTATTGTGGTGAAGGTAACACTCGACATGCTTATATGTTGTCTAGCTTATTATTATCCAACGTACCACGCTTAGGTTTATTTGCTTGAAACATGACAAATACAAAGACGGCATTCTTCATGTTTCGCTACAGAGTGATAGCATGCAAAATTTGTTTCAGAATATGAAATCAAGTTGAAGAAATCTTTATCACAGAAATTTTATATTCAGTATGCGTTCTCTTTTTAAATAAAACCATATTTAATATTTCTAATTACTTTATTATTTTTATTGTATTAAAACACATCACAATAAACATAGTTTTTTAGTTATATTTTTATCGTATTTTGCTAATCGAGGAATGTCATCCCAGTATGTACAAAGGTTATAGTAAAAGTCTATTCAGTATATATAGGTACGCCGATTTCATTGATATACCTTTGCTAGAAGTTTTCTATTTATGTCCGTCTAGAAATATACAAATTTCTTAGATATTAAGATACTAGTACTACCACATTCGAATCAATATGTCTTGACGTTTAGGAACTTTGGAAAACGAATTATATTAAAAAAATAAACTATTATTTCATTGCAGATGGAAAGTGAAGCAGGTGATACTAGTTATGGCGTCTTGAAACTACAAAGCCCAGCACTATCCACTGCTACAGGACAAGGTAAATAAAAACAAATAGTAAGATTTAGAAAAATTGGAGTGGTCAATGGTTTAGTAAGACATTCGGTCATTACTCCGATTTTTCTTTTTATTAATAACTTTACAAGACAACAATTAGTGAAAGGATCTCCAAGGATCTTCGTCTTTACAAAGATTTCTCGCAGCTTGAATAATTCACTTTCATAACTAGTTTTGTTTTTATGCAATAAATGGCAAACAAGCTAACGGCCCACTATATACTGTTTCGCCTATGATACCTCCCATGCGCTGCCATTCCTGAGGACTCAGGTGTTATTATTCTGTACCCTGTAAATTCTCGCCATATCCCACCCATCAAACCGAAACACAGCCATGCACACACAGCTGCTTCACGGTAGAAACATGAATAGGACAGAGGTGCCCAAGCAAACGACTTTTGTACAAAGTCTCCCTCTATTAGCCGCCATTTCAGGGTCTCAAACTTTTTTTATTACAGCATAATATGTGACCACACCATTCTGAGTGTACAGAGACAATATGGTTCAAAAATATGGTTCACGTGTCATCAATCCTCTATATTTGGCCTATTCTACTGACGATACCGTTAACCTTATAAATAAAAATGTACTAGGAGAGCAACAAAGTTTATTTCAGCGACAATGAAACCCTACGTTAATATTAAATATTTTTCTTTTATCTAATTTAATCTATCTTTTCGCACGTTGTATTTAATTGTATAACAGACTTAAAATAATCAATAGAATTGAGAACCTTTTCCTTTAAATCGCTTCAAAATAAGCAGTTTGTTCAGAACAGACATTAAAGTAATACATCTTCTATTTATTTACAGCAGAACCTGAGACAAGCGCATTTAGTTTCGCCAATCCAGTGTATTCGCCCACCGCGACTGCGCCCGTTTCGCTGGCATCGCCGCCCAGCGCCACCGAGCCCACAATCTCGCCCTCTGCGGCACTTCAAACTCCAAGACCCTCATACAAGGTTGAAGATGTGGTCTTTGAGTCGCCTGAGAGGCCCACATCCTGGAGGGCATTTAAACGTAACTCCAATATTTGTATATTTAAATGTCAAGTAAGTCCTAATACAAATTCGAGTGAGAGGACAACTTCGGCAAACTATTTAAGTATTTTGAAAAATTCAGTATTGATTATATATGGTTGCCATTTAATTGAAAAGTAAAATTTTAAATATTATGTAAATTTAAAATAAATAATCAAAATTTTTATGGAACTTAGAAGGGCAAACAAACTGACGGCCCACCTGATGGAAAGTAGTAACAGTCGCCTAAAGACATGAGCCCATGATACCTCCCATGCGTTACTATTCCTGAGGACTCAAGTGTTTGTACTCCGTAAAATCACTACCATATCCCGCCCTTCAAACCGAAACATACTCATGCGAACAAAACTGCTTCACGGTAGAAACACGAATGGGACAGAAGTGCTCAAGCAAACGACTTTTGTACAAAGTCTCTCTCTTTGGTAAGAAGAAGAAATAAAGAAATGTTTCTGCAAACATTTTAACAAATATAGAGTTGTGTTAAAATTTTCAACAGAAAACTGTATATTCCATAGTATTTTTTTTTACATATTTCTATGTATATTAATTTCCCCTTGATTTCAAAACCAATTTATATCTGAATTATTTATTCAATAAGCACCCAATTATTGAATTATTGTTTATCGGATTGGTCTTATTTAACCAGTTTCATTTAGAAACAAATATCCACCTTATATTAGATAACATATATGATATTGTAATAAGTTCACGGATTCGAGAGACAATCGATCCCGGATATGAAGCTGCTGAAAAAATTTAATATTTATCTGTACCTTATCTACCTCCATACGTAGACAAATTACATAATGGTATCTAAGTATATACATTACTATGTTGTATTTAAAAAACTATGAAGTACGTAGTCTATGTAGTACCTTATACAAGTCATCATTATAATATTATACTAGCGACCCGCCCCGGCTTCGCTCGGGTGCAATGCTGATACTACAATAAATAGCGCCGCCGGCCCCCCATTGCATTGTGACATTACATTAGAAACCTCTAAAATTATCAGTGTTTCTCTACTTTATTATGCATGTATTATACTTATAAACCTTCCTCTCGAATCACTCTATCTATTACAAAAAACTGCATCAAAATCTGTTGCTTAGTTTTAAATATCTAAGCATACATATGAGCAGACAGATGGGAATCGATTTTGTTCTATACTATTTATGATGATATGATATAATGATATGATGATGATACACTTTTGTAAACAAATCTGCCTTTTTCAAGCGACTTTAAAAAGAAGAAGGTTGTAAATTCAGCTGTAGGTACTTTATTTGTATATCATAACTCCGTCAATTGTAAACTAATTTGTAAAATGCTATTCTATCTGAAAGGATATACCTACTTTCAGATTGATTCCATAGAAATTTAATCAGTTTTTTTTTTATGGAACACAATTTAATGTATTCAATTGAATAGCAAAAAAGCATCCTAAACATATATCCAAAACATACTTTGATTTTTTTTCTGAAAATTAGACGTAGGTAAATTTTAATTAAATATATCTACCTAATGTAATAGCCTTACAGTATACAATAGGTAGAACCCTATGGTAGAATCCAGCTATACGGACGGTACTCGCGCCCCGTAATTAAAATTACGCTATGGTGGATATGGCAGCACAGTATAAGTATACTGTGCGGCTACTGAATACCATTTTTTTTGTTTTGTGGCTCAAATATAACTGTTGTAAAAATAACACATCCATCTCAGAACATAACACATTTGCGCGGATATAGATACTTATCTGTTTATATAGTGTTTGTTATACAATCACCATGGTCAGATCAGTTCTTGGGCTTATCACCATGGTGACCCCTCAATTGAAGGACGTCCATGTATCAAAGTGTGTACACATACTGTGTTTTAAATCTGAAATATTTCTAATTGAATATTAATAAAGTGCTTTGATATTTTTACAGGTGGAGTAAAAGCTAGGTGGGCGGTCGCCCGCGCCATCTATCCGTACATGGTATCAATTGGACTAGTATACTTCACGACGCTCAGCTTGTATCCTGGCATTGCGTCAGAGGTGCCGTCCTGTCGCCTCGGCACATGGATGCCGATCATTTTAATGTCGGCTTTTAATTTCTTCGATTTCATCGGAAAAGTAAGTAAACTCCTTATTTATTTGACTAGCGATGAGACTGCTTTTGTATCTATTTACTATTATAGACTATATAATAATCTCTAATTCTATATAGGTAGAATACCTAAATTATGTAAGTCACAATTTAATAATAATACGTAATAATGCAATTCTTTTCGAAGGTTAGTCACTACATACAAGTATATAAATTTGACGTCGAAAAAGTATCCGTGGTGTCCGCCCTGCTGAAATATCAGAAAAAACAAACATATTTACAAATGAATTTATTTTTATACAACTTAGAATGGCAAAGAAGCTGACGGTCCACCTGACGGAAAGTGCTAACCGTCGCCTATAGACATGAGCAGTACCATGGACATAACAGAGTATACTTTTTCGTCCATGATACCCTCCATGCGTTGCCATTCCTGAGGACTCAGATGGTATTCCGCTATACCCAGTAAATTCACGCCATATCCCACCCTTCAAACCGAAACACAGCCATGCAAACACAGCTTCTTCACAGTTGAAACACGAATGGGACAGAGGTAACTATGCAATCGACTTTTGTACAAAGTCTTTTTCTGGTATTGTTATATTAATTATTCCTTCATACATATTATGCCTACTTGGATTTCATTGGGGAGAAAAGGATTATTGGCAATGGGGATCTAATAGTCCCATTGTTAGTAATACTCGTATATTCTCTTAGGTCGACCATAAAACCATGTTGTATAATTCTTTATGAATTCGTCACTATAAGCCAACTGACCTATTTCATCCTCATCTATCATCTCTCACTAGTACCCTGCCAGCGTATACCAATAGCGCATACGGAGTTAATTCTCCATTATCACCCATTAGACTCATTACATTATTTTAATTTATTTAGATTAGTTTTAATATTAGTTTTAATTTATAAACTACTTTAAAAAGAGTACAAGAACTGCGAAAAATAGTTTACGTAATATAATGAAAAAATACGAAATGGTTTTTACAGATAGCAGCAGCATGGCCTTACGAATGGAGTCGGAGTCAGCTCCTGATGGCGAGCGGCGTGAGGCTGTTGCTAGTACCCCTCATGTTACTCTGCGCTGCACCCAGACACTCACCGCATATCGTTGGAGATGTTAGTTACCTTATACACACCTGTTTAGTTAACTAGTTTTTAGTGAGTCTCCTTAGTGGTTATAATATAATTAATATATCCACAGGATAATTCCTGTTATGAGGCAGACACATTTTCAGCAATTGATATCTATATGATAATCTTTAGAACTATTTAAAACGTTCCCGTGAAACTGTAAGACTAAGGGAATTTAATAGCCAAGTGATGGACAGCAGCATCTCTCTTAAAAAATTATCAAAGTCTCACAGCGGTTGCCAGCCCACCTGCCAAGCATGGCAATTCCCATCAAAACTAGAACACAGACTTCCCCCTTGTTCTCTATCTATAAATCTATGTTCAAAGGTGGACAGTTAACGGCTGATATGATGATGATGAAACAATTTTTTTCTTAATTACACCCATACTTGGCACCATAAAGAGAATTTGTACGTCATCTCTCTGTAGTCTGCATGGGCCAATCTTTGTTCAACTCGTGTTTCTGTCGCCACACATCTGTGCTTGCATAGCTTGTGTTTCGGTTTAAAAATAGGATTTGATAATGAGATTACTGTCGAAAGTAGAAAGGCTTAACATCTTAGTCTTTAAAATTAGCAACACATAGAGTCACTATGAGCATCACAGTATATTCTGTGATAACCATTTTTCTATTTACGATTATAGGCAACTTTTATTATTTTGAACCATTCACTTAGGTAAGTTATCAATGAGTGTATCATTCCAAATTGAATAAAAAATTGTTTATTCTTTATCCAATTGTTTCCACCCATAAAATGATGGCTATTTATGTATTTTATTATTTTGTTACATTGACATTAGGTATACTGTATACAGACAATATTATCGAGTTTTAACCAGTTAAATAAATAGATAATGCGATATGGCACAAAAATGTTTACATAATTTACCCGTGACTATTAGATAATTTGACTTCCTGTACCCATTTACTATAACGATGTTCAATAAGTATTTTATCTGATTTTTAAAATATACCTAACGTATCATAGTTATGAACCCAAATTAAATCTAACAATATTTTTTATATTGCATCATCAGAACGAGTATACATATTTCTTGTTCAGAACATATACTTTATCCCGTAATTTCATCTATCTTCACGCCAATTTCAATAAAACTAAAATAAGAATTAATATTGTTTAAATTTTATTTATACTTTATTTATTTATATTTCAGGTCTACCCAATAATGTTCTCTGTTGTTTTGGGCTTTAGCAATGGTGTCTTTGGATCAGTACCAATGATACTAGCGCCATCACGTGTTGGACGGGAACATCGAGAAATTGCTGGTGAGACAATTACCTAAATTTAAATAAAATCTGCTATAAAATATATATATAAATTATATTATTATATAATTATAATGTAAATCCTATCGATTGCAAAAAATATCATAATTGTCATTAACACACAGAAAATATATAGTCGAATTAATAACCGCTTCCTAATGGAAATCAATTAAAAATTTATATTAGGGTTTTTGTGTACACTAAATGTTTTCTCACTGTGATTATTTCATGTATTTTTTTGTATCTATAATAGGTTTACTATTGTAATCTTTTGGAGGAAACAATAAAGAGTATCTATCTATCTAAATGGAAATATTAAAATATAAAAATATTTAAATATAAAGAATATTTCATTATAATTATAATGAAATATTCTTTATATTTAAATATTTTTTATTTATATTTATTGGAATTTTCGGCACATCGAAATCTTAGTCCTCCAGAATAGCTGCATATGGGCGTATCATAGACATTCCCGTATATTCTGTGCTATTCATGTTTATAACAACACTTTTTATTAGGTGGGCCGTCAGCTTATTTGCCATTTTATGTCCCACAAAAAAAAAAAAACATTATAATGTTTTTTTTTTTCTTTTGCAGCAGACAGAAAACTCAGAACATTAATTATGAATATTTCTTTTCCTCTTCAGGTAATATGATGACATTGTCATACAACGGTGGATTACTCTCTGGTTCTTTAGTATCGTATTTGTTGCTAAGCATGCTCGGCCCTCGAGCCGGCGACCCTTGCCGCTTACTTTATCCGACCCCACACCTACCAACGGTACCACCAGCTACTACTACAGCTGGTAACGTCACCTATTTAACTACCGCCTTACACTGAATCATTGATAGGCTAAATTATACCATAAAATAGGTTTAATTATAAAATGGGCATCAGATATAACATATATATGTAATTTATATGAAAATGGTTGCTTTTGACTGAGATAAAATCGGAGAGATCTGGTATCCCACTTTAATTAAATAAGTATATTTACCTACTCCACAATTGCATAAGAATTAGAGGCTGCATTCAATATCCAGTATATTGATCCTAGCCGCCAAAAGGCATTTCTCTACTGTAGATTTCATAATAAAAAACAAAAGCACAAAATTATATAAATAGTTACTTTTAAAATAACATAAGAACTTATTTAAATTCAATCAAAAATTTTTGAAATAACTTAATTGTTCACCTTTTTTGTTCTGTAAAATTACTAATTTCTTTTACAATAACAGTCCAAATAGCACGAGTTTTTTTTCATGGAACAATTAATAAATTTTTCCTAAATTTTAAAAAGAAAAAACACTGAAAAATGGCAAAATACGACGGTACCATGAGCCCTAATTTCAAGATAGTTCATGATGCTACTTCCTGTATATATACATATTATATATACCTCATATGTATTTATGGGGAAAAGGGATTGTTAGTAATGGCCTCCCCATTAATAACAATCCCTTAGTCTCCTTAGTCCCCATTATTATCAATATATCCCATCAGGTCGACCTTCACGCGATTCCCCCTGGAAACAATCGTGACTAATTTATCTAATTTATTTTGAATTCGTCACGATGAGCTGACTGACCTGCCTTTTCATCCACACCTGTCACCTCTCACTGATACCCCGCCAGTGTATCTATCTATGTTATATCTGACGCTTATTATATTGTTTGTATATGTACTAAATAAAAAATATTCTTAAATACCCACCATAGTATAGTTTCAACATATATATATATATATATATATATATATATATATATATATATATATATATATATATATATATATATTATATATTATGTAGTTTTAGCGCAAGTATTTTGTTATTTATTTATAAATACTTAAATGTAAGTGAAATGTTGTAAAGACCTATGCCTAAATACTAATCATTCTGCCTTTTTTTATATTAGGTAGAACGATTCGAGATATGTCATAAAATACATAATGAATTTAAAGCCAATTCCTCATTTTTATTTATTATTATACTAAATAAATTGTTCGGGAATTAATACTGTCTATATTGAAATGAATGCAAATCATTTTATCTAATATTATTTTACTGGTCAATGATAATTGAATAAATAAAATAAATTCCCCTGAACATATCATACTACATCATCTACTCTCAAACTAAGTAGGCCATATAATATTTACTCGTAAAAATATAACATCTGATAAAATGTATTTCATCTCAACGAACATTACATAAAAAGAAATAAATAAATTATAGAAAGATGTGAAAAAATATTAAAAATGACAGCCTTATCGATAAATATTAGTCTCTTTCAGACTTATCTTAAGATGAAGATTTATATATTTACTTTTTTTATAAGTACACGTACATGCATATTCTTACAAACAATAGAAAACGTTCGGACTAATATACTCATTTATACAAATATTTATAATATGAGGGGCTCGATCACACAACCGTTGTAATCTAAAACATACTGTGAAACCACTACACCACTGAGTAGATAAAATTGTAAAGCATTTTTTAATATTTGACTAATTGTACACCCATCACATCTAAATCTCATACCCACAACATTGTAATGTGGCTATGTGATTTAGAATAAAATATGTCCTATGTTAAATTAATAGTATAGTATTTATATTATTTGTGGTTAAATGAAGGATGTGATCTACCAATGTACCTATCTAATTTGTTTGGTTTTAGCTTTTCTCTGCTTTTAATAATAAACAACATAATTACTCACTCATTATTTCAAATTTTAATAGAATACACATAAAAAAATAAAATAAATGAGTAAATAAATATATAAATAAAATAAAGACAATCAAAAACCAACAAAACATTTAGAAGATTACATAACTGCCATTCTGAAAACCCTTTATTGATAAGTAATTTTGGTAATAATAATAAAATAATATATAAAGTATTTTTTTATTTTTATGCATGTAAACAGTAGATATCATATCATTCAAATATCTGCTACTATTTGTATGAAATTAATGAAATCTTTACGAGTGAGACTGAAATAATATACTAAGTATATGATATATAAAATTATGACTGATATTTTCTTTTCTAATTTTGGTTAAATAATTGACTCTTCATGTGTGAGTTGATGAATGAAATGTTATTAATAAGTAAAACGTTTTGCTGCCACTTCTTATAAGTTAGTGGATACTACCTACTTTAATTTTGTTAAGTACACCTATTTCCTACTAATTATAATGTTCTATTAGATAAACTATTATGTAAATGCTTATTGTTGTTCAGATGTAGATAATTACTTATGTAAATAGGTTATAAATGTAAATAAAATATTACACATATTTGAATTCTTTATATACAGTAGTGAAACACCATTGAAGGATAAAACGAGGAAGATGAAGTCCAGTCAGTTGGCTCATCGTGGTAATTTCACTACATATTAACTAAGTCTTCTGTTACAGGAAGAAAGGAATTTATACCACCACCTCTACGCAGTTGACTTTAGAAACTATCGTGATTAATTCTTGTTAAATTAGTAACTGACCTGACTTCATCGCCCATCACTCATCATCTCTCACTGGTGCAACTGACGCAAGCAGGATTACTATTCTATTTTCACCCATCATAAAAAAACCCTAAACCACGAACAATTGAACGTTTTAATGACAAACGTTACCCAATTTCTAAACTACTGTGCTTTCAGTAACTGTGACATTGCTCTTAGTCTTATTTGAATAAGTTTTAAACAAATCTCAAGTTTCTCACAATTTTTTATTTTATCATTGTGTATTTATAATAAACAAGTACTATAATCTTTACTTAGGTACTATATTATTAATAATAACCTTCAAAAAAAGGAAAATATTCATATTTAAAAGGCTGGCAACACACCTGCAATGCCAATGGTGTTGTGGGTGATCATGAGCGGCGGTATGATATGTGATATCATCAGGTGAGCCGTATGCTCGTTGGCCCCTGTGGTATAAAAAAATCATCATCATATCAGCCGTTAACCGTCCACTGCTGAACATAGGCCTCCTCCATGAGGGGGATTTTACTAGTAGTTGCTACATTTGGCAGGCAGACTGGCAACAGCAATTACACTTTGGTGATGTTTTAAATATTAATAATATTAAGTTAAAATCTCTCTTTACTTTATTAAATGGATCACTATAAACTACAAACGCACTTTTATCTATATTAAGTCTTTGTGTGATTCATAATCATGTTTAATGAACTTGGGTCCATTTGACACTACTGAGATAACACTAATACTATAACGACGACAGAATATTTATCAGAAAAACGGCCATACTTTAATAAAGAATTGTTAAGAACACGTAAATACACAGAGAAAATATTATTATTAACAACGAGAGAAAAATTCTTATGAACTTGTACCCAAAACTTAAAGTACTTATTAATTGGTAATTTACAAATTTTCTTTCAATGGGTTTGTTCTAGTTATTTAATAAATTTTGAATTTCACCTAACATTTTATAATACGGTGGAGGGAAAGGGACTGTAAGAATTGATATATATATATATATATAATACCCTAGTCGATCCCCAGGCGGTTTCTCCTGGAAACCATCGTAGTTAATTCTTGTGAAATTAGCCGCTATGGACGAATTAACCTGCTTTTATTTCTAACTTGATAGTTAGAAATAAAAGCAGGTTAATTAGGTTCTCTCATTGGTGGCCCGCCAGTTTATATCGATAGTGCAGACGGGGTTACTAATCCATTTTCACCCATTAAAAATAATTGTTATAGGTTGCCGCTCCTGAGAATTATTTTTACTTTTATGTTCCAATCTCGTGTCACAGTAAAGCAGCTTAAGCGACTTGAATATAATTTTGTAAATTTTTTTACTCCAATTTGAGAGATATGAACATTTTTTATACCAATATTAATAAATGGCCCCAGTATGCGGTAATAGGAGGCAAAAATCATATTCCAAATCACCGTATAATATAAATTTTACTTGATTAAATTATATATGTATATATATATATATATATATATATATATATATATATATATATATATATATATATATATATATATATATATATATATATTTATAGTCGAATGATGATGCCAAAATTCCAAACTTATGTATTTATAAGTAATATATATATCACATGGTATTAAGTCCGTCGTTTTTTAGACTATCTAGGTGTATATATATAATACTCGTAATATAAATTATTAAACATAGACCTCATCAAAGAGGCGTAAATAGTTCTTGAAAATATTAGGTCTATGTGATTCCTAAATCCAATCACTTTAGACTATGAGATTTTGTTCCATAAAAAAAATACCATCTATCATCGTGGCAAAACCAGTTATTTTGATTTAAGAATTAAACTACAGGACTGATCTTAATCAAATTTCTATGGGATTCATCTGAAAGTATATCCTTTCAGATAAAAAAATATTCCAAATTGTTTTTAATAATTTAATAAACAAAAAATACAATCGAATTTAGAATTTGCTCCTTTTTATAAATCGGTTGAATAGTACTTATTTACTTGTGAGTGAAATTAGTCAGTTCACATCATTACAATTGATAACTTTATTATTACTCTCGATGTTTTTGCAATTAAATATATCCAAAGTACATATATATCTACTTACAATAGCTATTACTTATAAAATGAGCATTATTATTGTTTTCGTTGTAAACATGTTATTTATTAGTACTAACAATATACTTACGTATCTGTACAAGAAAAATAGTTTCTCAGACAAAAGATAAAATGAGAAAGTCTAAAATTAAATTATACGAGTACTTAATAAGTAAAGAAATTAAGTTTAAAACTGTGCGAAAAGATGAAAAGGACTTGTAGACTCATAATTTTCTGCAAACCATCTAAGAAATTCGGCGTAAAGAGATGTATATATATAGATGTATTGTATTAATAAGTTTATATCTTCATAAACAATTTTCCCACCGCTAACTTTGTTTTCATTGATTATATACGTAAAAACGAATAGATATTTCATCAGACACGGATGACGACGCTACAGACAAAATTACGTTTAATAAATTATCTTCAATACAGTTAACTCGAGACATGCAGGGGCTTATTACGACAGTATGTTAAAACGTAATGTATATATATGTATATTTAATATGCACGTAGACATAGTTGTAAACAACTTCGGAGTTCTTTGACAATTCGAGACAATTATCAGTAGAGGATTCTATACACAAAACGATTTATCGATGGACTTCGGAAACATTAAGAGTGGAGAAGAGCTTTATTCATTTAATTTTCGAATATTTTCAGCCCGTTTCACCGAAATCGATTTACTCATTTACTTGAAACATAAGACACTAGATATTACATATAAAATAGTCAAACTACCTACATTTGTGTAGGGAATATTATATGTATACGATATTTTTTTATCAAAATAAAAACTTGATGTACTTTTAAGGTATTTAATTATATATGAGTAAACTTGTATATTATTTCTATTTACGTAGGCCAAAATTAGATGGAAAATATTATATAAAAATGATTTTATTTCCAGCTTGAAGGACCAAAAGAACAGAATAATTGAGAAGAGAAAGTAACCACAATAATTGACAGCTATGGAGTGTAGGGTATATGAGTGAAGAAATATAGTTTTTACAAAATATGATACATTCATTTAAATTATACAAGACATCCGTAAGTCGTATTGAAAGCGGACAGAAGAAAGATCTTGAATATAGACAATATTAAGTAATTACAAGAAACATACAAAATTAATACTGGAGTTTCCAATAGGCAACTCTTGGCACCTTAATGAAATATTTATTGGTAATTTGTTAGAAACGGGGTATTAGATCGCTAATTTAAATCCGGCTCGAAGGGTCAAAAACTTCTGTAAAGTACTTTATAGAACAGTTTTGAAATTTAGAAACAAAACGCCATAATAGATATCTACTCTTTCTTTCTCTCTTGGCCTTGATATATTTTTTTCATCTGTTGTAGTAATTTATTCAAAAGAACCAAATAAATTTTTGGGTAAGCCATAAAGGGAAGAGAAGAAAGTAGGAAAGGGAAAGACGGGATATTAACAATGAATGACTTTATATCTCATTAAATTATCGAAACGGAAGAACAAGACAAATTGGTTGACTTCATTCAACTATTCATGTTACTTTCTTTAGTCATTGGTCTTAGGTTCGTCTTGGCATGTAGTTATGTACATAATTTCCGGAGATCAACGAACGCCACTTGACATTTTGAAATGTATTTACTATTGCCATTCATAAATAGGTATTTATTGGCAGAAAACTAGCTAGTTTACTACCATCACGATGATAATAGAATGAACTTTAGATATTGACACAGTGTGTAATGGACTTTAGACAAATGAAAATAAATCCGTCGTATGTGTTTGAGAGAAAATGTTTTTGTTAAATGGTCTTCTTCCAACGTCTGCTTATCTGCTTAATCTGAATTCAACGTTGGACTTTTGGTACGACATTAAATATTGTTAAACACATGTAATATTTTTATGTACAGATACATATTATATTTTATATTTAAAATTACAGATATAATCGTTTTTAACTGCATGGGAGGCGTACTCGCCGTAGAATTGTCTGGTACCTCGACTGCAACTAGAGCTTTTAGCTACACCAAAAGACATGTCTACTTATGAGTACTTACATTATGTGACTAGAGGGGAAGAGATTGTCAGCAATGAAGTCTAAAAGGGCCAAGGTCAACCTCCACGTTATTCCTCCTGGAAACCATCGTGGTTCAATATTGTTAAATTTATCATAATGGGCTAATTGATCTAATGTGGCTGTTAGATGAGGATAAAGTCACCTATCATCCCTCACTGCTGCCCAGCCAGTGTATAGCGATAGTACAGGTGGGGTTACTATTCCATTATCATCCATTAAAATATATCCTATCATATTCATATCCTAATCATCATCATGTCAGCCGTTAACCGTCCACTGTTGAACATAGGCCTCCTCCTATTAGGGAGTTTTGCCAATAGTTGCCACGTGAAGACGTCAATGATTATATTTAATTACGGCTATGAAATTTATGTTTTTCCTGCTTGTCTTTGATGCAACGTTAGAAATATATACGTTAAAAATTAAAAATGGTTCTAGGAGATCCATCCTCGCTTTATTCGTGTAAACTGTATGAGTGTCTTGTTACATATATTACCAACAATACGTGTGATAAATAATGTCTATATTTTATAGGATAATAATATGAAATCAAAATCGTCAGCATTCTATTAATAAAACTGAGCATTTTTCTCTTTCATATGTATGATTGAAAAACAACTGAAAATTTTGTATCTCACATTAACTTCATATGTGCACGCGCTGTGAGGTAAATTTTTTTTAAAATAACAAAACATTTTTTTACTGTATACAACTTTACCAGCGCATAATCGCCTATTATCTCTCGTTCCCATTTTATGGCAATTTCTGTGTATAATAATAATTCTTTTAGTAAAAATTATTGCAGTTTATTTGTAATAATTTATTATACATATGTGAATGCAAACTTCAAGAGATTAAGACTTAGAAATACTTTGTAAATAATTTTAATTCTGTAAACTTACTATTTTATAAATTAACCAAGTACTTATACTAAGAAAATGCGCAATTATTTGGAGACAACCTTTACTCGATCAGAGATAACCTATAACGATATATATTCTTATATACAGGGTGACTTTGAGATCATTGGCATCCTTTTCAGCTTACGTTCTCTGACACAAATTGAATTAAGTAATAATGAATTAATCAATATTCTTTTATTTTTGAATAAATAGGAAGAGGAGAAAAAGAGATTCAAGACAAGTAAGAATAAAAAATAAATTTTATTTAGATCTCATATCTACTCCAATACAGCTTAGTTCAGTGTGTGTTCAAATGATGATAAAAATTAACTAAAAATGTTTAAAATTGCCAAAAATGATATAATTATTTATTTTTAATAATATAGATATAACAACTAACAACACAATATTTAGATAATATAGAGGCAATTAAAATTCTTTATAATGCTTTTGTACGGAGTAAGTTAAAAAATAATGCTATCATCTGAAACCCGCATGAAACCAAATACACACAGATGATAGAAAAATTACAGAAGAAATTTGTTAGATGGCTGTACCGTAAACAGTATTTTTCTGTTGGGTATGCTAGAATATAATTCCCTAGAGGTAAGGCGACTTGTTTCTCTGCTAGAATACTTCTACAGTATACTTAGAGGAATAAAGTACAATGCGTTTTTGTTGAATCTCATAAGCATGTCCGTCCCAGACATCAACAAGCGTGACCGTAATCACGGAATATTTGCCCTACCACGCAACAGGACATTACATGCTGATCAGGCACCACTCACGAGGGCGCTACGTCTGCTCAATGAGGTAGTAGCAAGTTCCAATCTGGACTCATTTCACTGTACTGCCACACAGTTTTGCAGAGCGGTAACAAATTACGCAAAAATACATTTTTAATATTTATTTTATGTAATATAATTAGATTTTTATTTTGTTATTATTTCAATATTATCTTATTATAATGTTTGATTTTTTATTTTTAGTGAGTGCATTGGTAAATACTGTAAAACTCACCAAAAATATGTAAATAAATAAATAAAATAAACGTATATTTATATTATATTTGACAAGTAAATAGGTACAGTTATATACATTTAAATTTATACATCATATAATTCATAGGTTTGTTATATAATGGGTGAGTGCTTTAAATAAAAGTAATTCTTAGATTATTATAAATTTATTTTTAAAAATTGATACATTCAACTGTTGTGTTGTCTTATTATGTTACCACCACTTCGTGCCTTCGCTTGTGTTCCGATTATGGCATACATGTGGACGAACATTCGATGACAAATCATCATGCAGTCAGGGTCTTGGTGCTGATATTCCATAGAGAAGCTCCTGCAACTATCTTTTGCGTCGTCGAGTCCTAGAGCGCTGTGACGATCGCGAATTCCACTCTAAGCTGAGATCACTTATAGAAGATGGCGTCTCAGGAAACTGTGCATCCGACGTCCACCTGCACGAAGAGCACACGGATTTCGGTGATTCAGGCTCTTTATTCACCTTCTCTGCTCCACTGCCGTACGATTCCAATATGTGTTTGTAGGCACACTCCAAAGGTTCAGGGCTCCTTCCCCTCGCAGCGCACAAGCGAACCCGCACACAAGCGTTGCAAAAACCGCAAGTGTCACCACGAAGAAAACTCTTAACCATTTCGAATAATGTGACGTCTGTTATGTTGAAGAATTACAAGAGTAATAATGCGAATGTCTTGCGAACGTGATATTTATGTGCGAGGCGACAGAGAGTGGCGTCGCGCACGCGCCTCTGATAACCTCAAGTCCGGCGCCAGTACAGATGCCGACAGCCATTAATGTGAGCAAGAAATAGATCGGCTTGTTACTACTTAGCTACTACAAAATATCAGTAGCTACAACGGAGTAACACAGTGTAAAATAATTTGATAAATATCCACTATAGGTATAGGTAATTTAAGGAATACATCTACATGTTATTTTTAAATACATAAATAGCTACCTAATTAATTTTTATTGTAATCTGTATTCACGTACTTAATGAAAACATGTTTAATATAGAACATAATAATTTTGAATTCATAATTTAATTTCATTTAACGAGAATTAATTTATACCACTTACCTTGTGTCTACTACGCCTATAGTATGCATGTGTGTATAGCATGCAGTGCTAATATTTTTTAAACCCTTATAATTTTATCATTACAGTCTTTGTACTCATATGTTACGCTATGAGAATTTGTATAGAGAACTGAGTATAAATATTTAATAGCTGATTCTCTTGTCTGTTCTTCTCAGCTGAGTTTGCATCTCGAACTGGGCGGTAGATCATAAAAAAAAATTATTATTATTAATATTATTTAACATAAAATATTAAGTATTTTTATTATGTTATACCTACCTACCTAACATTAAGAATTAAGAAAATTGACATTAATTATTTAAACACGCGGTAGTGTGCCCAACCAAGTTCAGAAAAACTAGCAACGCAGCAGCCGTCGTCTAATCAACTTATCTTCATTAAATCATACGCAAATTAGTGTATGTCCTGCCTGTACTGTACGCATACTGTTGGATTAATATAATAACTACATTGCTTTTTTAATATTTGATGTGTTGGTACAAAACTAGCCAAGCCAAACCTTAAGCTTGAATTACATCCCAAGTGAAGTAAATGCATCGTGTAAATAATTGTCTGTCAAAATTTTAAAACTTATAATACCTATTAAGTAATAAAGATGGCAGTAGTATCAAGAAACAAGAAATTATTATTTAAATTCATTTCATAATGTTACGTGCTCTTGTAACTTGTAAAAAAGATTTTCTACATAAAACATGGCAAGTGCCATGTATATGCATAAAGATCTCAATTCTTTTTTAATTAATATCATTGTAATATAATATTTAATTTGATTCCTCATTTCGCATTTATGTTTTTGATGAGATAATATACTTACAGCAACAACGAGTGATTGCTTTAAGTTTATATTGGATAGAAAGAAATCACTCTGGTATTTTCTAGATAATATCAACAGTATTGCTCTAAATCATTACTAGTTACGACCGGTTCGTCAACCTCATTTGTAATTGCATCCATTAACATATTGTATAATCTATAACGTTATCGTCTTCCCACGTAGATGTTTACTACGCTCCTCCAATTGATTTAATAACTCGAATAATCTGGACGTGTTTTGTTATCTGAACCTGGATATTATTATATTATACTACGTTAAATCCTACATACCTAATTTATATATAATGTACCTAAGTAATTAATGTATTTAATTTAATTGACGACCTCTATGCCGTAAAGTTACTTTGCACAAATAAAATAGGTTCAATTCTCGGTTAGACGAGTTTAGAAAACATTTTTTTTATTAATTTTTTTGACTTTGAAGTTGCAATGAGAATCATTATACTTTCATAAAAACCATACAACTGAGTAGTAGTAGTACCTACCTAGTAGTATATACCTATTGACTATAGTATCAGTTTTCTGGATATTATTGTATGATTTTTCTATTAAGATCTATATTATTTATTGAACTTTACAATTCACTCAAAGTGTAATAAGCTTCATTTCAGCTAAAGATTACAGTCTCATCGTACTGACCTAGTAAGATTTAGAGCAAAGCTGTCCAAACTATGGCCCGCGGGCCACATGCGGCCGACGGCTTGAATTGATGCGGCTCGCCGAATCTTTTTTAGCTACTACCGACATTCATGTTGACAGAATTGTAAAAATTAATGAAAAAGTATAACAATAACAAAATAATGATAATATATTGCGACCTCCCAATGAATTTAATAATTTTTATTAGTCCTGGATCCTATCTAGTTTAGACAGTCATGGTTTAGAGATTAATAATGGTTTCAAGATTATTACTAAAAATTGCATTAAAAAGAGGTAGCAATCGACATATTAGCCGATTGATATAAATCTAGGTACTTAGGCAAATAGACCGGTTGAAAAAAAAAAATTCATGCAACATTCACAATTTTTAACCGACTAAAAAAAGGTTCTCGATTTAATTGTATTTTTTACGTAATCTCAGAACTCCGTTATTTATAAACCGATTTATAAAATTCTTTTTATCTAAAAAGTTTTCAGATTAATACCATAGAAATTTCATCATAATTGGTTCAGTAATTTGGCTTTATATTCAAAATAACTGGTTTTGCCTTGATTAAATTCAATGTCTTTTTTTAACCAATTTTTTTTTGTGCGTTTAAATAGTCTCCATGCAGACTTCTTGCATTGTTCTAGTAATTTCCAGTAATAGTATCTAGATACATAGGTTACTACTTACTAAATAACGCTGTGTTTCTTATCTTTAACAACGACATATATTTGTGTAAACAACTATATAGTTCTAGAAATAACTTCACTGCTTATCTTGTAAAGGCCTATCGGATGTTTTCAAAAACATTTTGTCACTAAGGTACTTTATCAACTATGGTCGATGGACAACACAATTACTAAAAATATTTTAAAATGCCAAAAATATTACAGTCCGCCTTTTGCTTCTGGACGCAGTAATATTTTGAACAATGTGATATTTGAATAATGACACATTGTTGACGCTGCATCTAAATATCTGCAGTCAATTACAACACTTTTATGGCCAGAAGATTGATGACGCAACAGAAACATAAGCAGAGCTGTGAAATAAAGTGAAAATCGTTCTTTTCTGAATTTTGCAAATTCTGCGCTCTATCAATTGATGGCAAAGTAACTCCAAAACCCGTGAACTAATTTTTATGTACTTTTTTAGTTACCTCACCATTAACTTGAATACATCGCAATAAGTAATCGGAATACTATTATATCAGAATTATTTAATTAAATATATAAATGAAAACGATTCATAACAACGTAAAAATGTGGGAGGAAGGATTGTTAATAATGGGGTCACTAGTTCCCGTCACTAATAATGTACCCTGTCAAGTGGACTTCCGCATGATCCCTTGTTAACCATCGTGGTTAATTCCGACTAAATTCACCATGGTGAGCCAATTGATTCGAATTCAATCTCGTGTTTTACCCATCATTGTATACGGTTGGCACACGCGGTTTTGCCAGTAGTTGTCACGATTAACAGGCGGGTTAGCAATCGCAGTAAGGCTTTTAAAGATACTTTAAGAGGGACGCTGTTGCCTATTCTTTAACTATTCTTTTGGTCGCCTCTTATGACACCGATGGCATATATTATCTGTGTCCAAAAGAAAGGATGGCCCATCCTATACCGGAACCACACAGCAATTAGGTATGTAAAATATTGTAATTAAAACAAATTTAAACATTTGAGATAAATCGTATCAGCTTTTAACTGAACATAAAAGGGATACTGATACCCATCCCTTAGTCGCCTCTTGCGACACCTACAGGTAAGGAAGGGGTGGCTTATTCTATGCCGGGACCACACAGAATTTGAGATAAATACATCTTACCTGTTTTTATCGTTAAACTAATTAGTTGTGTATTGTTTTTGTGCAGGATGCCCGTGCTATTTTAATGAAAAACACCTTAGTCCAATGAAATCAGTGAACGAACGAGATACCGTAAATATGTAACCCACAGTACCACTGATTCGTTGACATATGCCATGTGATGACTTCTAGAACTGTGTTCATATTTATAGTTGACAGAACTCACTTACAAACAGGTGGGTCATTTATCATTTCTAGTAGTGTGTATATTTTTTTATTATACATATACCTAAAATTGTAATGCACAAAGTCCATATTTTACAACTATGAATTAGAAAAAATTACATGAAAATACATACTTAAAAACACCCAGGCTAATATTAATAAAGAATAAAAATTTAAATAAAATCATATTTCCTCAAGAATGCAAATGACTGTATTGTATGTACAATGCAAATGAGATACTGTGTTAAACAGCTAAACGTCATAGCGTCATACGGTTTTAAGGTCGCCGTTTGTACAAATTTTATTGTGGAATAAACAATAAATAAACAAACCACCAAGGTGAATGATAATTCAATAAATAGAGACAACATAATGTAACAAATTTATTTTGAACGAATAGTAATATAATAGATTTTCTCTAAACTACGTATGTTTGATTATGTATTACTTATTTTCAATAATTGCATTTAAAGGAATAAATAGTCAAAGTAAATAGGCAGCTTAGCATAACTAAAAGGAATAAAAAATATGTAAGCTAAATGTTCGGACATTGATATGTATTGCATAGGAATTGTAAATATATTACATCGATTAAAACATAAAACAAAAAATATTGATAAAAAGCATATTTTGTGCATAAATTTTATTGAAATACATTATTACTATTAAAAACTTAATATAATGAATGAAATACATATGAACAGAATTATACCAATCAATATAAGGTATAGAAAATAAGCACAATAAATAATATTCATAGAAAACAAGTACACTTTGCTCCATATTTTCACTAATATTATAAATTTGAAAGCGAGTGTGTTTGTTACCTTGCTGTTGTTGTCATGAAATATGGTATAGACGTGACATATCACTTAGGATGCAGAACTATAGGCTATATATCCCGGTCACGGAAGACGACATCGCGGATAAAAGCTAATAAATTCTATGAAAATTATAATTTTCATATAGTACAGCATCATTGTCGAGCAAGTGCAATTTTAAATATAAAAATCCAGTACTAGTTTTTTATACAGGCTATTTAACAGGTATTTATGTACTTCTTTTGGTATTTAAACTATTGCTTAAATCGTCAAAATAATCGTTTTTACATAAAATATTTAAAGATTTAAGATAATGACAAAAGCGATTATTTCTTTTTAGATTATTTTCAGTTTTGGATTTCTCGATCCTACATACAGAGCGACACGCCGGCCAATAATCTAACGCAAGGGCTTTCCGATCCAATACTGATGATGGATTCAAATAACTCGCTATTGTATTGTGTTGCAATATTGTTTTATTCCTTTTTCTGTAACAAAATAATATTATTAAAAACCAAATTCAGTTTTTTATTAAAGGTGGACCCATATTAAAAACTGAATTCGCTTAAAAGATAAACAGTACTATTAAAACAGATTTAAATAAAATAAATATAAAAAAAAAAATTATTCAAATCGATTTACAATTATGTGTAGATATCATTTAACACACAAACAAAAATACTATTGAATTGAAAATCGATCGGATAATAATAGGATTTTTAAGAATTTTGTCATTGATATAAATGTATCACTAGATTTGTCCACAAATGCTTGAAATAAAAAATGATAAAATATAGGCTTTTAGTTTTTAGTCTTACTAACCTTAGTATAGTCATATCTGGATAGTCAATATCAAAAGTTATTACACATTCATTTCTTTTCTGGGTTGTCGTAATATACCCTGTTATTAGCTTATGTGAAATCTCATCAATAACTTCGTAATTTTTATTATAAGTCTGAAAATTTTCTTGTTCTGATACACTGTCACTTTCAGCAGAGTACCAAGGTTGGGATAGGATGTTGGCTGTTTTACTAAATGTAAAACGGTCACAATAATCTGATATTGAAAGTGCGTCATTTATCTTAGCAATAATATCCAGATTTAGAATATTATTTTTCATGTATTCAGAAGTTTTAATGGATATTTCTGTACCATGGGTAGTGCATTTAGAATTAGATAGTATTTCATAAAGATATGATAAACTCCACCAAATATTAAATGACTGTATGGGATACCCGAAATTTAATAAACTCGACTGTTCTCTCAGAAAAGATTTCCAAACATTATCATTAGAATTAAAATGTAAAGTAGACTTTTCTTCTTGTACTTCAGAATCTGCCCATGACATACTAGAGTTTTCATCATCAATATTTACTATTGAATCACTATTTTGGGAATCAGGTTGTTTATCTATTTTCATCTCTTGTGCTTGTGAAGTTATATAAAATTGTAAAGAATTAATAGTTTTTCTAATATCCCCTTTAAAAAAATCTAAAAATTTGGCTCCAGTTCCAGGCCAACAAAGACCACTATCTGCTAAACACATAATATCTAACCATGTTCCAAGAATTTTAGGCGACAACGGTCGCATATTAATAATTTTTGCAAATTGTAAAAATCTTTGCAAATGTAAACATGATGTTGAAGACGTTATTAAAATTACAGGGCGCTTAGAGCACTGAATCAGTTGCATAATAGCTGAACAGAATCCGTCATCCTGTTCAAACACTATATCTGCATCATCTATAAGAATGAGTGAGCTTTCAGTCCTTGTAAGTTCTTGACTCCCAACTTGCTGCTCCTTTTGGCTTAATACTTCATTTTTTTGGTTACATTCTGTATTTTTTTTTCTATTCTGTAAGATCTTCTTTTTCCTGCCTTTCCTCTTTATATTTTTTTCATTATAAAGTGTATCCTGAGATTTTTGTAAATTTTCTAAACTACCTTTTCCTCTATTAACTTTATGAGATTGAGTAGCTTCTTGCAAATCTTGTAACATTATTTTACCAGTTCTCTTACTGCTTGCATTAACTTCAATTACCTTTATAGCCAATTCTGCAGCGACTGCATAAACACTTGTTGTTTTACCACTACCTATGGGACCTGTTACTATTAAAATATTATTTGAGGATTTCATACTATCTTTACTATCAGTCTCAGAATGATAGAAATCCGAATCTGATTCAACATAAGCTTTTTTTGATTTCACTTCATTTTCTGTCCAAACTACTAACCACTTCTTTAATTCTTTAATTGCTTCTGAATTTCCTACAACTTGCTTAGCAGACAGAGCTCTATATTTACTGGTCCAATTTAGTTTATCAAGGTTGTCATTGTTAATTTCCACTATACCGTTAATAACTTCTATACTGTTATCCAAATCAGGATAACCACATTCTTTAAGTAATCCTTTACTTTTATCTTTCAGAAGACGGTAGGTTCGATAAACAGGAAATTTTGGAAATGTTTGTTTAATATTTTCTAAAGTAATCCATTTATCATTTTTTGAGACAGAAGACAAAACTCTATTCCTTAGACCATTGCCAATATCTAATAAATTTTTAAACAAGTTATCTTCACAAGTCTCATATAAATCATCAGAAAAATCACTTTCAATTGAATTTACAATTAATGGAGTTGACGAAACAGAGACAGGCACTATTGTCTGTTGAACATGAACAACAGTAGGAAAAATTAAGCTTCCTACATTTATTTTGTTCTGTTGCTTAATTTTATTTTTCAATTTATCTGGAACCCCACTGTGAAGAAATTTATGTTTTGCTTCAATAACAGCAGGATCATTTTGTAACTTACATGTAAATATTGGTGCTAACTTGGTAGACTTTTTCTGACTGTTACTTTCAGTGACTGTTTTCTTTTCGATTTTTAATTCAATGGTGTTTTGACTCATTTCTGTAGATATTTTTTCTTTAGGTTCATGGTAACTTTTGGTCAAAGTTTTTGACTTATTTTTATTGTCAATAGTTTTCTTCTTTTTTGGTGTAAAAATATGTAATTCCTCATCAGAACTAAATAATTCTATATCATCTATATATTTAACTGGCTTTTTAATAACTCTTTTGGGTCTCAGGCCATTTAATTCATTACTGTAGTTTGGAGAATGAGCTTCTGGGTTACAAGTAATTTTTTCTATTCGTTTCCGTTTTCTTCCTTCTTTATTATTACCACATGCAAGGACTTCGTCTACATTAGCCTTTATTTCATGTTCATTACAATCATTTGATTTGTTTAAATCATTTTTATTTCCAACTCCTTCATTGGTATCTACTTTTTTAAGACTTAGCTTTCCTTTTTTTGTTTTTTTCTTAGATTTTGTATCGAACTTGACTTTTATATATTTATTGTCAACACTCTCAAAGTCAAAATTACTTTTAATATCTACAGGAGAATCTTTTTGAAGTTTGTTGAAATAGCAAAGCATATTTTCTTTCTTTTTTAATGAAGGAGATAGTTTCTTAATAAACTCTTCATCTTCTTTAGTAGTATGTTTATGACTAGTACTCTTATTATTAACAGAATCATTAAATATACTTATCAACGTTATAGGCTCTTCAGTATGAGATATATTATTTCTTTCATGAGTAATTTCACTAGAACTGGGTAATATTTTTAAATCTTTAGACTTAAAATCTTGATATTTTTTATCTGTTTTTAAATTATTTGCCTTATTTGTAATCATATTTTTAAACCTTTCTGCTCTCTTTTCTAACTTTTTCTTAATACAGTGTTCTTGATATTCTTCTAAATCTTTTTTTTCCAGAGAGCCTTTTGATTCTGCCATTTTTTGAAGTATAAGCTTTCTTTTAGCCTTGATACTTTTTTTATCAAAGTGTTCCTGCAACACTATTTCATCCACAGGTTTCTCTTTGCCCGGGGAATTTGACCCAATGCTTTTATTTCTAGAATCCATCATTAACTTAAATGCATTTCTTTGGGTTACCACTTTTGTATCAGATATAGACGAACAGATGGTTTTCTCTTCAAGTACATTTAGTATTGTGGTATCAGTATTAACCAAGGTTTCTTTTGATTTAACTGTTACTTTTCTTTTACCCATTTTAAATAGATAATTTTTTGGATATATCTCTCCAAATTCACATATATCTTCTAGACAATTTTGTTTACTTGAACTATTTGGTGACTTTATCTTAAGCAACTTAATCAACGTATTAGAAACATCTAAAACATCTGGATCTTCCTTTCCATCATGCCTTAACTTATATTTTTTTAATTTTTTTTTCAGTGCTCTATTACATTTATATTTGAGAACATTTTCTTTTGCCTTTAGCACATGTCTAGATTTTTTGTTACTGGAGCAATTATTACTCTTGAAGGGGCTACTTTTTAACTTGTTGACATTACCATTTTGTAGCAGCAAACTTGACATCACCTAAAATGGTAAAAAAATAACAATAAGTAATTATTTTTTCACTAACAGTACTTTTCATTTCTATATTATACATATATAATACATATACTATTTGATCCACATTTAAATGTATTTGTACAATTAAATATAATGTAATTAATTTCATTTTGTCTCTTTAAAAATTGTACACTGCTGCACTCCTTTCCACTTTGGATTTGCTGGAAGAAAACTCTATCAGAGTTAAGCTCACTTTTATACATTTGTTTACCTCTGTCATATTCTTATAACTAATGTGTACAATAAAGTAATAAAATATTATACTGGGATAATTCTATTATATGGGATAAAGATATTATTATACTATAAACTACACTATTGTATTATACTACAATTATGATATTATTTTTAAAACTTATGTTTTACTTCCTGTATTTTGTCGTTTCCAACAATTGTTTCTACTTTAGTCAGAAGTCTTCTTCAGGTGGCGTTTCAAATATAGCAAATTTATACATTTCCCATCAATTATACAATTATGATGATGAAGATGATGATATCAGCCATTAGTGTGAACTGCTGAACATAGGGCTCCCTCAAATCCTCATGGGGCTTTGGCAGCAGTTGCCAGGCTTGGCAGGCGGATTAGCAACCACAGCTGGGCTTTGGTGATGTTTTAAGAAGGACACTGCTGCCTATCCCTCAACCATTAAGTATTAAAACTATATTATAAAAGCAAAAGTTTATGAGGATAGAAGATGTTTAATACTCTGTCACACTTAAATTGCTGAAATAATCTGAATAAAATTTGGAATACAGGTGAGTTATACCTTAATTTAACGCAAAAAATACTCTTTATATTAATATATACAGGCAAAGGCATGTTACAGCCAACAGCCAGTAAGTACTATATGCCTGATTACCCTGAGATATATAACACTAGCATTTATTAACTACAGCCACTGTAACAAACTGCCTATTAATTTAGTGTAATTTAACAAACATTTTAATTTAATGAGACAGGATGGATAATTTAATGACAAATGTGTTACTATTTCCATTTAGTCAGTAATTATGTAATAATTTTAACAAAACTTGGTTTGTATGAAATTTTATTTGCATGAGTTTCGATGGAAAAATTAATTAGATTTAATAATGATTAATTTATTTTATTTATTAATTAAGACTAATCACGAAAGTTGTAAATTTAAAGTGATATTGGATAATACAGTACCACAGACACTCCTTTACCTTATTTATGAAAATATAGGAACTTGCTTTATTTATAAACAAAATATTTAACAATATTTTATGTATTCACTACTCTTTTTTTTTCAAATTATTAATGCAGACCCTAATTGATGATCAACTAGAAACATTTTATAATAACTTACATAAAATATAAAGATAACAAACATAAGAATCCTCAATATTAAGAGCAACATTAAAAGTACATTTCTGATGGTAAAACTTAGGAATTTTCATGTTATTTAATAATAAATATATTGAAATTACCTTGCACGTACCAACCGCTCCAAACTGAATGAAAATTGACAACAAATAGTAGAGTTACAATTTAAAAACTAATAATACAAGTAAAACAAACACAAATAACAGTAGCATTGCATTGTATATCAAATATTATCTCTAATCTTATTGAAAATAAAAAGCAGTCTTATTTCCAAATTAATGTAGAAAAATTGGCGGTTTCTCTCCTACGACGATAAACAAATGAAACCACAGATTAAAACATCTAAAAATCATAAGACTATCAAAATGTCACTGTCAATGTAGATTCATTTTAATATTTTGGCAAAGGACTAGTCTCATTAATCACTAACAAACTGAAAACAAGACGATCTATTAAAAAGGAAAGGTATGGATTTTGGCATTAGTGATATATACAAATAGTTTAATGTTAATCTGGAAAAAAAAGAAAGTTAAGAAATTATAAATCAAAGGGTAGGATGAGCTAACAGACAAAATGAATGTAGGAAAAAGAACTTTTAAAGAAATGAGCGAGGAACGATCATACAAAGAGCAAGAAAAGGAAATATAATTTAGATCGCCTACATTTTTACTACACTCAGATATGTATTTAGGTTAGTGCATTCTGTCCTGTGTACATATGTTTTGAATAAGTTTTCAGAACAGTAATAATCTACATTATAATATATAAGTTATATGATAACCTACTTTTCTTAGACATATATTTATAAAATGTCCATTTTTGATATATATAGAATATATAATAAAAATTAAATAATTTAAATTATATAGAATATATAGAGTATTATCTAAAATACATTTTTATTAGATTTATTAGAATGTTTTTGCATCAAAAAAGGCCTAAAGTTATTTCGTTACTAAAAAAACACAGTTCAGAGAGACCATATAGTAAATAATCATTACGTTAAACTAAATGTAATGTAACATGTATTTCTATTTTATTGTTCTATCCAACGAATCCCTTCACACTATATATAAAATGGATAGTCAATTAAATAAAATTTCCATTGGTGTAGATACACACTGGGAAGTTTTCTTTTTTTCAATATAATTTTCTTGATAAAATATCTCTCCCCCTATAATGAAACAATGATGTAATCTCTCAAATCAAATGCCTGTTGTAATATTTTACTTCTTTCAGTAATTTATCTGATTTATATCCTAGTATCAAATCATCAACATAAATATTTGCAAAAACTTTTTCTTTTTCTTTCTCCAAAATATACAGACAAGGATCTGCTGTAGCATTTCTAAAACCAATTTCCAACAATTTTTTATGTAATTTTAAAAACCATTGCCTTCCTGCCTGTTTTAATCCATATATAATTTAATTTACAAAATATAATAATATTTAAATATTTATCAAGATTTTTCCTCATTATTTGTATTTGTTTATATCTTCTATTGCATTTCTTTTGCTTTTTTACTAATTCTTTATCTTTTCCATTTAATATAAAGGATATTTAAATATTTATCAAGATTTTTCGGCTTCTTCATATATATTTGTTCGTCTATGTCACCGTTTAAAAACGCGGTGCACACATCTAATTGACATAATTTCATATCATTTTCCATTGCATGCGCAATTAATAGTCTCACTGTAAACTGGCGCAAACGTTTCGGTATAATCAATTCCTTCTTTTTGATTAAAACCACGTGCTACTAATCTCGCCTTTCTTCTATCTATTTCTCCTAGTTCATTGTATTTATATTTAAGAATCATTTTGCTATCAATTACATTTTTACTCTCGTTTATATGTACAACTTTCCAGGTATTATTTTTAAGATGAGATTCTATTTCGCTTATTATTGCTTCTTGCCATTCATCACTATTCTTATTTATTTCACAAAAAAATATTTGTTCTACATCCATTTCATAATCCTGATGCCATGCTGGTGGTTTCCTTTGTCGCTTTTCAACATTTTATTTAGTACTTTAACATCTCTGCTAATAAGTATTTTTTCAGAATTTGGGTTGAATATTCGATAAGCCTTGTGATTTTCTGAATATCCTAATCTTCTTTTAAAAAGTACTGATTATATACTCTGTCCCATTATCACTTTGTAAATATATTATCTTTTGCTTAGTAAATCTTTCAACCTCATTTTTATATTCTCTAAATTTTGTAGAGCTTCATCCTTAGTTTTCATAGTATTTCTTGTATATTTTGATGAAGTACTTGGAACCTTTCTTTGATGGTTGTCTCAGAAAGAAACGGGACCCTATTCGCTAATTATTATTGAAAGACGGGCTATTCAAACATTTATTTTATTCATTCATTTTACTGTAGAAGTGAGTAAAAGAAAAATATGTTACTTATACATATTTTCAATTTATGCTTTGGCTGCTTCATTATTATATATCTGTAATTCATATATTTTAGCAAAGGTCTATTGTTGACCGTTACGCAACTAACAAACAAGAAACGAGACGAGATATATTCCTTAGATCTATTTTCTAAACTATCACCTTTATCTAATAATATATAATGCTTCTCTGTCCCATTATCACTTTGTAAATATATTATCTTTTGCTTATTAAATCTTTCAAGAATTTCTTCTTTTTCAATCAAAGTTGAGATAGATTATCGTGAGAATACCTGGTTAAATAATTATTTACTAGATCAGAAATTCCAATTTGAGAAATGCCGATAATTGCTACGTTTTTTTATTTCAATTAGGTTGCTTCGTGATAAAAAAGTAACGTTATGTCCATATTTTAATATTCGATCGATACCTAACCTAGTAGAAAACGCTTTTATGCCATGGCAACCCATTTTTATAAATAATCGATGATGGTAACATTAGTCAGCTAGTTGTCTTTTAGAAATCTTATTTTATTGGTTTCGATTGAGCCAAGTCTTCTAAATATTTTTGCTATAATGGCATCCAAAGCACTTGCGAGCCCATTAATACGCCATGTTGCGGTAATTATGTACCTTAGATACAAATTATTGCTTAAATCTATTCAGAAACTCTAATTCAAAGTACAACAATTAACCCTTCGTTCTGTCAAACCCCTGTTACATAAATCATTGTAGATTAATTTTCCTTAATTTTCTAAAATTTTAATTATCAAGAGTTTAAATTAACTAAGTAATAAAAAAAATACAAATTTCTGCTAAAAATACTATTAATATAAGTATTAATAATTTCGACTTTAATACTTTTGCTGAATTTTCATTGTCATTACTTATTAAGATAATATTATCTGTTGTTAGAAGAGAGGATACGCACAGGCAGCTCCCGCTGTTAGAAAAGATTCGCGGATCCAAGCTACTGTGCTACCCAACAAAACATTTGTAGCAGCTTTGGATAATGGCTCTCCAGTCACCCGTGTTACAGTGGTATTTAGGTAAGCATATTAAACTAGCCTCTATCATGTTTTTATATATTTATATAAAATTTATATGGGGATTTAATTAACTGGTCTATTTGAAATCTAATATGGTTAATTTTGACTCACTAAATCGAGTAAATTTCTTATGTTGACACTATAATATTTATCAAGTAATACAGTTTTGACCGATTCTATGAATCATATAATGTTATTATTTATAAAAAGTAGTTCTTTTACCACCTTAATAGACTTTGTAAATATATATTTTTATATTTAATGTTGCAGGGCTGGCTCTAGATATGAGCCACAAACTGAGTTGGGTATAACCCATGTTTTACGTACAGCTGCTGGTCTCACAACCAAGAATGCCAGTGTTTTCATGATAGCACGAAAACTGGCACAAATTGGTGCTACTGTCAGTGCTTCTGGTGATCGAGAATTTGTTTATTACACACTTGAGGTAAATTTTGTTATTATTGTAATATTAAGTTTATAATAAAGGCAATTATTTATTTATTTAAACTTCAATGCACAATTATATAAGTAAGTGTATATGGCAGACTTAACACCTAATGGTGTTCTTTGCCAGTGAACTGTGAGGCAAACAGAAATAATCATAATAATAATAATTTTAGTAGAACAATACTTATATTTTATTTAATTAAATAATTATTAAAACAATTGCTATATGTATAGATATTCTTAACAAATCTGTTTATATAATAAAAACTTTTTATATATTGTCCCCTGTTTGATTGTATTAATAATGTTTGATTTTTCAGGCCACTCAAGATAACCTTCCCGAAGCCCTGGAATACCTAAACAACATTGTGTCGAACCAAGAATTTAGACCATGGGAACTCAGTGACATTACTCCACGTCAGAGATATGAAATTGCTGCTCTGCCACCACAAGTAACAATACATTTAACAAAATATTTAAATTAATAGCTATTTATTGGATTTTCTTGGATTTATATTGAATGTGGAATTATTATTACCAGGTTCGTGCCATAGACCTCCTTCACAAGGCAGCATACCGCCGTGGCCTTGGCAATTCCCTTTTCATTTCACCAAAGAGAATTGGCAAGGTCTCATCAGAGTCTCTGCAACACTATGCAAGCACCACATTGACCCCAGGCCGGTGTGCTGTGGCTGTTATTGGTGATAGCCAGGTATGATAAATATATTAATGTAATTTAATATAAATTGGACTCACTTCTCCACTCTTAACCTCTTCTTTAGGCCGTTGTACATATGAGTCATGGTTAGTACAGCCAATCCAGCTACGCCCAGAAGCAGAAGCTTCCTGGGATCTTCACAGGCCTCACAGAGCAACCTCATCGTGATTTGCATTCAATTATCTGTTTCAGAATAGAAGTAGGGGGGAGACTGTTGTGATTGTTACCTCGTAGATCAAGATGCATTACTTGGATAGCTGCTAAGGCTGCTTCTTGCTGTATGTACAGATCATGGGGTGTTATGTTAAAGGTTATCTCTATTGCTGTTGTAGGAGTTGTTTTCATGCAGCCACTGACAGAAGAACGAGCCAGTCTCTTTAGAAAGCTTTTCAGTTTGGTGGCAGTTGTCGATAGTTTTGTCCTCGGCTACTAAACCAGCGCATCGTGCACCATATCATACATACATTGGTCATATCACAGCTCTGTACAACCATAGAGTTATTTTTAGTGAAAGACTATATATTTTCTAGCATCTTTTTGCACTGGTAGAATGTAATTATGCTTTTGTTTAGTTTATAGTCAAGATATTTGTTCCAATTTACTATCTAGTATGATGCCAAGGTACTTGACTTCTTCCTTAAGTTTTAGTTCTGTATTGAAAAAGGTATGTTTTTGTGGTATTAACCAAGAGTTCATCCTGTGAGCACAATTATTTCAAAGCTACTCTCTTCCGATCACATAGAGTACTTTCGAAATTTTCTGATAAAAGTACAGCTATATCATCCATATAACATACTGTATAAAGGCTGTTATCATTGGCTCTATTATAAACTTGTTTACGACTATATTCCTTAATAGTACTCCTAGTGATAGTACACTGCCTTGTGGACAGCCTTTACTAACGATTCCTCGTGTGGTTATATATCCTTGTTGTTTAAGCACGTTATATCAGTGTCAACTCCATGTGTAGCTAGTGCCCGTTTTATATTGGCAAAGTTTGTTTTATCGAATGGCATTTGACGTCTATGAATGCATCTAAGGTTGACTGCTTCGATTGCAGTGCATTTCCTATTTGGGATACGTTAAAAAGTGCCGATTCAGTTGACTTGCCTTCACTGTAAGCATGTTGGTTTGTATGTAAAGGTTTGCGCTAGGAGACTTGACCTTTAATCTCTGTCACACTGTCCAAAATTTTAAAAAGAATGAAATGAGACTGATGGGTCGAAAGGCCAATAATTATTAATATTATAATTATTTTATAATTTTTTTTTTTATTCTAATTCATGTAGGAAAAACGTACTTATTATTATGATAGATAGTTTCATAATAATCTCAAACTGTATCTTAAATCAAAAATATCTTATGTGCTAATTTAGGATATGATCTATCTATCATTATTAGATATTTACCATCTTTTACCTGTAACTTTGCATGACTGGTATATATTCATTGACCACAATAAAAAACAGCCTATATCCTTTTCCATCCCATGTGTATACCAAATTCCATAGTAGTTGGTGACTATGAGGTAACAGGTTTTTTATAATGGATAATAAGGGAATAGTAACCCCGACTGCGCTAACAGTATACACTGGCAGGGCACCAGTGGGGGATGACAGGTGAGGATGAAAGCAGATCAGTTGGCCCATAGTGATAAATTCATAAAAAATAATCAAGATGGTTTCCCTTTATTAACAACCCCCCAGGTAACAAGGTTGATAATGCCATGTAATCCCCGCATAGAACCCCCTTGATCTATTCTATGCGGGGACCACAGGGACCTTTCCCATGGATGTCATGAGAGGTGACTAAGTGATAGCGAGGGATGTGTAACAGTGTCCCTCTTAAAACATCTTTAAAACCTAACTGTGATTGCCAATCTGCCTGCAAGTTGTGGCAATTACTAACAAAATCCCCCAAGAAGAATGCTTATGTTCAGCAGTTAAAGGCTGATATGATGATGAGGTAACAAACAAACTCAAATTCCCATATTTTATAAATTTAGTAAGATGTACCAAATTCCTTCAATTATTTTTATGTCATTTAAGTGTGCTTGAGCAACAAGCCTCCAAACATCTTAAGAAACTTTCAGATTTATAAGATTAATAGTATATAAAATCTGCAATAAAAAAATGTATTAATAAGTATAAAAATATTTTTTATAGAATGTCCTTTCATTACTTTTTTTATTTTACATTCCAATATTTAAAATACCTTGTCATTCTTTTTACATTTTAGGATAAAGCTACATTGGTTGCCCAAAAACTTCAGCTCCCAACATCTGGAGATGCTCAGGGTGAAGCATCAACTTATTATGGTGGTGAACTCAGGTAACATTTATATTTTACCTGAGGTAATTTTGTAACAACATTATGCCAGTGATATATAGTATGTAACTGGAAGTTATAACAATTAACAATCTTTTTATAAAAAAGAACAACAAGGTTGGCTGGGAGAGAATGCTATATATAGCATTAAGTCTACCTTTTGTACAATGTATTTGTAAATATAATCAGTAAAAAAAAACAGCTATTCTTCATTAAAAGTATTTACTACTAAATTTATATATACATAAATTATTTTTTATATTACATAAATTTGATATATTTTAAAATGTATTATAAAAAGAGCACTGAAATATTTATTAAGTTTACAATTTTGTTATTAAGTAAAATTATTATATTAAAATAATTTTATTTAATAACAAAATTGTATAAATTTTTACCAGAGGGAGACTTTGTACAAAAATAATTTGCTTGGGTACCTCTGTCCTATTCGTGTTTCAACCGTAAAACAATTGTTTGCATGGCTGTGTTTCGGTTTGAAGGGTGGGATATGGCGTAAATTTACAGGGTACAGAGGAATAAAACCTGAGTCCTCAGGATATGGCAAAAAGTTGACGGATAACCATAGGGGTTATCATGGGTTGAAACAGTTCGGGCATTAAAGCCTGGAAAGTTTTGTTATGTCCATGGTAACAGTAACAGCACGCCCTCTGCCGTCCTCATGTCTATGGGCGACGGTTACCACTTTCCATCAGGTGGGCCGCCCACTTGTTTGCCATTCTAAGTTGTATAAAAAAATGAATAAAAAATAATTTAATTATTAAATAATATTACACAGTAATATTGCAATATTATACAGGAAAGAAATTGGTGGTGATTTGGCTCATTTGGCCATTGCTGTGCAAGGGGCTCCTGCTGGCTCTCCTCAAAGTTTGGCGTTGGCTGTTGCTGCAAAAGGTACAGTCCTCAACTTTTATTCTCCAATTAGTGGAGAAAATATATATATAAAAAAAGTAATTTATAATTTTAGTTAATTAATAAAATTATTTATTTAGCTACACATAAAGTAATACTTGAATAAAACACCAATGACTTCCTTATTCTAAAAACATTTAATATTACCTATACATATTAATGTATAGGTAATAATATTGTTCATATGCTAAAGTATAATTAAAATTTTATAAATAGTAAAACAAAAGAAATAATAACTACTTATGTTAACTGTACATTTGATTAATTTTATCTGGAATGTTTTCGCATGTTGATATTTAAGTATTTTCACTATTATAACAGTAGAAGTATATAATAATTATAACAAATCATACGTTTCACCACCATAATAGGTACATTAAATAGTACTTTAAATCATCAAGATTTGATGATAACCATGTTATTTTAACCAAGTAGCATGCTACGGCTGGACTCTGTATTTACTTGGCTAAAGCTTTCTCATGTTCTATTGTGTTTTTGACTTTGTGTTGCCTTCTATATCCCTATAAGCACAACTTTTAATTTAATTTTTTTTATTAAAGCATTCATTTATTTGTTTAAAGCCCTTGGTAACGGTCCCGTTACTAAATGGGGTGCCGACAACTCCCCCCTGGCGAAAGCCGTTGGCAACATCGGACCATTTGCTGCTGCCGGTTTCAACGTCTCATACTCTGACACTGGTCTCTTTGGTGTTGTACTCTCTGTGCCAAAAGATGAGGCTAACGTCGTAAGTAACAGCATAATTTTAATTAAACAAAATTATATAGCACATCATCTTTCAGTAATCTCAGCCATTATAAGCAAGTTTATCTCACAATCAGTTTTTTTAGTACTATCTCGACAATTAATACAGCATCATATACAGGAGCAATAACATACCTCTCCAAAGTATTTAATTTTATTGTCTTATCACACAGTCTAAACATACCACAGAACAGGCACCTGTTGAATCTTTTTAACAAAAAAAATGTATGTTAATAAAATTATAATAAACTATACTTAACTATATATATATATATATATATATATATATATATATATATATATATATATATATATATATATATATATATATATTAATTGTAATTTTGATTATTATTTTATTAATTAAAATTCTTGTCAACATAGGCCACAAAAGCCGTCGTCAAGTTAATCAAATCTCCAACTTTGAGTGCTGAGGCTATTCAAGCTGGAAAAAACCAACTAAAGCTGCAGATTCTGAGTGAAGCAGAGACAGGAACTTCCCTAGCCGAATCTATCGCCGCTCAAGGACTGTATACCGGAAATGTGAAATCGCCAGCTGATTTGGCCAAAGATGTTGATAATATTTCGAACAGTGATGTTTCCCAGGTATAACATTGTACTATTTCTAATGTAATTTATGAGTAATATATCAAGTAATTACGCGACACGAGTTATGTGTGTGGGTGAAGAGATTTTAATTACAAAAATAATGGATTTAACTTATGTTGCTTTTTATCGACAATGTTTGACTAGTTTCGGTATCATCCGAAAATTCATTATTTGTAATACTTAGTTAATGTTGAGAATGTGGACTAAGTTTTATAGTTAGCCATAAGTGTTCAGAGTTATTATAATTACAAGTATTTATTCTATATATTATTATAAGTATCTGTTTTTTCTTTCAATTTTCATTTATTTGATAACCACATAAAGGTAAAGTATATTCATTTAGATATTTCTAATAATATGCATTCTTTGTTCACAGGTTCTAGCTAATGCTGCGAAATCAAAGATTTCAATTGGCGCCGCAGGAAACCTAGCATTTGTTCCATATGTTGATGAACTTTAAATTATTACTAAATGTAAATGTTAGTTCATCAGAAAATAAAAAAAAAAATATCCAGTTGTATTAGCACATCAATGTTATAATTTATTATTGAATTAAATGATTCTGTTTTAAATAATGCTAATTTCCTTTATTGATTCTATGATCCACATTAAATTTTACATTGTGGAGACTACCCTTTTAAAAATCTTTTTTGTTCTTGTTTTGTCTTCCATTACGGTTATTTTCTTTTTATTAAACCCAAAGTGATTATTTACAGTTTATTTTCTTGTCAATTTCATATTCATTGTATAACTATTGAAACTGCCGTTTTTTTGTATGCAGTTGACCACAATACATGACAAAAAACTAAAACTACATATATGGAAAATACGTCGTTATTCTGGAAAGAATATCTATATATAATAAGTATATTGCGTGTAGTAAAAAATTCACAGTAGATTATAATCTTTTTCTCTACTCACTAGACAATGAAATTACAGGGTATAGAAGGTCCTAAGAAATATAATGCATGAAGTATATCGTAAGTAACACAGTATACTTTGATATATACATGCTACTGTGCATGTTTATAGACAATGATTACCACCTTTCATCAGGTGGGTCGTCAGTTTGTTTTCCACTCTGTTGCATAAAAAAGTATGTGTATACATATATACAGAAACAGCTTTAATCAGAATTAATGTGTTTGATATAAAATAATAATAAAGCTTATTTTTTTATGTTTTTTACAATACAGGAGGCAAACGAGCATGCGGCTCACCTGATGGTAAGTGACTACCGCCGCCCATGATCACCCACAACATCAACGGCATTGCAGGTGTGCTGCCGGCCTTTAAAAAGGAATATGCTCTTTTCTTGAAGGTTAAGTTGTCGTATCGGTTCGGAAATACTGCTGCTGGAAGTTCTTTCTAAAGTGTGGTTGTGCGTGAAAGAAAGTGCCTTGAAAAACGCACGGTGGAGGACCGCCAATCGTCCAGATGGTTGGGATGAAATTTTAGTTTATGGCAGGTTGTACAATGGTGAAAATCAGCAGCAGGTATCAATCCGAACAGTTTCTCAGAGCACTCTTCATGATAAATTCGATAGAAGATGCACAAAGATGCAACATCACTACATGGTTTTAGTGGGTAAAGTCAGACAGTAAGGTGTCAATCATCAAAAGTTCAAGCTGCCCGACTTTGAATGCAGTCTAACAGGAGTTGGTACTGTGGCACTCTTGTCCTATATATATACCTATATAATTATCTAGTTATATATGTGGTATATAACTAGATAATTATATAGGTGTATATAATAAAATCATCTATATGGAGATTTTTTTATGAAAAGGCTAAAAAATTCAAATTACTGTTTTTTAACCTAAGTAGATATTAATTAGTAAAATCTGTTCTTTTTTTATACCACACTGTTTTCCTTTGTCATATGATAACTTTGTTATTATCTGATAACTTTGTATAATTACTAATATTAGATTTTTTTTTTAATTGTTTATTATGACAACAAAAAATTAATAATATATAATGAATTAAAATCTTTTCATAGTATACTTGTTTTATGTACTATCAATAATTTAAAATTATAACAAATATATTTAATTTTTGCAGTAACCATAGTAAGTAATAATAGTAAGCAGTAATAGTAGTAAGGCAAAAACTGCTTTCATAGTAGGTTAATGTATAGATGAGAACTCTGAGAAGAGTGTGTGGTATTATCCTAAAATAAAAAAAAAATTGAAAGAAATAGTGTGATCAGAGAAAAGTATGGACTAAAAGATAATGTAGTGACAAAAAGGATTATGAGACTTATCAAGCATGAATGAATGGAGATATCAATAGCAGCCTGCCTAGACTGATATATTTTTATTAATCAAATATCCTATTTGATTAATTATATAGATGAGAAGGGCCAAATTAAAAATATAATAACTGGTAAGTGTGTATGGAAAGATAGATGAATAAATGTAGAAGAAATAAAAGAGGTCTCTTTCAATCAAAGCATTTGGTGTTCTGTGAGCCCTACCCTAATAGGAGACAGATGTAACAAATTATATATAATCATATTAGAAAAAAAAAGAATTATATACTTTTACTACTTTATTGAACTTCAGCTTCTGTTAATAACATATTTGGAATGCCTTTAGAAATTGGAAACTGTCTTCCTGATTCGGGGCATGTAAGATGTCCTTCCTCAACTTCAATTTCTAGTAATACTCTATGAGCTTTTTTTAAAAATTCCTCATCATCTTCAAATTTTGGTTCTACTGTTTTTGGTAGTCCTTCGCTATGACCAATACTATCTGCAGCACTCCAAAGAACGTCCCAATCCAACTTGGGTATTATTCGAGTAATAAATTCTGGATTAAAATCTACTTCTGTCACTTTCACATTTGTTGCTTTTATAGAAAGTGGGTAACCAGTTGTAACACCTTTTAAACACTTTGATGTGAGCATATTGTGTGTAATAAGCTTCATATTTAAACAAACGTAATACTTAGTAAAATGTCGGACTAAGGTTATAAACGTTTATTGGCCACACATATTTCTTAATTAAAATGTATATATTAATACGGTTTGGCTTATTTTATTTTTCCCGATAAATAAAATAATACTAAGACAAGATTCAGATATAAACTGAAATAAATCGTAATCCAAAAATTAATTTTAAATGACAAAAGAGAGTACCTATATTTTTTTTTTTTTTTTTCTTCTTATGTGGCGTTCACCCCGATATTAGGGTATTTTGCCAAGAACAAAACGGGGAAACGATAATAGTAATAAAAATACCTAACACAAACGAATTTAGAAAGGATAAGGATTAGGTCTAGGATATTTATAGGATATGAAGGATATACTTGTACATATGAGAATATACTTATAAATATATAGGAAAAGCAATTGATGCAACTATAAATGTATTCATGTAATATAACTAAATCTTAATATTGTTATCATATATATATGAAGATAGTATTTTATAGATAATAGGATCATTGGAAGAAAGTAGAGTAAGAATAGAAGTTGGGAATGGAACACGGATGGATCGGAGATGATTAAAAAGGGAGGTGTGGTCAAATTTAGAACATGAGAAGAATATATGATTCAAGTCCGCCACTTCAGCACCGCAATTACACGACGAACTTTGTACAATACCAAGCTTGTATAAATGAGAAGGTGTGCATACGTGACCTAGACGCATACGAGTTATAATAGTTGTTGCGGTCTTTCCAAGCTTTAATTTACAAAACCATGGTTTGAAAGGAATATCGGGTTGTATAAGGCGATAAAATCTTCCTTTTATTGTACTTGTTTTTTCCCAATATTCCTTCCAGGCATACCTTAAATATATTTTTGGGAGACAAGCTAGGTCACTACAGTAATTATGATACGGATACATATCACCACAAGTTACAGCCTCTCTTGCAATAAGGTCAGCTTTGTCATTGCCGCTAATACCACTGTGTCCTGGTAACCAGGCAAAAGAAACGGAATACCTTCTCAACATGCAAAGATAAAGACTTTGTCTTATGTCACAAATAATGGGATAAACTGGTTTTGATTTAAACGGATATTTGGCTAGAGCTTGCAAAGAGCTCATAGAGTCAGTGAAAACTATTGCCTTATGTAATTTCATTAAAAGTATATATTCTACAGCTTTTAAAATACCATAGCATTCCCCGGTAAAAACTGAAGATTCCGGTGGAAGTTTAATTTTTTGAACGATATTAAATTGTGAATGAAACACACCCACACCTACACAACCGCTATTGTCTGGTTTTGATGCATCAGTAAAGATGTAGTGCCATTCATTCCATTCAATGTCAGTTATAAATATAAATTTGGCATTCAATTCTGAATCATTTTTTGATAACCCAAAATCATATTTAATATTAGGAGATAAAACTAAAGATTGATATGAGCATTTATAAATGGGAAAACAGGACGATGTAAAAGTGGGAGATTCTATGGATTTATATTTTTCATAACTTTGTATTAAACATGGAGGTTTTTTATGTTTCCAATAAGATGAAGACGAAATAAAGATATATAGTTGAGATAACTTTTGAATAAGCGGATGATCAGATAATTGTAAACAACGAAAAAAGAAGCGATCAGATAAATATTGCCTTCTTAAAACCAAAGGTGGATCACCGACTTCGAGCTGTAAAGCATTGATTGGACTTGATTTCATTGCTCCAGAGATAATCCTCAAGGCCTTTGATTGAATTAAATCCAATTTCTTAAAAGCAAATGAACTTCCTGGAGCTAACAAAAAAGTTCCATAATCAATGACACTCCTTATAAGACCATTATAAGCAAGTTTTAGTGAAACGGGATGTGCTCCCCACCAAACTCCAGCAAGGCACCTAAGAATGTTGAGGTTACGCTCACATTTCGTGGAAATATAATTACAGTGGGACAGACCTGTTAATTTATTATCTAGCACGATACCTAAAAATTTAATTTCAGTCTTTATAGGAATGTATGAGTTATCATAAAGCACCTTAATTTGTTGCGGTGATCTCATTCTTGAAAACAAAACTACACTACTCTTGGTTACAGAAAGATTAAGACCATTTGCATCTAACCACGTTTTTAACATATCTAATGAATCAGATAATTTGGCAGAAGCAGATTCTATGGACTTCGCAATAAAATATAATAAGAGATCATCAGCATATTGTAAAATTTTGACGGATTTATCAAGGAATGATTCTAGATCGTATGTGTATATGTTGAATAAAATTGGACTGAGAACAGATCCTTGTGGAAGGCCTTTCCATACTGTTCTAGATAATTTGGTATCTTCATCTAGATCCATATGTATTGTTCTTTCTGATAAAATATTAATAATGAAATTAGAAAGCATTACCGGTACATTTAAAGCTTGTAATTTAGTTTTTAAAATAGAAATTATTACATTATCATAGGCAGAATTTATATCTAAAAAGGCTGAGAGGATTGACAAATTTTGTGAGAAAGCTATATGAATATCTGAAATAAGAACGCTCACATTATCTAAGGTGCTCTTACCTTTCCTAAAACCAAACTGGTTCGGGGATAGTAAGTTATTACTTTCTAAAAACCATTCTAGACGGTTCTTCACTAAATGTTCAGCTAGCTTTAGTAAGACAGAGGAAAGTGCAACAGGACGGTATGAAGATGGTTCAGAAGGTGGTTTATGAGGCTTTAGAAATGGTATAATAATCTGAGACTTCCATGAAGTAGGTATATTTCCCGAAATAATTATGGAATTAATTATATTTAAAAAGTAAATTAATGTCGCATCGCTAGCATTTTTAAAAAAGGAATACGGTATACCGTCTTCTCCCGGTGCAGAGTCTTTAATACAAGCTAGAATACCTTTAAGTTCTACAAGAGTAAAAGGAGACTCAAGTTCGGATAATTCGTCAGAGACGGATAGAGAAATATTGTAAAGGCATTCCGGCACATAACTAGGAGCAAGGCGATCTAAAAATTTATTCGCTAAAGTTAAATCGAGTGCAGAACGTGATGTATGATCACTGAAGGCAGATCTGAATCTTTTAATATTATTCCAAACGACTGATGAATTAACTTCTGGACAGATAGAAGAACAAAATCTTCTCCAACCTTCCAATTTCTTTTTTTTCAGTAGTTTTCGAGTAGAACGTGAAACTGCGGTGTAAATTTCAAAATTTTCTGATGTCATGTAATTATTATAATTTTTTTCAGCCTCTTTACGATTTTTAATTGCTTCCGTACAATCTTTGTCCCACCAAGGTGGGGAGGGAATTTTCCCTGAAGCACTATTTTTAACAGGAAATAATAAATCAGCAACCTCCTTCATATTAATTATCAAGTCATTACAACATTGATGTTCATTTCCATGGTAAACAATAGGTAACTCCGATATTTTATTATCTAAATATTGTTTGTAAATATTCCAGTCTACATTTGATAAATTATATTTAAGTCGAGGACCACTCTTTCGACTTGAGGGAATGGAAATTGGAAAAGAAAGAATGAGGGGAAAGTGATCGCTTCCGAAGGTAGAGGAATGAGGATACCACGACAGTGAAGAAGCTAAATCAGAAGAACATATTGAAATATCAGGAGCACTAAACCCTTCATTCGGTGCAGTTCTACGTGTCGGTACATCTGAGTTAATAATACATAATTTGTAAGTGTCAATTATCGTCAGGAGTTTTCCACCATAAAAATTAGAAGTAGAACTGCCCCACGATTGGTGCTGAGCATTAAAATCGCCCATTACGAGAAAAGGTTTAGGTAAAATTGAAAATAATTGTTCTAGTTGTGAATATATTTGGCATGTAGGATCAGGAATATATAAAGTAACAAAACAGATACCATTTATAATTATAGCAGCTGCATTAATGCCGCTATATACAGGAAGCGAAAAAGAAGAAAAAAGAAGGGAGTTTTTGACCAATATGGCAACACCGCCATATCCGTCAGCTCTATCATCACGGAGACTTGTAAAGCCTGAAATCCTAAAAGGATATCCTGGCTTTAACCAAGTCTCTTGTAGAGCTATTATAAAAGGATTATATTTATTAATCAAATAAAATAAGTCTGATTTCTTATTTGTTATGCTACGACAGTTCCACTGAATTATTTGGACTTTGTAATCCATTGTGAGAAGTTAATAATTGAGAAAATACATTGTACATGGCATCGTTGGACGGTGGTAAAGTTGTTTGTATCATTTTTGATTGCGATAACACTTTAATAAGCATGAGAATAATATCAATGATGGATTGATTATTGTCAATATTATTTGATGATAATGCACAACCATTAGAGGGAGCAGGAATATTATATTCCTTAACTATGGCTTCATGGGCAGAACGATCATATCCTTGTTGTATTTTTTGAGGAGAGCGTGGTTTAAGTGTAACTGTTTTTTTATATGATGATTGTATATGTGGTAATGATGATTTCTCTTTAAGGAAAGAAGATTGAAAATGAGATTTATTGGAAGGAGATGATGATGTTAATACATCTGAATATAGTTTAGAAGTTGGAGGATGAAATTTTGATGCTTCAGCATAAGAAACACAACTATGGGCCATTGTTTCTTTAATGGCTTTCTGACGTGCATATTCAGGACATTTTTTACTAATTGCTGAATGAGAACCATTACACAAGATACAAGAAACATTTTCCTCATCTACTTCACATTTATCACCTGTATGATTTTGCCTGCATTTATAACACCGAGGATTTGAACGACACTGCATCTTGACATGTCCGAACCTACAGCAGTTATAGCATTGGATAGTAGGGTAAATGTACAAATCTACAGTTAATGATGTGTAAAACATAAATACTCTTTTTGGCAATATTTGTCCATCAAAAGTAATAACAATGGTTTCAGTATTAATAAAACTTGGTTGTCCTTCATTAATTGTCTTTTTCTTTATTCTTCTGGTTTTTAGAATTTTCCCACAACCTATCGGTACTGATATACTCGTATTTTGGATTACTTCCTCTTCTGTCCAATCTTTAGGAATACCCCTCACAATTCCCATACGGGTTACATGGAAAGAAGGTATAAATGCCTTAAAATTATGTGTCACTAAGTTACTATTATTTAAAAATGCATTTGCATTTTCAAAATTTGAGAAAGAAAGCGATAAACGGTTTCTTCCTATTCTTTTGAGGCTACCATTCACTATATT